ATTACTCAGCCATGGACTATCTGACCTTATGTCGATTATGCTCCCTTACTCAGCGTTACTCATCGCTCAGTCAGCGTCCTCTGGACGTCACATGCTCTCTTCTTATACGCTTACTCATCGTCTCCCCAGTAGTATATAAGGAGGACTCTGCAGGCCTCTGCTCTTCAGTCGTTCTCTCACAGACTGAAGAGTAAGTCCCACACTACCTATGCTTCCTTACATGTTTACTTACTAGTACTTGTAGCCTCTCTTTGTGCGGCTTACAGGTACAGTACTATGCAATCATAGTCGTTCTCTCACAGACTGAAGACCTCTCTTTGTGCGGCTTACAGCCTTCCAGGTTCAGAGTTCATCAGGTTCAGAGTTCATCAGGCGCCACTGCGAGCCTCAGTTTCTTCCTCTCACCAACCACCATCGACCATCGTCCCGGTCTGCGTCTGCTTGCTACAGCACAAGTTAACGACGCCTGCGTCATATCACTTTATCTTTGTCATCTCTACCATACCTGCGTCGGAAGTATAGCGTTGAAGGATTGTGAGTCTGACATTACTGTAGAGATCAGACGTTAGAGGCGGCGGGTTTGGGTGTGACCGGTCGGAGACGATGCGGCGGAGCGGCGGGGCCCACGGTGACCTGTGACCGCGCCCTCCGGAGCGGCGATTGTGACACTCCCTACCGCCGCCGCGTCAGCGGCGGCCAGCGCTACGGTGTGTCGTACCTTTGTCACAAGCGGCGACGACCTCGGTGACCAGTGACCGAGGGGCCAATAGCGGCGGGGCGGAGGCCCCAGTGACCTGTGACGCGCCGCTAACGTCTGATCTCTACAGTACAATCTGGTGGGGACGCCAGACGCCCATGCATGAGAACTAGAAGATGAGCACCGACTCGGAGTCGCTGCATATGTCAGACCTACCCGTCGCCAGCAAGCCCGGCCTCGATATACGTACGTCTTGCTTCACATTGGCTGATGTACCTGGATGCTGACTTATCGGGTTCGGTAGAGCCGGAAGACCTCAAGAGTATACAAGAAGCCCAACTTCAGGTTGAACTGACCCTCGACCCGTATTGCCTCTACATCAATAGCCGTCGCGAAACATATGAACACAGGCCGCTCGACACGGATCACCGTCAGCAGGAGCTCTTCTTTGTCTGGATGGTCTATAGCGCTTGCACCTTCCCGCACGCTTCCATCGGCGTACAAGGCGACGTCTGGATCGACTGCACCCCAGACGCAGCGAAGATCTACTTTCGAGGACAGGCGGACACCTGGGTGCCGTGGAATCCTCTGCCAGGCCATGACGCCCGACACCTGAAAGCAGACGGGTTGGAGATGACGCACCCGTGGCTTCCTGACAGATGTCTGCAGTTCACAGGCCTCGACCTCGGGTGGTATCCGCACTCGGTGCTAGAGGTGCATCAAAAACGCTGGGATGAGTGTTGTTCGGACATTTCCCCCTACGACCGTCTGTCAGTCCAGTACATCGTGAACAGCAAATCGTCCATGGAAAGGGCTTCGATGTCAAGAAGGGTCTTCCTACCTACAAACCACCCGGCCAAGTTCACCCACCGTATGAAATTGCGTAACCAAGCTGGTCCTTCCAACGATCCTCGCGCAAGCACGGCAGCCAGCATTGCGCCTGTTTCTTCGAGCAGCGGCTTCTACTCGATGTCGGCGAACGCCAGTGTCTTGAAACCTACTACCTGTACGCGTCGTGCCCAATGCATTTTGACCTACTAACACTCTGGACAGTGGGTCAGCTGGCCAGCAAAGCCAGAAATAAAGCCGAGCGTCAGAATCCACTCAAACGTGCTCGTTGGCCCATGTCAGACTCAGATTCTGAGGACATCGGCAGGCCCGTCGCCAGACGCACGTCGAAGGCCGTGGCACCTGAGGCAGGGCCATCTGCGCCCTCCCCCCGTTTGAAGGTGACATACACAGGGTCAGCATCGCCCAAAAGCGTTCAGGATTTCCTTGCAGGATTACCCCTCAAACTCGTGCATCGCTCTGCCGCCTTCGAGAACATCGGCATCAGGTCGCACGCGCATCTCGACGCACTCGCGCGGATACCCATGCCGTTCCAGGAGACGCTGTACAAGGAGCTCCGAGAACGGGGATTCCCTCTGGTCGAAACCCTCGTCCTGCGGAGCGCCTTCAATACCATCCGCGATACGGTACCCCGGCCCGTCAATCTTACAGCCGGCCATGTGCACACAAAACCGCAGGATGTCACAGCCTTCCTCTCAGGAATGCGCCCGTCTATGGTCCATCACCGCGCAGTATTCCATGACTTGGCAATTGCCCCAGCGCAGCTACCAGCGCTCGCAGCTATCGACGAGGAGTCCTACGCGATATTCGAACAGGAGTTGCGCGCCAAGGGTGTCAGTTGGGTGGAACGCCTGCTGCTGAAAGCTTCCCTGAGGGCCGGAATATGAGGACACGCTGATCTACAGTTCCGCATTTTCTAGTTACCGCTCTTGTACCACGTCGGCTTGGTTAGCCTTCTGTCGCGCGAAAGTAACGACACTACGGCGTGTCTGGCCACGTGACCGCGACCAGTGTCATCTGAAAATTTCGTCGCCCAAAACGGATGTCCCTCATACGACCAAGTACAAGGAACAGTCGCGTCTATCGATCTCAAGCACACCCACCATTCACTAATCCAGGATCAGCAAAGAGCCTGGCTACTAGTAAGTATGTAGTACGTCCTTTTGATATCGTAACACAGGTGGGGGGAATTTAACATGGCTGACTTCTTATGGTCCAGAACAATCGACAATTACTTACACCTACAATGAACCAAGACCTGCGCGGCTTGAGCGTATCTCTGAACTCAATGGGGTTCACTCAAAGCACATCCGGCTTGTGTAGGGGAGCTCTTGCATGCTGTCAACGTTTGCGTACTAATATCATGGGTAAAGCCAGAGAGGAGATCGCCACAATCGAAGCCGCGCGCTTCGAAGTACCCGTGGTGGCGGACGCATACGAGATAAGGCTCACAGAACATGAGCAGACCATGACAGTCCCACAGGAGTTCATGCGGCGCGTGAGCGGTTCAAGCTACACCTGGGCCATGTACAAAGCCGACAGCATTCCCGATCTTCGAGTCGGAGTGCAAAGGGACGTCTGGGTCGACTCGACGCCGGGCGGCGTCCCGCGCATCTTTGTCTTTGGCGAGAGGAGCAGCTGGCATGAATGGGACGACGCGCCTGACCCCGCTCAAGCCAGCGGCCTTACACAACCCGCACCGGACTTGGGGAGTGTTGTTGCAGTCTATCATCCGTGGCTGCGCCACCGCCGTCTCGAGTTCGACGGAGTGGCGCTGCGATGGGGCATCGTGGACCAACACGGGGAGTCGGACATGGATCGTCTAGAAAGGGAGGTGGCTGCTGCGGGGTGGCCGAGGTACGGAGACATCCCTCTCCGTAGGGTAGCAGAACGTCTGTGCACGGCTGCGACACTGACGTGCGGTCGGATCATCATCCCTGCCTCGAAGCCTGCCTCAGTGGAATGGTGGAAGAAACCGGTCGATCCTGCCTATGTGTGGCGGAGTCCACCCGCAAGTCCACCTCCTGCTGGTCCGAGCCAGTCGCGCAGTCCTCCCGCTGAAAGGCCAAGGCAACCCGGCCGTCCGTTTGTTATAAGCCAGAATGCATTCAGTTTGGCTAAGAAAGGTCAGCGAAACTGTTCAAAGGCGATGGGAAACGCACTCACTTCCCCTTCGAAGCTTTTCCACCACCCGGATCAGTCCCTCTAACCCCAGGTAAGGGCGTTCGTTGCACGATCGACCGTGACTAACGCTGTAGGTACGCCCAGCCTTCCAATTTCCCCCGCTGTATGCCCCCGCTCCTGTACCGGTCGCCGTAAAGACCGAAGAGGAAGAGGAGAACGCCGTACTTGCACAACTACAACGCATCCGCGAGTCCGCCTCTCCCTTTCCGCCGCCTCCACAACCCTCGATACAGGTGAAGGCAGAGCCAGACGACTCGAATGCGTCATTCCCGCAGAATACTGGCCTGTCAATCTTCGCACCTTCTAGCGGATTCTTCGGCTCTGCAGGAACTACTATGTCGGCCCCCACTTCACCCAGCGCTTTCTTCGGCCCTGCAGCAAGTGCCCTGGTGTCCAGGACAGTTTTCGATCCGCAAAGAGCATTCAGCGCGGTCGCGACCACCCCAATACGCACGGACATGTCCCAATTCCTTGAGAGCCTGCCTCTTCCCCTGAACCACCGTGAGCAAATGCTGGGCGATCTCGGCGTCAGCTCCATGAAGTACCTCAAGTCGTTCGCGGACGCGCCCCCATCTATCCTCAGCAAGCTTATGGTTCTTGTCGTTCTTGGTCAATGTAATGGACATTTACTATAACCACGTCACTAGGCATAGCATAGCTCTCAGCCTGCACGCCTCTTCATCCCCCAAGAAAAATCCACAGCTTGTCTCAAAGGCCTAGACCACTACCACATTGTACACACTTCGCAGTCCATGCCTCCGTCAATTGATATCATAATACATTAGGAAAGTTACTTCATCCTATACAATCCTCGGTCCTTGCGTAGAGAACCGAGTTAGAATAACAACAAATAAACCCAAAGACCATTTCAATCAGAACACCTTCAACCCCCCAGGTCGACGCTCGAGCTTCACGCTCAACACCACCTCCGCTCACTGGTCGGCCTCGCTCAGCCCGTCGTAGATCGGGCACAGGTCCGACCACGCCTTCGGGACCGGGTTCGCCGCCTTCACATCCGCAACGTCCTCCGCGAACACGATCGCGAAGCCCGCCTCGAGGTGGAAGTCGATGTGGCAGTGGAGGAACCACGGCCCGGGGTTGTCCGTCTGGAAGCGGATCGTGACGTTGTCGCCCGCGGCGGGCGTGCCGGTGCTCACGACGTCGCGGAAGATCGGGTCGTTGTAGTTATACGTAGTGCTCCCTGCGCTGCGGACGACCGCGAAGGCGTGCTAGAGGGGCTGGACGTGAGCACTGGTGCGGGGAGGGAGAGAAAGGAGAACGTACACCGTGCAGGTGGAAGGGGTGCGGTGCACCTGGAGCTAATGCGGTTGCGGGCAGCGTGATCTCGATGGTGGAATGGGCCGGGAGCGGGTAGACGGAGCCTGCAGGGAGGAGGTCCTGTGCGGTCTGCGCGCCGCTCAGGATCTGGAGGAGCACAGGGACGGTCGGTGGTGTGAAAGACGCGTTGTTAATGAAGAAGTTGGTGCCGTTCTATTGCGCCGCATGGTCAGTACGGGGACCCCAATTTGGGCAGTACAGACACTCACGAAGTTGAAGGCCAGGTTGAGCGCCTTGTCGACACCTCCGGGCGTCGGGCTGCCAGGCTGGATAGGAGCGTGCGGTGAGCTCGGCGACGCGGTCCTTAGTTATATGGATGAAAGAAACGTACCACAGGCATGCGAGCGAGGGGGTGCAAGTTCGTCTCGATAAGCGGGATCACCGACGTCGTCTGGGTCGTAGTAGGCTCGGCGACCGGTGCGCCTTGGTAGCGCAGGATGGCGGAGTTGATCCCCCCGGCGAACCCAACCGTTCCGAAGTTCGGGTTCGCACGGACCCAGTAGTTGCCGACCGTTTGGTTCGCATTCAACTAAAAGACTGGGTGAGCGAGGCCACTTGGAAGCATCAAGAAGGCAGGGCATACCACAAAGGAGTAGCGCTGCGCGGCGAAGATCTGGATAGAGTCGACAAGGAGAGGCTGGCTGTTGATACCGTCGACCTCGATGACGGTCAGATTGTGCCCGTCGATGCTGAACGTGTAGTTCGGGTCGCACGAGATCGAAACGAGACGGAAGCGGTAGCTGCGCGGTGCCGATAGGTCAATTTAGAGCAGTGAAAGGACATGCAAGAGATGCTCACCGCTTTCCGTGCTGGACGTTGATCACAGCAAGCGCGGCGGTGGGAGTGGAGGCTGACCGCCCAAGACCATTGATAAGCGTGGCGTCCGCGCCGAGTCTATCGACGCAATATAAGCAAATATTCCGTGGAAACTAAGCCATTGCGAGCTTACGGGAACCTGGGACCGAGCCGGGCAGCGGTGTGGTACCAGTCGGTCAACGTGATGACCGTGCTCTCTGTTGGCCCGACGTCAACGCATGCTGTGTGATATACTCCTTGGCGCACGTACCGTTGTCAACATCGTAGCGGCTGGCATGCGGATCCTTGGGGTCGTATACGACGAACGGCCCTCGCAGCCCGTCACAGTATTGCGTAGACAGATGACTGTGGTACCAGAACGTCCCTGTCGATCACGTCGGAGCATGAGAACATCGCATCACACGAGGATCACAACAAAGACTACTTACCCGCCTGGTCGGGCACATGGAAGTCGTACAGGAATGAATGCCCGGAAGCAATAGGGCACTGGTTGACGAACGCGGGTCCGTCTGCCCAGTTGGTGCCTGCCTGGAAGAAGCCGTGCCAGTGCTGTGCGCGGTTAATTAGCTCCGGATGATGTCACATTCGGATCGTCACACTTACGATACTAGTGGACTTGAGCATGCTGTGGTTGGTCAAGGTGTCGACGACGTTGAGCTGGAAGCGGTCTCCCTGTAGATCGCTGTCAGCAAAGGAGTAGGACGACAACGAACACGCCGACCTTCTTCCCGGTGATGAGCGGGGAAGGGACCACGCCGTTGACCACGATGGCATCCCGAAGGAAGCCGTCGGGCGAGACGGGGGCGTTCGCGACGACGAGGCTCGCCACCGGCCCGATGGCTGCAAGAGAGCGAGCGACGAGCGCGAGGGTGACGAAGAAGCTGAATCGCTGCAGACCCATGGCGCCGAAGGTGCTATGGAGCGACTGTGTGGGGGAAGAGGAGGGTGGCGGAGACTGGGAACCCAAGGCGAACTTGAGCTTGGTAGACAGGCCTCCCCGCGCCGCCCTTTAAGTATCCGCACCAGCGAGCGGTCCTTTGGCCGCACTTGGCCAGAATGCATGACCTCGGTGTTCTCTTCCAGTCAACCGCGCTGGTAGAGCCATCCGGATGCCCGACTGGCGCACAATTGAATCCGGCAGGCACAGCGGCGTGCGCCATCGAAACCTGCCAGATCTGTTTGGGCCTGAAAGGCGGCGGTCGCGCGAATCTGGCCAGTGTGAGAGTGGACGGGAGTGTGCTGGGTCCCACGGTTTGTGCGCCGCGCTGGTGGCGGAAGAGAGGCAGTAGTCCTGGGGTGGCCACATGCGTCTATAATGCGCCGGAGAGGCGAGTAGATGCAGCGCCGGATGACGCTGGTAGCCCAGTGCACTGGAAGACCCTTCAGGCCTGCTTGATCGTAACTGACTACGCCGATGGGCGGCCCATGGATTCGGTAATTCATGAGCTGTTCGAGCGGGTCGGATCGGTCGGGATGCTAGTACTCGGGAGAGGATCGCGGAGGCATTTCGACCGCTATTTGGACAGGAAACGCGCTATCTTGTGTGTACAAGGTCGCTGACTGCGTCAACGAGAGCGAAGAGCATCGCCCTGCAAAAACCGCGTCAGTTACATGTTTCAGCATTACAAGGTCAGTTTGACGCATCCATGGCCAGACTGATCATCCTGATGGTCACGTACGTTTAGAGTGGGAAGAACGGGAGACCAGAGCTTTCCGCTTGGCGAGCTTGACGGCTCTGAGGCAAGATCCTCGTCCGGGAAAGGAAAGAAGAGGGGTTAAGCGGAAACGCCCATGTCCCCGTGGCGTCGCCGCCCACATGTATCTGGCCCTCCCTTACCCAGCGGATTCTCATCCTCCGGCACATCTGTCCCGCTCCCTGTGCCGGGGGTAGGCCTTGTCTCCGAACACGGGCCTTTCGGGGCTGGCCAAGAGTCGGGCTCGTTGTCCGACATGAGCGTCGACCACTTGGAATGATGAAGAGACGAGATCCCAGGCCTTGAGAGCTCCGGCGACGTGGCCACATAGCGCTAATCCCGGTGGGGGCCGCGTTATTGCCTCTTTCCCATGGTAGAGGCGATGCGGACGCGCAAGCTTAATGACGCCTAGAACAATCCTCCAGCGATCTAGCCGTGATAGTCTTGGGGGCCGTCCGCAGGACGTCGGAGCCGGGAGGTCGCAAACGCACCATTCTCATCCTTCATCTCACGGTGTCTTTACTATGCCACATGGTCAGCAGCGTCGGCGCGGTGCCCGCACAATTGACTCACCTGAATGGAGCCTGGAAGGAGCCGGTACCTATTCGTCCTTCGGAGAACTCTGACAAGAAGATGTAAAACTGATCCGTCTGCTCGTCCCTGGATGCCACTGTCAGAGGCTCAAAAGCCTCATTCCGTCTGTCGTCATCCGCTCACGGGCGCTGCCGACCTGTACCGCCGATCCTGTTGCACGACAAGCCTGGCGAAAGCGACCAACGACCCTCTAGGCTAGGGACACTACAGGTGCAAAAGACACCCCAAGGAGTTTCGACTAAGCCTGAACGCGCCCGAGGTGCGACTGAGGGGTACATACCTCGACATCTGAGGATCAGCATCATTTCCCTCTGGGTGATTTCAGCAAATGCTGACCAGTCCAGGTAGTGTTCCCAGGAACGCCATATTGCGACATTGTTTAGCCCCGTGAATGGCTCACTGCTCTAGCACTCTTAAGGCTAGGACCACCGACGGACAAGTCGGCTTTTACACGGACCCGACTGCAGGATTGTCGTGGGTACCTTGAGCGTGGGGAAGAACAATGTCACCTGCTATCGGAGTGTGCCTTTGCCTGATGCCGTGGTGGCCCCGAATGGTGGATATATCGTCAGTCTTGTACTGTGTACGGTACCCAGTAAGATTACTTCACCAATGAGGCTAGAAGCACGACCTACGGTAGGCCTGCGAGCGATCATGAGAGTAGACGCGGCCCCGCAAGTTCAACGTTCAAGGCTCAAGCATCTTGAAAGTTCCTCCCTGCGAGTATAATGATGGATCCGGAGTTTGATGCAAGCTGTCTGGCGCCTGCAGGAATGATCACCGTGCACCATACTTGGACATTCACCGGTACCGTTGTATACGTCGATGAAGTCTGCTACTCATAAGACGGACAAGTGCTCGTACACGAAGGCCACATACGCGCGAACGCGTTGGAGACGTACGTTGGTGCGGGGAAAGAGCGGGAGCAAGGACGGGCGCCAAAGGGGAGGCACATTGGGAATGCCAGCAGGCACCCTCGATTCGGATTCGGGGCCTGTGCTCTGCTGCGCGCGGACGGTGCGCGCCCTCCCACCCTCGTCCTCCACGTCCTCCATGTCTGTCTGAGCGTGGTCCTCCTCCTCTTCGAACGTCTGTTTCACGAACTCGCCGCGTAACGCTTGCGCTCACGACTCTCACAAGGCCTCCGACGATTCGCTGTCCAAAACCTTCCATCCCGCATCTGTGGCTGGTTCTATCGGAAGTCTTGGCGTACATACCCACCGTCCGCAGTACAAGAACCGTCAGCGGATATACTAGCGACGATCGCAGTCTCACTCTACTGCTAGCCTTCTCAATATGGTAGAAGACAAGTATATTGGTCTACTACTGGCCCTCGGCGGTTCAGTAGGAATCGGGAGCAGCTTCATCTTGACGAAGAAGGTACGTGCCTACACGTACTAATTTCCCAGGCCGTATTCTCAGCTTACAGGCAGGGTCTTATGCAAGCCAGCCAGGCGTCGGCTTATGCTGCTGCGTCGGATAGCCACACATACTTCAAAAGTCCACTATGGTGGGTGGGCATGACTCTGAGTGAGTGAGACGGCTACAGAAACCCTGCATCATGGTCTAATTCAGTTCTGACAGTGGTTATCGGGGAGAGTGTGTGCTCCTCCTTTGACACGGTGAACCGTCATCTCACCTTCCCTCTATAGTTGCGAATTTTGCGGCGTACGCCTTTGCCCCACCAATATTGGTCACCCCGTTAGGTGCCTTGAGCGTCATCATTGGGTATGCTCGTTCAACTTGCCACTATATGCGCGAATCTGAAGCTTCCTCCTTTCAGTGCAATTCTAGCGTCATTTCTACTGGATGAACGCCTCGGCCACCTTGGTCGGGTAGGATGCGCGTTATGTCTACTAGGCTCCCTGATCATTGTACTGCACGCGCCGCCAGACAAACCCATTGAAACGGTTGACCAGATCTTGCACTTCGCGCTACAACCAGGTGAGCCCCGCTCGCGTGTTCTCCTTCCCCGTCCAATTCCTATAACTCTCCCACCGCGCAGGATTCCTGTTCTACTGTTTTGTCGTGGCGGTCTTCTCACTGTGCATGATCTACTTCGTCGTACCGCGATACGGACGCACGTTCCCGCTCGTGTACCTGTCCATCTGCTCGCTTGTCGGTTCCGTCTCGGTCATGGCGATCAAGGGGCTCGGCGTCGCGGTCAAGCTCACCTTGTCGGGGAACAACCAGTTCGGACGCCCCGCGACATACGTTTTCGGCCTCCTCGTTGCGGGCTGTATCGTCGTACAAATGAACTACTTCAACAAGGCGCTCGACACCTTTTCCACGAACGTGTACGTATTTCTTCCCCATTCCCTCGTGACTCCATACTCACCTATACACGCTGAATTTCTAGTGTGAACCCAATGTACTACGTTGGTTTCTCAACAGCGACAATCGTCGCGTCCATCATCCTTTTCCAAGGCATCAACACAGACGATCCCGCAAACTCACTCTCGCTCCTCGCTGGGTTCATCACGACCTTCCTCGGCGTGCACCTCCTAGAGCTCTCGCGCAGCGCAGAGTCCGGACGGCCCTCGGACGACGGGTACGTGCGCACGCGCGACGGGGACGTCGTCGGGCTCGAAACGATATACGAGCCCGAGCCGGGAGAGGACGACGAGGACGAACGGACGCACCTGCGCTCGGGCGGCGGCAGCCTCGACCGCGACCGCGCGCACGGGCTCGGACTCGGACTGGGGCTCGGTAGCAGAACGAACGGGGACTTGCACGTGTAGATCCTGCCTCCTTGTGCCGATTACGCGCATATACTTACATACCATTCCACTGCATGAGCGCGATCGGACACTGCCCGTGGCACAGCACCGCGTTTGAGCGGCCGAGCTCGGACTCTTCCCTCCCCGGGGCGGCGCGTGTGGGCGTAACTTATAGTATTGTACGGGGATCTATGTGTAGAGCTAGTGTACGTAATGATACATCTGTAGTGCGCCGCGGGCGCGCGCGGTGATGGTACAGCAGGATGTACATGCGTTGCAACGAATGTGGGCGTGTGTGCGTGCGGAGGTGCGGGAAACGGCGCGAAGGAGTGTGGAGGCGCGTAGGACAGGCGACATGCAGTAATAAAAGTATGTGCAGATGGGTGCGAAGGGGCGAATGCGGGTGATACAGCTAATGGCACATGGGGCAGCAACGGAGACAAAGGCGAAGAGGCGGCGCGAGATCTAAACGTGAGGGTCATCGTATAAAGGTCATAACGGGGTTGTGGCACGCCGGTCTGGCTGGGCTATTGGTCGGCGACCATCTTCATCGCCTCGTACACGCGGATCGTGCGGACGTGTGTCGTGTTCTTCTTGTTCGCATCGAGACCGGCGTACATGGGCGCGAGACCTTTGGGCGTGCCGAATGTAAGGAGCGCGGATTTGAAGGGCGGTGCGTGCGTGTGCTCCGGTTCTTCGTCGATCATTCGCAGGCTCGGGATGTCTTGGGGCCAGTTGAACCGCTTGCGCCGGAAGCTATGCAGGAGTGTTAGTCATGGGCCGCCTATTGGTAAAATATGAAAACACGCACCACTCGTAGTCCCAGAGATAGTCGTCGACATCTCGTTCGGAGACGAGCGGCTCCCCTTTCTCGCCTCGCGAGCTCATCATGAACTTCGATAGCGCGTACTTGCACCCAAGGAGCGTGTTCATGTTCTTGCAAGCGTGCATCTCCAATTCGAGCGGTGAGCACGGGATGAACGTATGCGGCAGCAGAACGATCCCCGGGGGCTGGTACGGCCCCGCGGAGGGCGGCGTGGCCCGAGCCTTGTCGTCCCCGAACAGTAGTTGACGCGCCTTTGGGGAGATCCCGTCCATGCCCTTCGGGTCACGGAGACCGTCCTCGCTGGTGCGCCCCGCGCGGCCACCCTTCTCCTTCTCTTTCTCGGCCTTGCGATCCTTCTTAGAATCGATCGTCAACCAGCTCGGGCGCCCCTTCTCCCCGTCCTCGCTGCGGCGCTTCTCGCCGGAAGCCACGCCCGCTGGCGAAGCTGCCGCATGGTCCTTGGGGCCAAAGTTGACGCCCTCCATCAACGCGCGCGAGGGCACAGCGAGCTCGAGCTTCTGCGTCTCCCGCGCCCACTTCGGCCCGAACACTTCGTGCAGCCACCGGATGAGGAAGAGGTGTGGGTGGGCATGGATGCCATTCATAATGAGCATATTGTCGAAGATGAATTCGAGCTCGCTTGCGGTCTCCGCCTTGTGGCCGTACTCGACCTCGGAGACGCTGCGCGCGTGGCGCGCCTTGGTGGCTCGCGGCGAGCCGGGGCCGTGCAGTGCATCCGGGATGTGTCGCTGCGACGCCGAGCGGGTGAGCGCCGCTATCCTGGGCATGCTGTTGAGGTGGGAACCGCTAGGCGTGCGCGGCAGATTGGGTCGGGGCGACCCTTGCGAAAGGTCCATCGATAGACGGGGGTGGGGCGGGACGCCGGGGAAGAACAGGTCGTCGTCGATTAGTTCGAGCCGGCCGCCCGGCTTCAAGACCCGCCAAACCTCGTGTAGGATGGCGAACCATTTGCGCTTTGAGATGCACAAGGTTAGATTCGCCATTCGCACAAGGTCGAACGAGTTGTCGTTGAATTCCAGGCCGTACTTGACGCTGTATGGTGTGTCAGCATAGCACGGGCGGAACGTACGACCTGGACAGATACGACGCACAAGTTTCCCCGTTTCCACTGCACATTCTTCGGCGTATAGCCAGGTTCTCGTTGTGGCTTGACCTCCCCTGCGTCGTTGTTGTGTAGATCGATCAAGTCGAGACCCGTCACCTTCGTGTCATGGTTCCCCCACACCTTCGCGGCGTGCAAAACCCAGAAGCCCTCGCCGCAGCCAATATCAAGTACCTGCGACGGCGGCTTCTTGCCGTAGTCATGGAACGTCGGTGAGCCGTTAGGGCAAAGCCGACGGAGCAGTCTATGAGTTTGATGATCGCTGGAGAGATGTCATTTAGCCACGCGTGAGGCACCACACCGGAGAACGCGTACTTTTCCAGCAATATCTGGCTGTACGCCTGCATATATGGTACGTCCTCATAGCGGAATGGATGATGTGGCATGTTGCGCCGACGAACGGTCCTATTCCGATCGTCAAACGCGTCTTCCTCCTCTCTGCGCATACCGATCGAGCCGGGTAAATCTTCCGAGTCAACGGTCTGGAAAGAGGTCTCGTCGAGGTGTAGCGCGGGGGGAGTGTGCTTGGATGTTTTCGAGCGGTTATGGCCATGCGAGGACGGCTTGAGCGATTTAAGAGCTTCACCGATAGAACGCTTTGTCGTGAGTTGGCGTGGCCGGACAGACTTCTGCGTGATTGTGCCCTGGGAGGGAGACAGGGGCATGGCACCCTCGTCCATTGACGACCGCGACCCCTCTGACAGGTCAGAAGTGGAGTCCGTGGCTGAATAGCGCACGTCCTTTTCTACTATCGACGCGATGTACGAGTCAAAGAGCGACGGGTGATCGGTGTCGTCCTCAGACGAGATCAGAGGGCATAGAGAGTCGGAGCTTTGTAGGAAGGGCATGGTGTCGAAGGAGCCGTCCAACAGACTGCCCTGCGGAGACACAGGAGAATAGATGACAGGTGACATAGCGTGTAGAGCAGGTCGTTGCGAGGACCAAGAGGCAGACCGTTAAGTGGCGGGAGACCTGACAGATGCTTTGTATGAGAGACAATGGGTCTTGGAGCGGGGTGGTGCGAGGCTAGGTGGGCATTGACGAACGAGAGAGCGTAAAGCGAGTGTGTGGACTGGCAGAGTGGGCAGGACTGCGGACTGGAGACTGGGGCGCTGCAGTATATGTTACAGAACCGGGAGCATCCACTGGCAGGAGGCTGACACTGATGCCGCCGGCGCTCCGATCTTCCGCCTGTTAGCATCCGCATCCGGCTGTGCTTTGGTCAGATTAATCCAGTTCGGTCCAGGTTGCAGATGAGACCAAGGAGCGTGGGTCGGACTTGGCTGGGATGGAGATGCACCTGGACGAGTGAGTGGCCAAAGTGTGAATTGGCGCGACTTGCATCCAGGGTGGGTTAGACGCCCACCGATCATTTGTGTGGCGAGGGACAATGCATGGAACGAAATATAGTGGCCAACCTTGGACAAATGGAGACATGAATTATCGGAGCGATATGTTCTGAATGAGTATATGTGTCATGCACGATTGGCCACGGCTAGAGGCCACCTTCGCGCGTGATGGGGCACTCCGCGCGGCACTGTTCGGTCAGCCGGGAAGATACAATACACGATGCACTCAACCAGGGGCCCTATTCTCATCTCTCAGCGGTGATGGTGCGTTCATAAGTGGGACTCAATCATCCTTCGGCGGCGGAGGGCCGCAGGGTTGCAACATGCGCTGAAGCGATGCGTTCAGTATGAGGAGTGACACTGTATAGGGTGAAGACGTACCTCCGTCATTTCGAACTTGACTCTGCCCACAGCCTCTCCGTCCGCAATGGCAAGGTATGAAGTGAGAGGAGGGTGACCAACGATAGATGCAAGTGTATCCCTGTGCTGATGGGTAAGCCATTCGCTGGGTTTTCGGTCAGCGACGTCCCGCTTGTGAGATGTGATTGCCTACTATTTCGTTAGGTCGGCATGGCCTGGTTTTCAAGTTAGCGTAGGTTAAAAGGGACGTGTATTCTGAACATACCAGTGCCAGTATAGCGAGCATGAACTAAGCAATCGGAACGGTCAGTAAGTGGGGTTTGCGACCTTTATTCATCACTCACGGTGCTCAAGTTGAGTGTTGGCAGTGTAACGCAGCTCAGATGACTGTAATCAGATCATGCTCAGTGTGATGATATGCGCAGGAATGGACGAGTGATCTACCATGGTCAAGGGATGTGGGTGTTGCTGCCTGACCTGTGAGCCTGTGGCTGAAGCCTTCAATCTCAATCGAGCCGCTCCGCTTATTACTGCCGAATTTTCGCTATTCTTGCGTCAAAAAGACGTTATGGCGGAGTTGGTTGCGACGTCTGCTCAATCAAGGCTGTCTTCTAACCGGGCGTTCGATCCCGCAACGTATTTCCATTTTCTCGCTTGTCCTGCGCGTCTGGCAGACGCCCGAGCGGTAAAGTTGCCCGAGCTGGACCCTGCTCCTGACATCTTGCCTTGGTCTCCCGTTTGCTGCTGCTACCTCCGGAGCCTGTAACGAACACTACGACACGATGTCTGACGGCTCAGAAGTGCTTCTGTCCAAGCTCGACTCACTAAACGACTCCCTGGATGACCTTGAGGAGAGACTAGAGCCGCTGCTTGCGCAAACACTTCCGGAGTCCTTGCTACCTCTAGAGACGATCCAACAAGTCAAGCTAAATGTCGCATTACCCTATCTTGTATATGACCTCGTCTTCAGTCTGTTTCCTTCCCCGTTCTCCATGAATCCTCGCTCATGTCCGCGCCAGTCTATCTGAAAACGCGGGGTATTGACCCAAAGACGCACCCTGTGGTGGCTGAACTCGTACGCACTCTGCCCATGCCTTGACAGAACATATCACTTACGTGGCCCTGTAGGACCGTGTCAGACAATACTTTGACAAGATCAAGAACGCGGAGGACCCAGAGAAGAGTACGTCCTCATCCATCAGCTTTTGTGCAGCGTGTTAAATATGCGACTCGTGCCTAGGGAAAACTGCCGTCGACAAGGCCGCAGCCAATCGTTTCATCAAACACGCTATTGCGCAAGTGCGGTTCCAGCGGCCCCCAGGAGATAACGAAGGGCCCTCGCACATTCGCTTTAACGCGGACGGCGGCGCCCCTTCGGCCACTACAGCCCCTGCCGCAGCCATCCCTGTGAAAGTTACGAGCAAGATGCGAGCACGGGCGGAGTACGAGCAGCAGCTTGCGGAGCAGGGGAGTGACGCGGACGCGGACGAGCTGGAGGTGTTTGGAGATGGCGAGGACGGTGGAGGGGATGAGGACGTGCCGGAGGCGAAGAGCCCGAAGGACAAGGGCAAGGGCCGTGCGACAGAGGCGACTGACAGTGTTGAGGCCGCCAGTGCCAAAAAGCGGAGACGACCCGCAGTGGACCCGTTTGCTGGTATGGTGTTTCGTTATATCCTGTGTGAGGTTCTTTCTAACCATAATTTGTGCAGGTTACGGAGACAGCCAAGATACCAAGGCCACAAAATCGCCAAAGAAGAAAAAGCAAGCCTCTGTGGCGACAGAAGGCGACGACGTCCCGATAGGTGTAGTGGTTTCAGGAAGCAACACGCCCACTTCCACTCCTAGCTCAGCGAAGAAAGACAAGAGCAATAGGAAGAAGACGAAAAAGAAGCCCAGAAAGTCTTCATGAGACTCGCTCCTGTACATTACGCGTCCTGTCCTAGTTCCTGCGCTCGTGTATCCGGGCGACTTCGACGAATTCCAGGATAATGCATATGTTACACGGCTCATAAGCTACTCGTACAGCGCCTTCGTACACCCCCAGTACATTCATATTGTAATATGACAACAAGTCCACTATCCTACAATGGTGTGGCCGAAATCTAACGATCTTTACATCTGGAGCCTGAGCAGGGGAAAAAAGTCACGTACAGATACTGTACAATCAGAGTACAACAGATCCGGGAGAGCATAATATACAGTCACTCGCGAACGATTCCGAGCGCGAGACATGGCGGTTCCCGCCTACCTTCCTCCTACCAGTCTATGTTCCCCTTCGACCTACATGATGGTACACCCATCGCGCCCCTCCCCGCCGTCAATCGCGAGCGGCGAACCAGGCCCAGACCTTCGCCCACTCGGAGTCCACCAACGGGTGCGCCCCCCACCCGATTCCACGTCCGCAGCCGCCCCGCTGCTCGCCGAGCTATTCGCAGACCTACGCGCAGTCTTGCGCCGCTTCTCGCGCGCAGCCCGCACAGCGTCGACCGTCTGCCACGAGTAGAACGTCTTGAGCACGACTCTGCGTGGGTCGCACTCGTCCTGGCCGACGCCCAACGCCTCCCCGTCGCGCGCGTCGAGGAACGCGAGCCGGCGTGCGTCCCATGCGCGCCACCCGCGCCGCGGCCGTGTCTGCCCCACGACGTCGCGCACCGCGAGCTCGCCGACCGCGCGGCAGTCGATCGCGCCGATGTACGGGTCATTATGTGCGCGCTTCCGGGAGAGGGCGACGAACTCGCGCACAACGGCGCTGTTCATGCGTGTGTTGTCGGCTTCGAGCACGTGTAGCCGGGGGCATCCCCGGACGAGGGCGAGCAACGCGTCGTTCGTCAGGTTTTCCGCGTAGGACACGACGAGCTGCTCCAGCGCGTGGCCCGTCTGCGGCGGGGGCGCTGGCTGACCACGTCGAGCGGGCGCCGGGGCGGGATTCGCATCGAGTGGGGTCAGCGCGGCGAGGACCGCGTTCGAGATCTCGCGGGCGTCCTCGAGGTCGAGCCGGCGGATATTCGGCGTCGTCCCGAGGAGGTGCACGAGGCCCGTGTCGCGGAGGTCCGCGCCGATGCCCGCGAGCTCGAGGAACTCGAGCTTCGGGACGGCGAACGCGAGGTTCGTGCAGGCGTGGTCCGTGAGCATGAGGCAGGAGGAGAGCGCGAGATGGCGGAGGCGCGTCACGCGCTTCCAGTACTTCGACGGGTCGGTAGGGTCGCGGCCCGCCTCGCGCGCGGTCAGCTCTACAGAGTCGACCTCCTTCGCCTCGTTCTCTGTGAGGGACACGAAGGCGTCAATGGCGGAGTTGTGGAGGTGCCGCGCGTAGCTGAGGTCCAGAACCTCCAGGTCGGGGGCGGCCTTGCCTAGACGTTGCATCATCTCGTCTGTGACCCGCTTCAGTCCGCTCAGGCGCAGGACCTTGAGCCGCAAGGTTTCGCCGCGCAGGAGCGTGGAGGATGCCAGAGACCGGATGCCTTCTCCGTCAAGGTTGCTGCACCTGCTCATGTCGAGCTCAACGAGCTTGGGGCAGTACGTCGCCAGGATCGTGCACGTGGTATTGGTCACCGCTGCGATTCCTTTCACCAGCAGCGTCTCCAGCGAAGGTGAGCGAATGAGAAGGTGGTGCAAAGACCGAGTAGAGAGTATCGTGCATCCCTGGAGGTTAATCGTCGTGATGCGCGTATGGGGGAGATCGCCAGGATACGCCGCCTCGATACAGAGGCCCTCCGTCATGTCGGTAAGCATGTCCGACGTAAGGACCGGCATCCCCGCGAGCTCGAGCTGCTTCACGAACCCGCCCGCGTCCTTGCACAGGCGTGCCAGTGCGGCGGGCGGGAGCTTCGGAAGCCGCGACCAGAGTTGCCCATCGAAGATGAGGCTCCGCCAGGCCTTGGACACCTAGTAGGACCGGTCGGTCATCACTGCAAAAATGAAATAGCAATGTGGGGGTACCAACCCTGCTCAACTTGAGAAGCTCTACGATGCCCTTCTCGGCGCCGACCCACCTATTTCGTCCGGCCTTGCGCGCCGTCCAACGATCGCTCGTGACCAGCCGCTGGTGCTCCTCCTCATGGAGCTCGACGAGGGCCGCCAAGACCTGCAACTTCAATTCGCGCGGCAGGTATTCGTCAAAGTAGTTAGGTACTTCAATTTGGATGGCTTCTGAGATGTCAGTCGGCGTCACGGGAACGATGTCGAGCGGGGAAGAAGACGATAGAGGGAACGGTGAAGAGTAGGAACGTCCCTTTGCACGAAGGATTGCGAGCTCGGACGGCGGTCCGACGCGGTAGATCGGGGAGAGCGGGGTAATGGGACTAGACAGACCGACGTCAATATCCACCAAGGTGCCCTGCGGAGGGATGCTACGGGCTTTGAGGTCGCGTGCCCACGGCAGGAAACAGCTGCCCCGCCCGATCTCTATCGCGCCCGGGAGGTCTGTGTCAATAACGGGGGTCTGCGAAGGGGTGGTGAGGTCCGTCGCGTCAGGGGTCGACTCCCCCCTCTTCAAACGCAGCTTGCGCGCGATGTTCCCCGGGCTCTTCGCGCCCGCGAACTTCACCTTCACCTTGGAGAGCGAGAGCGCCGAGAGCGAGCGGGTGGAGCGCACCGACGCATTCGACATCGTCCGCTGCCGCACGGGGATCTGGTCGATAGGCGCAGGAGTCGCTGGGGTCGCCTCGGGCGTGACATCGGGGCTGATGCCCTGGTCAGACTCGCCGATCGACGCGAACGCGGACCCCCAGGACGAGGGCCCGGCGGTTTGGGGGGACATATCGTAAGCGGACCACTCTGGCTGGCCGGCGTAATCGAAATTGGAGGGAAAGAACACTAGAGGGGGTAGAGTGGGGGGCTGCTCGCGAGTCTTGCCCTTGCCCGAGGAGGGCCCGACATTCTCGCCTAGTGCGTCTACGGTGGTGTCCTCGTTGCAAGTAACGAGTGCGGGGGAGGACTCGAGCGCAGAAGGAGAAAAGCTGGTTTCAGCGGAGGACGATCCTGGGCCGTCGATCCGGGGAACAAGGGGCTCACGACCGTGGATGTATAGCGGCTGAGAGACACCCTTGCCCTTCGGTGGGGATGAAGTCGACCCGTCCATCTGGCTGGTCGCGGGGGGCTGATGAGCGTACCAGTAAGAGGTCAGAGGAGAGGAGGACGGGAGGGGTGGAACAAAGGACTCGTGTGGGCCTAGAGGACGGGGCAAGGGCTCGCGCACACTCTCCTCGAGGCAACGGGAAGCAGTCAGGAGTTCATAAGAGTCGAAGAGGAAGAACGGGTCGTCGTTATCGATGTCGTGCGTATGGCTCATGGCGAGAGGCGGCGGTTCTAGGACAGCGTGAGATAAGGAAAATAACTCAGCGAGCGGACTGAGGGGGCGACGATGGGATGGGCTGATGCTACGGGGACGCTAGCGGGTGGTTGTCGCAAGGACCATCGCAGCAGCGGGGCGCTGGAGAGGGGAGAAAGAGGGCCGCTCTCGGACGCAGCTGGTACGGCAGGGCGGCACAACGGAGCACACCATACCACTCCGCTTTCCCACGCCTGCTATATCGCCTGGCTATTGACCAGATCAGGCAAGACCGCCACAGTCCCATCCACGCCGATACCCCCACCGTGCCTGATCCTCACGGAACACGCATCGCTCGGAGCAATAGAGCATCAAAATTAGCGCACCGGCGAAGGCATAAGCTATAGTACAAACAACCACAACCTAGTCGTACAACCGCGCCCCGGGGCAGGTTCACACCTACGAACTATTCGACCCGGATGCCCTCGAGGCGGCGGGCCAGGATCTCGGATAAAGTACTGCGACGCGGCAACACCCCAGCAAGAACGAAAGAAACGGAGAGCACGTCGCGGAGGGGCGGAGCAGGCAGCGAGGGGCGCGCGCGGAGCGGAGGCGACGGCCGCGCGGGGCCCGCCTACTTGCTCTCCTTCTGCTTGTTCCAGTTGTCAATGACGAGCTTGAACCTGCGCGCGATGCGTCAGATAACGCTAGGCCCCCTCGGTCGATCAGATGCTAAGACGGTGCCGCACCTGTCCTTATGCGGCATGTCGGGATTTTCCTGTTTGAGCCGCGCGACCTCGGTCTGCATGAACTTGTTGAATTCCGTCAGCTTCTTCCGCCCGCCAGTGCTGCCCTTTCCTGCTCGCGCGCGACCCGCGCGTCAGCTTCCGCGTCCCTGCGCAGCACATAGCGCGAAGAAGTACGCACGCTTTGCCTTGAGGGACGGCTTCTTGGACGCGTCCGCCGCGCTCTGCTTACCGGTGGTGACGACCATCACGCGCTGCCTGCGCGCGTTCCCGCGCCTCAGCCCAGACCCCTCTCGAGCGACGGGAGCGACTCACCTGGTGTGCTGAACGGCTTGGGTGATTTTACGCGGGCCCCTGATGGGAGGGGGTGGGTCGTGGTAGGGGGGAGAGAGGTGGGTGACGCACCTGCGCCGGCCAAGGGGCTCTTATACGACGGCCGAGCTGGGAGGAGGACCGTGCACCGTGCACGGACACGGACAGCTGTTTTAGTCCCGTAGCGCCCTACCTTCGCGCTTCCCCGCGCGCCCCCGGTCACCCCCGCCACGCGATCCCCTGACGTATTTGGCAACCGTTGTGTTCGCGCCCTCCCCGCCGTCCTGCTCCCCGCCCGCCGTGCATCGCCGGCGGGTCTCAGCACATCCTCAGACCATTCTGTCACCCGCTCGCCGCTCAACGGCGCGGAATGCAGCGCTGGAACCCGCACAGAACGGTCTCAGACCGCCGCACACTCGCTCGGGGTCGCACCGGTCGCGTGAACGTGTACATAATGGGACTCGACCCTAGATATCACCCCTCGCGATCTAACTCAAATTCAGCTCCAACCGCAACCGCTTCGTGTGAGAACGGGGGCGCACCGTGATCTGCGGGGGGCATCAGAGGCAGCCGCGGGTCGCGACGGCGGGACACCGCGGCGACGAGGGTGTCGAATGTGTTCCAGCTCACGGGCGCCTCAGGCTGGCTCGCGGTGTAGTGCACCACCGTCGAAGGCCCAGCAGATCGGAGGCCCTGGCAGATCCGCGCGGGGTCCTGGCCACGTCAGAGCGGCGGCGCACGGCCCAGAATGCCGGGTAGAACGTCTGCTGTGTTCCTGCTCGTCGTGCATGGCTCGACGGGGAGAAGCCGCACAGGGGTCGAGAATAGTCCGCCAACACGCAGCGTGTGTATACGGAAAGTTTATTGGGTCTAGGTCGAGCCATGGTACGTGCCGGGCACCGCAGGCAGCACAGAGGTATAGGGTAGACGGAGCGCTCGCCAACGTCGACGCTGAGTCTGATTCCAACTTATGCCCATCCACAAACAGCTATATGCCTGCCTCTTTCGCAACCGCCCCACCGATCCCTGCTATGCTGTCGATTATGCTGTTCCCGTTGATGATCCCCGTCGTCGCAATTAAGAATTTACGTCCTGCACAACCGACGCGTGTCGTCGATTTAGAAAGGGAACCACACGACCCAGAACGACCGAAGAACCTACCTTTATTCTGCCGCGAAACCCAGCGCAGCGCCGCGATCTCAGTGTAGGTCACCCCACCCAGGAAGAACACCACTGTCGTGGTCGCCCGCTCTCTTGGCAGCACTGCTCACCGGTACGCAAAAATAAAAAGTTCATCAGTAATGTCCGTGCGGGCGATATGAAAGCATAACCCACTCAGGGTCGAAACCGGGGGAAGGCCGGCCCCATCCTGGCTGCCCGGCACCCTCTGCACGGCGTCGACCGTCTCCCCGGGGATCGACGCGACGACGTCCTCGAAGCCCTTCCACCCCACGATGGGGTGCGCCTGCACCATGGGCGCGGCCGAGGCCCGCTTCGCGCCGTCCTCGCCCCCGGCGCCCTTCCTCTCCTTCTCTGCCGCCGGATTGCTCAGCACCCCGCCCTTCTGCGCCACGCACTGCACCAGCCTGACGCTGATGGGCGCGAACCCAGAATAGACGTAGCTGATGTCGTTCTCGAGCTCCTCGAGCGGGTCGGGGTCCTCGATGAGCAGCCGCAGCGATTTCCGTAGGCCGCTGTAGGGGTACTTGGAGTCCGCGACGGCAGCGGGTGTGTTCGGAGGTAGCGGGTTGGGGAGCAAGACGGCCAGCGGTGGTGCCGCCAAAGATAGAAGCAGCGGCAGGTAGTTATACCCGTATGTCTGGGTGGAGCTATAAGTACTGACACTAAAGCGCGGCAAAGCTGGAACTCACCTGGAGAATTTCCCGCTTTATATTCTCTAGCGACTTGGCTTTAACCCCGCCCAGAACGATACTAGCTAGGCATAACAGCCGCAAGACAAGCCTCATATCTGCCCCCTGTGCTATCATGTCCTCAATGGCCGCAATCTGGGCATTGGTGTCGTACAACGCCAGAAGATCTTTCGGGCCCTCTAGTCAGATCGCAAGGTCACGAGCGACGCTAGCGGACTTACTCTGCTGGATCTCCAGCGACCTGTTGAACTCCTCCGTCCTCGTCATCGGCACGAGCATCTCCGACAAGCCGGTGTCTGCAGCCGCAGCAGTCAGCATCGCATCTTCTGAGAACATCCCGCCCGGTCCCACGTACGCAAGCGCAATGACTGATGCTCGGACTGCAGGCCGCCCAATTTCCCAACGAAGTCGCGCAGCTGCGCCACCGTCTTCGCCTGGTGTCTGAGCTAGAATGGGGGTCAGGGTAATGGTTGAGGCGGTTGCCGCGTGTGGCCGTACCTTGTAGTCCTCGTCGAGCCGGCGCGCTACTTGGTTTAGCTTCTTCCCTACAGCTGAGAAGTTGAGGTCCTGCAGCTCGGCGAGAAGTGGATCGGTGGTTGTCGTCAGGTGATGTTTGCGTTTCTTCTCCTTCGTGAGGGTGTTTGCGGGGGGCACAGGGGCGGAAGTCGAGGCTGACGCTTCTCCTGCGTTCGGTCCTGCGGGAGGGGTTACCAGGGACACCGGCAATTCAACGTGCGCTACAGCAAGAAAAATGTACTTCAGGAAACACGTAAATACAGTCTGCTATGTTCACGCACAGTTCTTGATCCCAATGAGCTCGTCGACCAGGCCTTCGTACGTGAGCTGCGTTAGGAGGGGTGAAATCATATCCACCCGACGGTCCAAGATGATGAGCGAGTCCATGGTCTCTGAAGGTGCGTTCAGTAGGTTGTCCGAAGGTGCATTAGGGCTTTGGTGCGTGTTCTTCGAAAGCAAGCTTGCAAGACGCTGTTCCAAATATCAGCACTGAATCCTATACACGTTCGAGTATTCTCACAGCCGCATAGTCACCCTTCCCGACTATTCTGGGGAACAGACCATGGAGCTTCTCCAGAGTTACTAGCGCTTGCATGGAGTCGTAGATGACACTCTCGTCCCCATCCTGCAGGAGGGTGAGTCTCACACAGACAATGTGCGGAGTGCCTAACGTACTGACCACCCAAATCTCCTTGAACGCATTGTCGTTCTCCAGCGAAATTACGTCCTCGGCCAAAGGAATGAACTGCAGGTTGTACGAGGATATCGTGACGTCACCGAGGACGCCCTCTTCCTCCAGGATGCGCGTAACGAGCGTCGACGTTCGTGGGACCAGGAGGAGAGTGTATGTATGCTTCTGCGACTCTCTAGCGTGCCGTTTGATCTGGTCTTCCGACAGATGAGGATGTCCTAGAAGCACACGGTATGTGAAGAAGCCGCCTGACCTGCTATGATCTTGATCCACCTTATGAGTGGTCTACAGAGGTAGACGATGTTCGTGGACGTTGCTGATAAGGGGCCAGCTTCAAGCCAAAACATCTTGTCTACACCATGATGCTGTGAGGAGTCAGAGACCGCACGCAGTATCGCTAGACGTGACGGACCTTGAGGAGCGCGACTTCAGTTACTAGACCGAGAGGTCCAGCGAGTGTAGGATCAAGGACCAGAGTCTTCGCGCCATTAACCTATAGCAGAGTGAGCCCCAACGACTCCCCCAGCTTCCACAGGGACGACAGCATACGGAGTTGAGGGAGTCAATCAATGCTTTCCGGGCAAGCTCCTTCAGGACCGACACATCAAGGAGCGCTTCATTGCCGCTGTCTGCTTTCGACACCGCTGCCTCGGAAGGGGGAACAGAGCTCGTAGCCATAGCGCGCAGAGTGAGTACGGTTGTCGGACCAAGCCTTGAAAGTAAGTGAATAGACGAGGTCTGAGGAGAGCAGGTGGTGGGCGCGTGCAGACGCTGCTCGCGGACCGCGCGACGCGTCGCGCTATTCGGGCGTCTACGCTACTTCGCGTATGCAGCGGTTCGTGCTGCTACTACCGGCCGCAGTCAATACGTAGGCCCTTCGCGCGTTGAATTCGCCTTCGAATCCAACCACCCAGTGCTATCGCATGAAGCTGAAGTCGCAGGGGGACCTAGTCCTATATGATCTATCCATTGATATGTAATGGCTACTCGTGGGGACGGGATTGACCCTCACATCACTTAGTATGTGCAAAGGTAGCCCGGGGGGGAAGCTCGACTTTGGTCTGGTATCGGCGGAGGACCATGCAGAGATAACCAACAACTGCTTATGACAACGCGCAAAGGACAAGGTATTTTACAGGGCAAGGATAGGAAGTGTTTGCAATATACTGCCGGTGATGGTGTCAAGAAGGGTCTGTAGCCTGGAGGAAAGTTTCGGTCGGGGCGGACATACGTGACGAGAGCGGAAGTTACAGCGGCCATGCGCTGCCAGTGGACCACGCCAATATATAAAAAGTTCGAGACGCGAGTGGTTTGCTCGAAGTATCGAGTCGGCGTTCACTGCATTGTGCAGAGCGTTGAGTGAGCCAGATTACAGCACAACCCAAATAGAGCGACGCACACAGTGCCCGCTGAGGGCCATCTGTTCGGCAGCCTTCTCCTTCGCGGCCTTCTTGGAGTCGCCCACACCAGCAAACACCTCCAGGCGTTCTCCTTCATCTAGAGTGATAATGAGATGTCGTCCCGGTACATCAGGCGGTACTTAATTCACTCACAGACGGGGATGGCTTTAAAGATAGGGATGTGATCCTTCCCTCCAATCCTCTCTACTTCCCACTCAAGCGCCGTGCTCCCCCATTGATTGACCTGCGGGAGATATCCCCACATGGGCTGAGCGGGATGGAACTGGTACTTTCCGACACGGTCCAGGAACGAACTAAACATGATCATAGCCGAAGGTGCAGAGGGATGGGAAGTGGAGGGTTAGACGTAGCGGGCGAGCGATTGGGGGGGTACGAACCTTTCGAGGTCCGCTCCTCAACTTTATGTGCGCCCCCGACGGGAGCAAAGAGTTTCTAGAAAACACCCACCTAACCACACATACATGTTTGCCCTGTCACGGCGAGCCCAGACCCTTGGAGCTCCAGCACCGATTCCACCGTTCGCGATCGTTTCCCAAGCCGCATCCGGAAGCACAGCTGCTGTTCGGGGCTGCAGGAGGTCAGCGAACAGGACGCGAACGCGGTGGCGGAAAGGCTCCGCAGGGTCCCCAACTCGTGCAAACCTAATATCGGGCGAGCCTGCCGGACTGGGGCCAGCAGAGGTTCCAATCTTGGCTGGGAGAGCGCGAGCTCGCCGCGCAGATGAAGTGTAAGAATTGCTGTTCGCAGGCCGCATGACCTACCCATGAGAACCATTACTGAATCTGATAGTGACCATCATTGCGTGCGAGCGCCTAGCGAAACGCTGCAGCACCCTGCGGCATCGTAAGGGTGAGTCCGGGAACGACATTGTCCGCATGAGTGTACAAGAAAGGATTGTTCGCGTGTAGTTGGAGCACAAATGCATACATTATATCTGTGCCGACAGATGAGTATCGCCACTCTGCAGATTGAAGGAACACATACGAATACGATGAAGCCTACTAGATCGAGTTCCGCCGGGCACTCCGACCCCGCGTCCTCCCTGACGCCGGCTTGCTCGCCTCGCCTACGAAGGCCGACGGGAGACGCCCTTCTGCATCGAACTTCTCAAGGAACGCCAACGCGGCGTGGTAGCCCTTCTTCTGTATCTCCTCGAACTTACCAAACTGTAGGGTGCCGTACTGCGCCCATGCGTTCAATGTCAGCCTGTCGTGATCCACGTCCACACACACAGGGACGTACCTCCTGCACCGGCATTTGCATGTACAGACAGCCACCAGCGACTTTGGCCTCCTCAAGGGTCTTCACGCTCGATACACTGCGGACAACGTTAGTGGGAATGTGACAGCAGCCCGTCAAAGCATACGCACTATGCCAGGCGCTGCTGCAGCTCGGTAATGGCGGGAATGTTCCGCGTGCTCGAGAACGGATTCCAGCGATTGATGAAGAGCCATACTCCAGAAACCGAATCGCCGAAATTGCGGGGCGAGTTATCATCGAGCTACCGCAGCACAGATGAGTGTGACGTCGAAGGCTGGAGAAGGCGATGGACATACCGAACCGACGTCCGAAGCGATAACAGCGCTCGCTCCCATGGCCATCATGGCAGATACCTTGGGAAATGGTCAGGGTCGCTGTACGATATGAGAGCCCGCCAAGGAACTCACCGGAAGGTTATCCACTGCAAAGGCGATCCGTCAGCGAAGTTCTCCATGTACGGTCGGCATAACGTACCGTAGCCTCCATCAACCAACATGTTTCCGTTGTCGCATAAGGGCGGGAGTAAGCCGACAAGTGTCATCGAAGCACCTGAGGGCGGCGTGAGGCGTTACAGTTCTGTCCGGGCTACTGAGAACACTTACGAATGAACCTCCACGCGTATCCCGTCTCGTGAATTTCCATCCGAGACGCGTTGATATTTGTGGAGTTGCAGAAGAATGGTAGCCACATGTCCTCGATATGCAGGTCATAGAACGCCTATCAGACAACTCAATAACGCCGTTCGACAGGTGCACGTTATGGACCGACCTTGTATATTGAGCGATTAAACTCATGGCCCTGTAAATTTTCCGTGAGTGCGAGCGATGCGGGAGTAGGACCGAATTGTGGCGAACCGTAGTGTACGCGACGATAGGATACGTGACGTCGGATAACATCCTCCAAATGTTGCCCATGCGTCCACTGAACTGCTTGGCCCGACCAGAGCTGGAGATGATGTCACCCTCGCGGGCATAAAGCCCACCGATGAGAGCGCCAATGCTTGTACCTGCCCAAACTGTCAGCCTTTTTGCCAACACCTTACAGAACGTGTCCGCTACTTACCGCCGATGTGGTCGACAGGTATGCCGTACTCCTCGAGCGCGCGCAAGACGCCCTACATCACGTTGAAAATCAGCCTGTCAGAGCATCTCCAACGGCGACTTACCAGATGCGATATACCCCGTGCACCGCCGCCTCCAAGAACCAGGCCAATTGACTTCCCGCATATCCTCCGGGCTAACCGCGCGAAGTCGCTGGCGTGAGGCGGGCGCTGTGGCCGAGGATCGGATCGTGCCCCCCGGTACTTCTGGATCTCACTCTGAACTCTGTCCTTCATCTTCTTCAGAGCAATGACCGCTGCGGGATCCTGTGGCGCGGCTGGTGCCCTCGCAACCGATGGGTTGATGCCCTGTGCAAAAATAATGAGTTTATGAGTTGTTGAGGGCGCCATTGCACTCACGGGTAGCTCGATGTGTATATGCCGATGCACCCAAGGTCGTATCTGTGCATGCCTGTCAGACTCCATACGTGGCCAGGGGTCAGGGCACGTACCTTCAGCCATTCTCGCGTCGATCCCGGAACGACGGAGCGATCAGGATGGAGCAAGACCAGCTCCTTCCTCGCTGTCGTCTTCAGAGAAAGCAGCAGCCTCTCGTACTCCCCTAAACTTGGGTCTTCGCCCATGCCCACCACCATGACGGAATCGGCCTACCATGCATGACGAGATCGTGAGACAGCGCATACGCGAGGCCAGCGACGATGCTCACCTGCCGAATGCACGTCTGTGTCCACGAGCTGCTCACAGCGGAGTCCGCAACATATAGCACGATGCGATATTTCTGCTCTTGCTCTGCGAGCCACCCTGCGGCTTTGAGCTTCCCCATACGAGTGAACGCATGCCGGCCGAGATGGTCGGAGACCGACGCCTGGTTCAGGAAGACGGTTGGGGCACCGACACCCTCGAGTGCGGCGTGCAATTTGCGCGCAAAGGTGTCGATGGGGATATTGCGCGAGACAGGGAGAATGGCAACGTTCTTGAGGTTGATGTTTCCACTCGCACGCTCGGGGGTAATGTGCTTGATGGAGGTGTCGAGCTCGCTTCGGACGCGAGACGCGATCATGCGCAGGAGCCTGTGTATATTCTCAGCAAATTGTAATGCCGATCAGTCAAGCGTAAATAACGCACTGTGCAGTGGTTTTTGGATTCCTACATATGTGCGTTAGCACTGGTGAGAGACAACGGAATACCGGCTCTATACACTCACCGGGAAGAAATGGCATTGAACAACGTCTGTGGCATTCGAATGAGCTCCGTGTCACGAATCGCATGTACCGTATTCCTGCGCGGGGAGCTCGTGATGACATCAAGTTCCCCAACGGTATCTCCCTGACCATATTCAGCCGTGATAGTGATCGCGCCGCTCTCTTTCTCAGTGATAGCACGAAGACGTCCGTTGATGACAATGTAGAAACTGTCGCTATCGTCCTCCGGTCGCCACAGCACCTGTCCTGCATCGACTTGGACCCAATCGAGTGCGCGATCGATGTGGAGGACTGTATAAAGGTCACATATGAGATCGATGAAGCCGAAATATCTGTATATGCATACCGATGGGGGAAAGAAGGGAGATCAACCGCTTGGCCAGAGTGAGTAGGACGATTGGTCTCCGCTCGAGCAAGCGCTCCAGCGCGGGAGACGGAAGGTATCCGACATAGGTATCGGTCTTCGCTACAATATCCATATAAGACGCGGTCTGACACAATGATGCTTCAAAGAAAATCAGCGAGTCTCGTAGCGGTAGGCAAGTATCAAGACTCACATAGGTATCCTGCGATGCCTCCAGGCTTGACAGTGAACAGAGGCTTCTGCGACTTGTCCTTGTTGACCTTTCCTGCACGTCCAGCCTGGGTGCTTTCAGGTCTTCCGGTGGATGAGAACTCCGAGCGCAGAGTGGGCCGTTCTGGTTCCTGAGTATCGTCTTGCTTCTTTGCCTTGTCCGTCTGACTAGAGTGACCCTCAACAGGTAGAATCATGTCGAGGAAGCCGTCGATCACGTAGAAGAGACCTAGCCATTCCGCTCAATGGATGTTTATGGATCAATAGGCTTCATTACATACCTGTATTCCTCTCTCCGGCCTTGGCTAGGATGGCGCCAGCAGGGAAGTAAAGGATCTCGACCTCGTTGTCCAGGTTGCTCAGGTAACCGTCCGCAAAGACAGATGATGAGCTCTCGGTCCTGCTACTCGACGCATCATCCCCGAGCTCAAGTAGCGAAAGTGACCCGAACGACGACCGGAAGGCACTTGCGCTGACACCTGCGGGGGACGACGAGTGGCGGCCATCGCTCGCCGAGAACGCGGGGGACGCCTCGACGGACTCATCGCCGCTGATCGGCGGTTGGATGAGCCCGATCGACTTCGCTATGCACGACATCACCTCCTCACGCAGGTCAAACTCGTCCGTCACGAGCCTCTGCACATTCACGTCCTGCCCAGGCGCATGTTCCTGTCGTGGTGTAGGCATCACAAACGTGCTGAACGTACGCGCCATCGGCCGCGGGCCTTCGCCGTTGTGCCCCGCCGAGGTGAGCAGGTCACCAGCCTGGACGAAGTGACGAGAGCCATGGGCCTTGAAGGGCGTCGCTGGCGAATATTTCGCGCCGGGATTGCCTTTGGGGGCCTTCTTGAGGCCATCGAAGAGAGACGATTTGGAGGAAGGGTTCTGCGAGGGGGGGTAGCTGAAGTAGTCGCTTTCCGAGTCGGAGTCGCTGGCTATTGAGACACCGTCGAAGCGCTGGCGGAGTTGCCTCAGACCCCCTTCATAGAACGACTGCGGTAGGGGGTGGCAAGCGATGTCGTTGATAGCCTTCTCGGTCCGGAGTACCTCAGTAGTGAGGCCGAGATAATTGTGTGCCGCGTTGAACGTGACGCGGGAGAAACGAGTGAGTATCACTGTGTGAGCGCACAGGGAGGTACGGTCAATCTTTGCTTTGACACAAACTTCAACCCACCTACCTTGGACGATATGTGCAGCCGCCTTAGGGAACTTCTTGGTAAGACGTTGGAACGCTTCGGCTGGGATAACAGCGAGTGTGCTGTCTTCTGCAGCGCGGGCCACAACGCTGTAGTGGACCTGTGGCACGGCAGATGCGTGGGTGTGGGTCGGGATCCGAGATGACGGAAGACCACCCGAAGGTATTCTGGGGGTCCGCATTTCACGAGAAGCCGACCGACCACGCGGTGAACCCATGTCAACGCCATGTACGGTCGAGCCTGAAGACGATACTGATCTACTCCGCGGGCGGCGACCGGGAAGAGAACTCAGGTCGAACGTGCTGACGTCGGAATCCGAACGCCGGGATCTCGTCCTTAGTGGGGGTTGCGCAGAAGAAGATCTGCTGCGGGGGTCCATATGTTCGTCTGGTCTGTCGCCGTCCTGCCAACTCATCTTGACATTCTCTGTAAAGAGACTAAGGATGGTAAACAGGCTAGATAGCGTTCCTCCAGAGCCGACTTGATTAAGCAGCTGGTACCCGTTCATATCTTCCTCGTCCCAGGAGCCGCTTTGGCCATCTGGAGTTTGCTGTCCTGTCTGGGCGTAAACTTGTACCGTGCCATCTATGACGCAGTAGAAACTCTTGTCCTCGTCAAGGGAAAGGGTGTCGCCCGCAATGAGGCGCCTAGTTTGCAGGTGCCTAGCGAGTTCGTGGAAAACCTGGAAGCCTGGGTGAGCGGGGCGTCAGCGCTATGGTCAGAATTAGAAGACTGACTGGCTTCTCCAAGAACCCAAACACGCGCACTGCCTGAAGAAACTCGTCCAAGTAGTTGTGGAACGCTGGGGGCTGTTCCGGGGTGTTCACGTCGGGGTGCAACTCTTGCGCGTCTGCCTTGACCAGGGGTGGCTCTTTGAGTTGTGTGTATTTGTTCAGATAGCGGAACCGGATCCAGTAGTTGAGAGCAACAGCAGCAGCGACGAATAGCAGTGCAAATGACCAGAAGTTTAGCTAGCGCGCATGAAGAGGTTAGAGACATGCCCCGTTTACGCAGAAGAGGTCGAGCATTTACCGTCAATGTCATAGAATAGGATAGGACTGCATAGATGAACTTGGGGACGGAGATTGTCGCAAATGCTACCAGTGCTTTGATCCAAGAGAGTACCCACACTACGTCGGTCCGTCAGTTGTATTGGTGTAGACCTGGAAGTTCTCGTACGCACAAATAACCCAAAAGAAAGCAGAAATCAGCAGAATGAGAGGATGCCTGTCGTCTGTAGCCACGCCATCGGCCTCCATTGTATCGGGTGGCACAAGAAGAGGCAAGACGGTCGTCGGCGAAGCTGAGAAGATGGTGGAAGAAAAGCAGAGTGCGAGGCACGGTGTCGGTAAACGTCTCGTCTTCGTACGTCCATCTATTAGACGCCCAATACTCGGCTGAAGGTTATCACTAGAAGTGCCGACTCAGCGTCGGCACTGACCTGAGCCTGATTGTTTCCAAAATCTTGACAACTCAAAATGTCTGTAGTCATTCTGCGAGGGCTAGTTTAGTTTAATTTCTCTAATATTGCGTCAGTCAGTACTTTCGCACCGATGTGTGTGGTACGGCAGGTGGGTGCGGGTGCTCGAATAGGACCGTCGCGCGACGAGATCTCTGGGATACGTACTTCGAGCGACTACGTAGGAAGGAGCCATACCGCCTCTAACCTGTTCCATCCGGTCGCCATAGCACCGTTGTATGCTACCTGACATGGTGTATATGGGTGGATAGATTTGTTACTCGAATTCTCTCGAAATGAACAGCTTCGGCGTGCACGTACACGGTGTGTTGGTGCAAATTAGCGCCCGGTTTTCCCAGGTTCAGCCGAAGGCGAATTTTCGCGAATTCAGCATCGTCATATATTTAAACGTCTCGCTCTCCTTCCCAAGTACGCATCTTATCGTCGCGTTGATAAGTACTCAACTCGCGCTGCGCGGGCGCAGTCGGGATGAGCAGTCGGGTATGCCGGGTGGGTTTAGCGCCCGCGAATTTCGAGTCGCAGAATTACCCTTCGCAGGCTCAGGTAATGTGCATCGACGTCATTGCTTGTTCCAGCCGAGCGCTCGTACGTTCTCTGTACCCTGCCTGGAATCCCCTGGAATCCCAGATCTGACTTGTGCCTCTTGACCGCGATGTATAACAGACCCATATAAGCCGAGCATGTTAAGCACGCAGAACAGCTATATACACCTTACACAAGCCAACTCATCTGAGCTGAGCCTACCAGAGTGATACGTCGACGTACCTTTTCAGATTGACTTGGTTGAATGTTTTGGTCCTGAACGCAGACTGATGTTGGATCCACAATAAGAGAAAATGTGCTTCCTCCATACACCATACATACAGAAATGAACATTGGACGACGACTAGCCACCGATGGCCGACACGACGAGGTCCGCGGCCGCCTGCTGCTCTGCCCGCACACCGACCTCGAGCGTCACTCCCTGCGCCTTTGAGTACGTCATGCGACACCTTACGAGGACCTTGCCGCCACCACCAGCAACAAGACCCGACAGTTGTAGCGCGTGTACCGTCGGGGATTGAGGGTCCTCCGTACCGCCTAGTGGTTGCATGTTGAGGATCTCGATGACCGAGTTGCATGCAGCTGTAAGCAGATGTAACCATGTTAGCAACCAATAGAAATTCAGGAGAAGAGCAACGTACCCTTGAGCGACTCCATTGCGGGGAGGGCGAACGTCTCTGTGAGCGACACGCCGCTGCGCATGCGATCCCACTCGGACGCGAACGTGACGTAGCTCGGGACAATGTAGTCCGACGCGGCAAGCTCCGTCTCTTCGAGCTGGTACTCGTCCTCGTAGCCCTCCTCTTCGGGCTCGCCCGTCGACGGGTCCAGCTCCTTGCTGACGAACTTGAGGATGCACTGGAAGGACGCCTGCACGTACTCCTCGGGGGTGTCGCGCGTGAAGGACACGTACACGACGCCGGGCGTGGATGCGGTGACGGTGGGTACGGGGATAATGAAGTCCTCGGTGAGACCAGACTCCGTTTGGGGCTGCATGATGACAGAAACTTGCTCCAAGACGGTGTCGGCGATCGTGTTTGACACATTGAACTGTAACACTGTTAGCTGAAAGCCGTGATGCTATAGCAGAATTGTCGTACCTGGAACACGATGTGCTCCCGGAAGATGTGCTTGACAACCGACACCTGGTACTCCGTCTCGCTCTCGGTAAGAGGTGCAGGCTTGACGCTGCTGCTGAGCACGTTTCCGTACGAGGCCAGCTCGGGTACCTCCGCAAGCTGTGAGGCATAGTTTGATTGCGTTTCCGCTGCAGAGGGAGGGGGAGGGGTCGCAGCCTTTGATGTTGAGGGCATGCCAAGGGTCTCAAGCGTGCTGACACCTAAAACACATACTATGAGCACATATCAAAACGCGGTATGACAAGGTATACGTACGGGCACTATCTTTTGCCGCCTGCTGCTTGCTGATCTTAGGTATGGAGGACATATCTAGAGGCTGGTCCAACAACTCAGGATCGCTCAGGTATGAGACAAGTTTTGACTCGAGCGCAGACAAAGAGTAGATGGATTCTGCGCGAGGTCAGAGTCAACTTCTCCCGTTCACGATGATAAACCGCTCACCCTCTTTGACGTAGGGCTGGATGAGAGGAGGCGCGGAGTATGCCTTGAGGTAGAGCGCAGCACGGTCGCGGACCTCGTCATCGACATCATCAAGACACCTGAAGCGAGTCAGTCATATTGGTAGACATAGAGGCGATCTCACTGACCGGTTGAGGAGGACATTGACGCTGCTGCCCAGCTTCGCATCGATGTTAGTCAATCCGAATTTACCGAGCGCTGCGACAGCCGCGGCCCGCACTGTCGCGTTCTCGAGCACGACGCGGTTGTAGATAAAGCGGATGTACTTCGTCGGCTGTGGCGCCTTGGGACCCTCGGCACCAAGCAGATGCAACACGCGGACAGAGAGCTTCGTGAACTCGCAGTCCTCGATGAACTCGCACAAGTGCGAGAGCGCCTGCTCCTTGCACTCCCCGATGAACTTGATCATGTCGAAAATTGCCTCCACGACCGCGCGCTTGAAGTCGTACCCGCCCTCGTCGCGAAGTACGCCCGACAGGAACGCGAGCATCGACTCGTGCTTCGCGGGGAACTTGAGGCACAGCGAACGGATCGCGTCGACGATGATCACCTTGAACTCGTCGCTGATCTCGCTCATGAAACCGCTGATCTGCTTCATGAGCCGGTCCACGGACGCCTCGTTGCCGGTCTTCAGGAGAGTTGTGATAGCGTAGGTCGCGACGCTGCGGTTAGGGTCCGAGATGAGGTTCTCGAGATCGATGTTGCATGCCGCGACGCTCGTGGGATGCGAAACCGCAAGGGCAGCAAGGGTCCGGGTCGCCGCAAACTTCAATGTCGATTTCGGTGAAGAGAGGAACAGTTGTAGGACTGCCCTGCCGTCAGGCACGCATTTGACGAGTGATTTAAATAAGGTGCTTACCGGCGATCGAGCGAGTCAACTGCTGCGACGTGACGTTCTTCAGTTCGCAGATAACCCGGGCAGCCTCCAGGTTGACCATGTCGCTCTTGTGACGGAGCCACCCCTCCAGGAGGTCGAGCATCTGTTTCTGGACGCTGCACAAACCCGTCAGCCATGGCAAATCACGAACCGCATTCGGTAAGATACGTACTTGGGATCCTCCTCCATAACCTTAGCCGCGTACCGGATGAGCATGCACAACGCCATCGGGTTCTTCAGCGTCGTGCCCGCGCCAGACCGTCCACCACCGAGCTGCTGGATCATCTTCGTGACCGCCATCCTGTCCTGTTGGCGAATGAGGTACAGCAGACCGAGCGAGTGATACTGCGTGATGTAGCTCGTCGACGGGATCGGCTGGTAGCCCGTGTTCGCGTTCGACGACGAGCCGCCCCAACCGAGGTATCCGCCGGTGGACGCGCTCGTGCCAAAGAACGAGGACGACGACTTGGCGTTGACCGCCTCCTGCGCCTCGTTCACCCATCGCTTCACGACATCCTTCGCGTGCGGGAACAAGTGGTAGGCGGAGACGAGTGCGGCGGACGAGATGGATGGGTTCTTGTCGACGATGGCGGCCTTGAAGAAGCGCTCCACGCCCTGGGCCATGGATGGCTGCACACGGCCTTAGTCTCACACATACATACGAGGCGCGGAGAGGAGACTCACGTCGATGATCCTGCAGAGCGCGCGAATAGCGTTCGGCCGGTAGATGACCTCCGAGTTCGGCTGCATGTCCTTCATTATACTGCTGGTGACCATGATGACATCCTCTGCCGTTTCTGCGAGCTCCTTGATTGCGAGGTATACCATTTGGCGAAGCGCACTCTGTCAAAGGCGCGAGCCTGCGCGTGAGCTCCCATCCCGATGCGCGTCCGCCCGCCTCTCCAAGACTCACGTCCTTGTGCTGGAACAGCTTCGTCGTTCCAAAGAACAGCGTCGTCGCCTCCTGGGTATTGAACGTCTCGCCGACATAGAGGAGGTACACGATGCGGGTAAGGAGGGCTCTGCACTTGCGCGGGCTGATTGGAGACTCGTTGAAGACGCGGGCCTCCTGGATGACGGTCGTCTTGTTGTTGTAGTACGCGCTGAGGCCGCTCTCCTCGTCCTTTTTGGCGGCGAACGACATGGTGAATGAGGCGGGGGGAGGGAGCGCCTGCAGCACGACGTGGAAGGTTGTGTGTAGATTCGGTGCACCAGCGCCCGCCTCATCGCAACTCACAGCCCCACGTGGCGCAGCGTATATGGAGCATGGTGATGCTTTCGCGTCCTCGGATTCGCAGCGTGCTTGATTTCTTCGGCACTTTCTCTGAAACTGACGATAAATGTTTGTAGAAAGGCAGGATATATGCTAGGCACCTCACGATATCTGGCGCGCAGCGACGCAGGGCGACGTTCAGCTACTTCAAACGGCGACGTAGGTATGCCTAGCAAAGTATTCCATCACTCATGTTTTCCTCCATACATGGTCATGTATTGCAATGGTTCGCACGAACGACAAGTTGCGAGATATGTCCACCAAACCAGTACGGAATAACAAGTATTATTCGCTGAATATATGACGACTACGACCGACGTAACAGCTCTGCAACACGCCGATGGGAGGGGATATGTGAAGTAGTACTACAAGAGTACGGATGGGATGTGGGGACTTGATATAGTGATACAACGCGTACGCGACGATACCGCGTCTGACTACTGCTGCTGGTCCCGTCTATGACGCCGCGCACCTTCCGCCTTCTACCAACCACCACCAACCCACAGCGGGGAACAACCGCGAGGGCCAAGCCGCAAGCACCAGCTCGCAGCCATCCCCGCACGGCGTTCGCAGCCCCGCTACCCCGTCGAAGCGGGCCCGGACAACCCCCTGCCAGCCCCCGACCGACCGCGAAGCCCTCTCTCTTCCTGCTCGCCCTCGACGGGTCCCGGCCGTGTTGGTAGCGGGCACCGAAGAGGTGGAGGAGAGAGGAAACAAAAGATGCAGCAATCGTAACGAGAACGAGGCAAATATGGAGACGCGAGAGGACGGTGATGATGATGGGAAGGGACCTGGAAAATGGGAGAGATATTAACGAGGGGATGGGCGCACAAGGCGCATAGTCGTGCTGAACAAATAACGACGCAACGGGGATGAGAAAATATTTACAAGGAGAACGTGGGTGAAGACGTGATGATGCGTGCGATATGGTGAGGTGTAAGTCATGAGGAGATGAGGGGACGTTGCATCACGGAGTACGGCGCGAGGGGGCGGGATATGTGGCGAGAGGAGTGAGGCGGCCACCTCGGGAGACCTTTGCGCACGCGCAGGCCGCCCGAGACGGCGTGAAAGGAAATAGCGTCCGTACTAGAAAAGAGAACCTGGCAGTTTGACGACGCGTGTCGGGTGCGCGATCTTGACGCTGGCACCCGGTTCGTGGATCGAGGGTATTCGCGAGAGACCGAACCAGTCGACGAGGGGAGGGGGACCGGTAGCGTTCTTGCGCGAGCCAGGGCCGGCCGCCATATTGATTGGCGAATTGGCCAGAAAAGGGCCCGCGCGACCGTCCATCATCCACCCGCACGTCTTGCTCCCGCGACGAGCTCCACCAACCAGCGAACCACCGACTCGCTCCCACACGAGCGACGCGACCGACCAAAAGACAATCCGACATCCGAGGCATCCATACCGATTGGCAGCAAACCAAAACCGAGCGCACCCTGCATCTACCCTCCACCCCCCATGCTCGGTCGGACCCGGACGTGCTACGACGACGTCTTCCCTTTCATGACAAGGGTAGGCGTTTACCAGTGCTCGTCACGTTGACGCATGGGACGTTGCTGGCCGACAGCCCCTGCGGCCGCGGCGGCCTGCTGCTGTTGACGAGTGTGGGAGCGCAGCCTAGACCCGGTGAGTAAAAGTGGGGGCGAACCTTAGTTGCGCCTGGAACTCACATCCTGTCGCTGACGCGGTGCTCCTCTTCTTCCTGGAGGACCTTGCGGCGGCCAGTGGCAGCCTTGTTGCTGGAGCTGGCACCCTCGTCCATGGCGCGTTGCATGCTCCAGTCGAAGACGTAGTCGTACTGGTAACCCTCGCGGACGAACAGGTCGCGGAAGAGCTTGCGGAGGTACGAGTAGTCGGGCTTGTCGTCGAAACGGAGCGCCCGGGTGTAGTTCAGGAAGATACCGAACTCGTTGGGGAAACCGCGGCACAACAGGTCGGTGGGCGTGGTCATCTTCTTCTCCATGATCCGGTCGTACTTCTGCTTCTTCGTCGCAGCCTTGAGTCCCTGCCACGGGAGCGAGCCACGGAGGAAGTACATGAGAACGTAAGCGAGAGACTCGAGATCATCCCGACGAGCTTGCTCAACGCCCAGATGGGTGTTGATCGACGTGTAACGGGCGGTTCCTGTCAAGTTCTTGTTCTCCCTGTACGGAATGTGGAGATGGGTCTTGGGGTCGCGGTACTTCTTCGCAAGGCCAAAATCGATGACATTGACCTGGTTTCCGCGCTTGCCAATACCCATAAGGAAGTTGTCGGGCTTGATATCGCGGTGAATGAAGTTGCGCGAGTGGATGTACTCGATGCGGGAGATCTGCGTGACGTGGCATATTAGTCAAGCATACATGGACGGTCCAGAAACATAGCGAAGATCGGCGAAAAACACGCACCAGTTGATCGGCCAGAAGGAGCACGGTCTTCAGACTAAACTTGCGGTGGCAGAAGTTGAAGAGATCCTCGAGCGAGGGACCAAGGAGATCGATGACCATCGCATTGTAGTCGCACTCGGTGCCGAACCAACGGACAAAGGGAACGCCGACACCACCAGCAAGAGTCTTGTAGACCTTGGACTCGTACTCGAGCTGAGGGTGCTTAGCCTTGACGGACTCGAGTTTGATGGCGACTTCCTCGCCAGAGATGATGTTGATTCCAAGGTAGATGTCACCTGCGACAAAGTCCAACGCATCAACACCATCGCACCGAGGGAGGTTGTCTTTGTCACGCACCGAAGGAACCCGAACCAATCTTCTTGCCCAGCCTGTACTTGCCGCCGACACGGAGGTCGAGACGGTGAGAGGATGAGTCGGCCATTGATTATTCAGATGATCAGAGTGAAGCAAATCTAGATGTGGGTGAACGTTAGTACACTGGAGGATGGTGCGAGAGGGAGAAGAGAGAAGACGGAGGTGCAGGATGTGGTGGTAAAAGGGGAAGGAAGAGGGGGGAGGCGTGTGGCAGTTGAAAAGCGAAGACGTCCTGGGAACGCCGGGCACAGCATCGGCGCAGCCGCCTACGAAGCCCAGAGGTGCTAAAAAGGCCCCATCGGAGACCAGGAAAGCTTGCTGAATCTTTACGTGCAGTGGCGGTCTCGGCAGGAGGACAAAGCCGAGCGGCGTGGCCACCGCGAGGCAGCGACGGGAGGGGGAGGGGTGGCCACGAGCGGGAGACTAGAATGAAAGAATACTCACGAAGAATGAAGAGGGTGGAGGTCTGCGCGGGGGAGGGGGAGGAGAGAGATGGAAGATGAGGAGAGGGGGTCTTTATGAGGGAGGAGGGGGAAGGAGAACAAGGGCAGGAGGAGAAGAGAGAGAGCGCAGACGACGGCGCTGCCCAGGTGGCGGACACAGCACCGTGGGAACTCTGCCGAATTCACCAAGCAACACGCCACCCCGGTCCATCGATCACCTTTTCCTCTTCTTCCACTCGCCTCCTCCATCGTCACCCTCCCATCCCCCGCCGACGTTCGCTGTGCTCTCCGCTGCCGCCCCAGTCACCGACCTCCGTCACCCACTGCCACAGCTGTCCTCTGTATACGTCTACGAGCCCTCCAGATCCGGCTGGCGCCCGGCGCTTGGCTGCAGCATTCATTACTCAACCGCCGAGCTCTGCTGACCGGCCTTCCTCGTGCCCCACGCTCACGGCTCTCGCCCACACGACCCTCGCCTTGTCTCGCTCTCTGTCGCCTTGCAGCCGCCTAATCCCAGCCACACCGGAGGAAGATCGGCCGTTTTTGTCTTACGCGCCGTCGGCCGGTCTGGTGTCTCTTTTTTGGGTGCTTCTGCCTCCGGACCGGCTCGCTTCTGCTCACCGCCGTCTGGAGGGGTGCGAACACTCCGCAGACAGCTCGACGCTCGTACCGCCTTACAACCCCCGAGTCCGTCATCCCAGCGTCTTCCACTCATACGATGCCCCGTGCGGCGTCATATGGAATCCATTCGGGACTGCACACTCTACGTCATTCCACACGTCGCGTCTCATCATGTAGCCCCTTCGTCTGCTACATTGCCTTCGACGATATATATGGCTTGTACCTGATGATCTCTGCGGTTGCGTGTGATACTCATGACCTCAGCTTGACCCCACCAGGAGCTTCATCTCTATCGTGCGCGTGCGTCAGGGCAGTGCCCGGTGTCGTCGGTCTGGTTTGGGATTGCCAACGCGACGGGTCCTGCAACCCGTGGTGGTATGGCGCTGCTTCCTCTTCTGAGCCTGTCCGGGACGCCATGCCGTCGTGTCCATGGATTGATTGAACAGAAGTCAAGAACATGGAGCGTGGTATTACGGACGAGAGCGGGCTTGTTACCCCGTTTACGCTGCGGCCTGTCTATCTGTTATGTTCGGCCACCAGCCGGTTTCACGCCTTCAGCTTTGTTGCCAACGGATGCCGTGCAGTGCCGAGCGCGCGTAGTCAGTACAAAGGTGTCGGTCTGCAGCCGACGGCGGCCGTCTACACTGTCCACGACGGACAGAATATTGAGCAGAACATGCAAACGTGTGTGTAGAGGTGCTGTTTGTCAATATCGTATGCTAGGAAATGTGGCGGGGGTAAATTGGGCAGCAACGAGCAACCGCAGTCGGGTGATATGCCAAGCCGAGAAAGGCAAGAAGGGAAAGGTGCCGGGTTGGAGTTGCAGATCACGCAGGCCATCCATCTTTCCCTGCCTTCCCTTCTCACCGCCTCCCTTGCTCTTTCCTCCGCTCTCTCATCTCCCTGTCCTCCGCGGGACCCGTCGTTCTCTCTCGGTCGTTCCCTGGTGGTTTCGTCGTGCAGCAGAGACAGTCACTCATTATCCAGCTCATTCATTTCCTGGGTAACCCCGGTATCCAACTCAAGTCCTCACACCCCCACCCCCCGCGGACATGGCTTATCGCCAGCAACACGATCCGTACGCAAACGCGTACCCTGACCATCCCCCGGCCAGCATTCACAATGCTGCGCCCAACTACACATACCCCCAACCCCCTCAGCCGACTCCGCAGCAGCACTACCAGGACTATGCTCAACCGGCGGTCCAGCAGAACTACGCCCACCCGGACTATGTGCAACACGATTACGACCCCCATGCCAATTGGGAAACCAAGTCGACCAAGTCCTACCAGAGCAGCTACGCCGGGTCCCAGGCGCACCTCAACCCCCACGAGATGACCCAGGTCGCGGTGCCGCCCATGCCCGCCATCCCGTACCAGCAGCCGATGGGCAACTACCCGCCCCAGCAGCGCCCGGGTATGTTGCACGCGCAGAGCAGCATGAGCAGCGCAGGCTGGTCCACCGCAAAGGAGAAGCTCATGAAGCGGCGGTCTGTCCGCCAGGTCGAGCTTCAGCAGGGCAACCTCGTGCTCGACATGCAGGTCCCGTCGCACATTGTACCCAAGGGTATGGACAACATTGAGGAGATGACCAAGCTCCGGTACACTGCCGCAACGTGCGACCCCGACGACTTCATGCGCGAGAAGTACTCGCTGCGCCCGTACCTGCTCGGACGCCGCACGGAGCTGTTCATCGTGATGACCATGTACAACGAGGACGAGGTGCTGTTCACCCGCACTATGAACGCGTACGCAGCTTCTCGCGTTGAAATTGACGAACGTTGTCGCTTAATCGAAACTTTGCCCGCAGCGTGCTCAAGAACGTTGCGCATTTGTGCAGCAGGAACAAGTCAAAGATGTGGGGTCCTGACGGCTGGAAGAAGGTTGTCGTCTGTGTCGTCTCCGACGGCCGGAGCAAGATCAACAAGCGTACCCTGCAGGTCCTGACGCTCGTAAGTGTTTCCCGCGGAGATATAGCGGGAACTGCGATGTCTAACGACACGCGTAGATGGGCTGTTACCAGGAAGGTGTCGCCAAGGATTCCATTGCTGGAAAGGACGTGACGGCGCACATCTTCGAGTGAATACCCATAACTCCGAACATGATCGAGGGACCCTGCTGACAGCTGCGCCAGATACACCTCAAACGTCGTGGTTACCGAGCGCGGCGAAGTCTCGCAGGGCGCCTGCCCCGTCCAGATCATCTTCTGTCTGAAGGAGCAGAACAAGAAGAAGCTGAACAGGTGGGCATATCGATTGCGCGAAGCATGTCAGCGCTTATCCTAATTGCAACCGTCCAGTCACCGTTGGTTCTTCAACGCGTTCGGACCCCTAGTTCAGCCCAACGGTAAGCCTCGTGTTCCTACAGGGGCTTTGACAGTTATTGATATGTGGGAACAGTCTGCATCCTTCTTGATGTCGGCACGAAGCCGACGGGCACGTCCATCTACGAGCTCTGGAAATGTGGGTCTCGGCACTAATATCTTGACGGCATGGTCGCTGACATCTTCCAGGCTTCGACAAGCACTCTGGTGTCGGTGGCGCGTGTGGAGAGTGAGTCTTGAATGTGGGCGCACGCTGTGTATCCACTCACACAGCCTAACAGAATCTGCGTTGACACTGGCAAGGGATGCGGTCTTCTGTTCAAGAGTCCGCTGGCTGCGTCCCAGAACTTCGAGGTTGGTCTATCGCGTCCCATTATATTCTACGCACGGTGGCTGAACATATGCTGTTCGACAATAGTACAAGATGTCTAACATCCTGGACAAGCCGCTCGAGAGTGTCTTCGGCTACATCAGTGTGCTCCCTGGTGCCTTCAGCGCGTACCGCTACAAGGCGCTCCAGAACGGCCCCGACGGCAAGGGTCCGCTCGCGTCCTACTTCAAGGGCGAGACGATGCACGGCGGTTCAAGTAACGCTGGCTTGTTCGGTACGCCTATATGCACTTTCTGTGTTGACCAGCAGCTGAGCCCACTGCGCAGAGCGGAACATGTACCTCGCTGAGGATCGTATCCTCTGTTTCGAGATCGTCACCAAGAGGCGTGAGGCTTGGGTGTAAGTCGCTGCATTCAACGAGTATGCGCTATGCTTACGGTCCCTCTAGCTTGAAGTACGTCAAGAGCGCAAAGGCCTCCACCGATGTCCCCACCTCGGTCCCGGAGTTCATCTCCCAGCGTCGTCGCTGGCTCAACGGTTCTCTGTTCGCATCCGTCCATGCCACCGTGTTCTGGTTCCGTATCTGGACGTCTGGGCAAAACTTCTTCCGGAAGATCGTCCTACAGGTCTGTCGCCTTGTTTTTACGCCGTTGTCCAGTGCAGCCATCTGACGCCGTCTGGTTCAGATCGAGTTCATCTACAACGCCGTCCAGCTCATCTTTACGTGGACGTCTCTGGCAAACTTCTACCTGGCCTTCTTCTTCGTGAGTTACCGTCTCCGCTGCCGACGCTGTAGATAGTGTGGGGATCGCTGACGTACTTGGGAATGACTTTAGCTGGTCTCCTCGGCAACAGCAGACGTCGATAGCGACGCATTCAACTTCCTCGCTCGTGGTGCCGGCCCCGAGGTCTTCGAAGTGTTCCTCAAGGTAACGTTCGCACCGTCTATTTCCGCGAGAGGGGCGTGGCTGACCGCGATGTCCGATAGCTGTACCTTGGCCTGCTCTTCATCATCTTGGTCTGTTCGCTCGGCAACCGTCCACAAGGTTCGAAGTGGACGTACATTGTCTGCATCTGCTTGTTCGGTCTATGCAATGTCATCACGCTGTACGTGCATCACGTTTCCGTTCGCCACGGCTATTGACTGACAGTTCCGCTACTTCTGCAGATGGTGCGCGGGCTACACGGTCTACATGGCGGTGCCCCATACCGTTGCAGGCTGGAAGGACTTCCCTCAGTATGTGGTGTTCCGACTCATGTCATTGTCACAAGAGAATGGTCATGCTGACGGAACGATTTACAGCCTTGTCGAAACGAACGCGACCTTCCGCGACATTGTCATATCTCTTGCCGCGACATACGGTCTCTACCTCTTCGGATCGATCATCCACCTCGAGCCATGGCACATGTTCACCTCGTTCATCCAATACATGTTCTTCCTGCCCAGCTGTAAGAAGCCGTTTATATTCTGTTGGAATGTGATGCTAATGACTTCTTTCCAATAGACGTCAACATTCTGAGTACGTTAATGCTGCAGTAGCCTGACAGACCACATGCTAACCTGGTCTTTTTAGTGATGTACGCCATGTGTAACCTGCACGATGTCACCTGGTGCGCACCGTCTCATTCACTCAGCCTAGGGAATGTATCGCTAACTGCGTTGTAGGGGTACCAAGGGTGACAACGGCTCTGCTAAAGACCTTGGCGGCGCAAAGAAGGTGAAGGGCGAAGGCGGACAGGACGTTCTCGAGGTCGAGCTCCCGACCGCCCGCGAAGACGTCGACCAGCTGTGGTCTGCGTCCCGCACCGCGCTCTCCTTCAAGCCCCCGGAGGAGAAGGAGCACCGTGACGCCGCGACGAAGCAGGCTGATCACGATCGCAACAGCCGTACGAACGTCGTCCTGGCGTGGGTCGGCACCAACATGTGAGCATTCTGATAACTATTGCTTGGGTTACAGGCGCTGACGCCCAATTAGCTTGATGATCCTGGTCTTTACCTCCACCGCGTTCACGGCGTGGGTGAAGGACCACGTCAACTCAACGTCCGACGCGACGTTCAACCCTTACCTTACTTTCCTATTTTATGCCCTGTGCGTTGTCATTAGCTCCTTCTCCACCGAGAACGCACTAACAGAACGTCGCTTCACAGGGCTGGTCTCTCCGCCATCCGCTTTGTTGGCTCGACCCTCTATCTGCTTCTGCGGCTCGTCGGGCTCTGATGGGCCCCATACATTGATCTTTCGAAGGCTCGGCGTCCCCATTTCCCCACCTCTTCTTCCCTTTCTGATTCGCGCGGAGTTGAGCTCGTGACCCTAGCTGTGGAGGAGCGTCGGACCTGATTCGCTGTGTATTTCTTGTACGTATATTGCCTTCGCCGTTTCCCGGGCGCCCTCGCACGCTCGAGTCGCCCCGTCCGTGAAGTCAGTATCGGTGGCGTCGCGGGTCCGGTGCACATACTTGCTTCTTATACTCTCAGTATTGCGGCGCGGTGAAGTCGATGGATGAAAGGATGCGGGGCAGCCGCTTGTTTCGATATCGTGCGTGAATGTATATTGGAGAATATACCCCGTTCTATTCTCTTGATTTGCAGGCGCGTGGACTGGTCCCCGGATGGTGGGTGTATCGCCACCTTGATTTAGAGAATCGCGCAGGTTACATACACCCGAGACGGCTATTCGCGTACTAACCCCAGGTACGCCGGTTCAGTCCGCGCAGTCTCTGTGGCAAGTCGTGTTTGCCACAAAACGGGGGTCTGGCTACTTGCACCAGGTGAGGTTGTGTTCTTTGACGGTCCCATAGGTTTCGCTGAATAACGTAGTGTAGATGCTCATTGCATCCTTCGACTCGTGATGCATTTAATGCTGGGACTCGGTGGGAACGACGGATGCTTCCATACGACTTGGGCGACCTGTGGCAGCGGAGCGCTGCCAGAAGATGCACTTTCTCGCTTCGTCGGGATCTCACGCGGACTGGATACAAATTACAGCGGCAGCATGGTCCCCAGAGAGGGCTAGCCGCTCTCTTCAGCCGAGCAACTACGAGTCGAGGAGCATATATAAGGCTCACAGCACGGCCAGCGATCCTCATCAACTCCCTTGCACTTTCTGGTCGCATTCGCTTACCCCCAAAGCCCACTACCGTCAACAGCCCCACCTACCATCAACTCGCTAGAATGTCTTCTACAAACGAGATCGAATTCAAGGGCTACGCCATGACAGGTACGGTACGCGCCTTCAAGCGACGCAGTCCCTGATATATGATGGTGTATATTGTGTATGCTTACCCACGGACGCTCGCCCCTTCCGCAGACCCCTCGGCGTGGTCCGACCTCGAGCTCGTCTCCTTCGAGCCGAAGACATTCGGGCCCGAGGACGTCGAGCTCGCTATCACGCACTGTGGCGTGTGCGGCTCGGACGTACACGTCCTGAGGCAGAGCTGGGGCGCCGCGCGCGACGGACACACCATCGCCGGGCATGAGATTATCGGGAAGGTGACGCGCGTCGGCGCGCTGGTCAAGGGCCTGCGCCCGGGCGACCGTGTCGGCGTTGGCGGTGGGGTCTCGAGCTGCGGCGAGTGCCGTCCGTGCAAGGAGGGTTTCGAGAACTACTGTCAACAAATTGTGCTCGCCTTGGTGAGTGGTGTATTCGGCTCCAGCCTACGCGGATAAATTGCTGATCTCGCTCACTTGTAGAACGCCAACCACGTTGACGGCATTCCTAGTCAGGGCGGATTCTCCACAGGCATCCGGGCGCACGAACGCTTCGTGTTCCCTATCCCGGAGAAAATCGAGTCCCGCCATGCTGCGTCTATGATGTGCGGTGGGCTCACCGTCTTCCACCCGCTCCGTATGAACGGGTGCGGTCCTGGAAAGAAGGTGGGGGTCATCGGCGTGGGAGGCGTCGGACACTACGCCATCCTCTTCGCGAAGGCCCTGGGAGCGGAGGTGTATGCCTTCACTCGGGGCACCGCGAAGGCCGACGATGCGAAGCGTATGGGTGCCGACTATGTGATTGATACCAACGTCGAGGTTCGTCTAGGTGCTTGTACCCGAACTTCGCCCTCCGCTGATATATCTCCTACAGGCGTTCTGGAAAGCGCACGAGTTCACCCTGGACATCATCATCTCCACCGTCGATCACTTCGGTCCTGGGACGTCGCTGCCCAGCATCCTCTCCATGCTGTACGTGCAGGGGCGGTATATCACTGTCGGTCTTCCGCCGATCGACGACCCGCTTCCTTCCATCCACCCCGCCATCCTGGCGAGGAACGCGGCATCTATTGGGAGCTCGCTCTTGGGCACCAAAGCGGATGCTATCGCGATGTTGGAACTCGCGGCCGAGAAAAACATCGTTCCGTGGATCGAGGAGCTCCCGATGAGCCAGGTCAAGGTTGCGCTGGAAGGCATAAAGAGTGGCCTACCGCGGTATCGTTACGTGCTCACACAGGACATCGCACGGGTAGCATAGGGATCCCGATTACTGCAGCGGTTGTAAAATGGCGCCGGTGTGCCTAAGTTATGCTTTTTGTTTCTCCAGGGTTTGCGCGACACTAGTAGATGCTGGGTCGTTTGTTGAGGCTCTATGATATTATACCACATATGTTGTTTCTTCCGAGTTCGTTCGTCAGGTCGTGGTCAGGATGACATAGTGATGAGACGAAACCGTGATGGACAGCAGCACAGCTTCCTTGTCAATGAACCCTTGGCACAGTGGTAGCGCGTGAGATTCCAGCCTACGGAGCAATCCGTGCAAGGGACATCCTCAAGGTCGTCCGTTCGATCCGGGCAGGGTTCACTTTTTGCATTGGTCATCTTCGCCCTGATAACGTTTGGGATCGAACCCTTTTCGGCATCAGTATGCCTGCAGCGTGACTTAGAATGTGAGAGGCTATATAACATTTTTAATGGGGGCGGTAGAGTAGGAACTAGGTACATGAATGTAATTTATCGACAATACTGGCCTCTAGTGTGCGAGCAACACGCAAGACGTGTACGAACGGGACGGGCAAACTTCGATGAACTATCAATTTGGGAATCCGCACGCAGCAAAGCATGGTAGCAACTCACGGTGGACACCTCCTTGACCGCCAGGGCTTCAAGTGGCGGGAACCCAGGTGGAAACGGGAAGGTCAAGGATCTTGGGGAGGTCGCGCCACAAGTTCTCGTAGAACGTGGCCAGCCCAGAGGTGATGAAGGATGCGCAAGACGCACATACCACCGTGGACATGGGCGTCGCCGCGAGGATTCGATGGAACAGCCGCCGCGCCTCCGTCTCCGACTTGGTGCCCAAGCCCGCCATATGCCCCACATTGTGCAAGGTGACGGGACACGTGCTGGGTGCGAGGCAGGCGTGCCGAGCGGGGTCCGCGAAGTCGAACACCGACCGGTTGAGCGCTGCGTTCTGCAGCTCGAGGACGTCCCGCGCGGCCAGGCAGCGCTCCAGGTCGCTGTCGCGCAGCTTCTCCAGCGAGCCGTCCGCGCGGATGACGCCGCGCAGGAGCACGCGCGTTTCGACCCCGCAGCAGATATATAGTGCGACGGGGAGGAGCTCGAGCTGGCCACAGGTGCGCAGGAGGTTGAACGCCTCGATCGCGTCCGTGTCCTTGATTTTGACCCCGGTCGTGCTTTCAGTCTTGCTCTCGCGGACGCGCCACGCTTGGAAGTCGTCGGTGAAGACGACCTTCATGAGGCTGAGGGTGATTGCGAAGATGCGATCCAGCTGGTATTTATGGCTGAGGCGCACGAGCGCCGCCAGAATCCCGAATTTGATCGGCTTGCCCGGCTCCAGGTAGGTGCTGCATGCGATGGTCTTGTCAGTAAACAAAAGCGCACGGACAGGAGCGAGGACTTACTCCAAGCCGTCATACAGGACATGCAGCAGATGCTTGAAGTCGTGTGCTGAGTCCTGGACGGGAATGACCGGGCACCCGTCAACCTTGAGGTCCGCGTCCAGGTCCGCAGGTCGCGATGTCTTGAACAGCCCCCGAAAGGTCTCGGAATGGCGCGAGAGAACGCCCCTATGGACGCGAAAGGCCACGTCCTCAGCGATCATGATGACATTTCCGTCTCTGAACCAGAGCTCAGCGTCGTTGGTGAGGGATTTGAGAGCCTCATCCCCACACAGACGTTCGCGTTTGAGGGGTCGCGGGTCGCGATCGCATGGGGCGAGTATGAGAGGCATGTGTGGGGCGGGTGGGCTTTTTTTGCGTAGACTGTGGAGGTAGGTGGGGGTAGGGGAGAAAGAGTGAAATTTTATAAGTCAGGGTGCAGCAGGGCAGCCATCAGCGCTCAGCATGTACGTCTAGTATAGGACATGCAGGTGCTGGATACGCGAGACGCCTACCCAGGATGCAGACATAGTTTCCTTAAACGCGGACGCCGTGTACCGACCCATTCGTGTGGATCCTTGAGTGTTGCTGTGGACTCACGTGTGCATGCAGACGTCGATTCCGGAATGTCCCATCAAGTGTTTGTGGTAACACGAGCGCACCAAGTACGCTGCTGTATTGTACATTACTCTGTGGATGTTGTAATGAGCCTACACGAAGTGTCGCGAATGTGCGGGATTGCCGGTCGTGTCCGGGAGCGATTTGTGAGCCGAGCGCAACCGAAAGTTATACCGAGCCTGTGCGAATGAGACGCCATGCGGTGTGAGCAGAGTCTTTTCGATGGGGTATTGGACCTACGCACTTTCATGAAAGCGTAACCACCGAGCTAGGCGGCCAAGTCGAGACCTTGAGGCCCATAATCGCGGGGAGATCATTCCACAGCTCCTCGATGAACTGCCGATGGCTCGATGCCACATACTTCTTGCAAACGTCACAAGCTTGCGCCATCTTGTGTTTGCTTTCGTCGACGCACTTCACGAATAAAGCCCGCCTCGGAGTCTCGCTTTCGCATTTGTCCTTCCTCTTGAGAATGTCAACCGTCGAGGTCCACGCCGCACGGAGGGGGTGGCGACATGGTCCGAGTCCAGCGCATATAGGCCTGCCGCCTACTGAGCATTGGAAGTCGTGCATCCGATGGTTGAACTCCGCGCTGCGCCCGTCGAGCGTCCCCAGTGCGACAAGACACCGCTCCTGATCGTCGATAGACAGGGTCTCCAGAGTTCCGTCCGCGCGCTTCGTCCCGCGTAGGAGCGTGCGTATGGGGAGCATCGTGCACATGTGCAGTGCGACGGGCAGCATTTCTTCGTACCCGCACCTGCGAAAAAGGTTGACCGCCTCGATTAACTCCTCGGGTTCGATAGCGACCGGTAGGGACCGCAGCGGTCGCTTCTTCCAAATTTGGGATATCCGTGTCTCGAAGACTTTCCAAGCCTCGAAGTTGTCGGGGAAGACGAGCTTGAGTTGCCGAAGAGCGGCTTCCTGGATATCGCCCGCTTCATACTTGTGACTCAAGCGAAGGAGGGCAGCGAGCTTGCCGAATTCCACCGGTTCCTTTTCACGCATCATGTAGGCGCTGAACAAGATGTGGCCCGGGTTAGATCTACCCTCCTATGCATGTACGGGAGCAAACACGACGCAAGCACTCACTCCATGCCGTCATACAGTGCACGCAGAAAGTGCTTGAAGTCGTGCAGAGAGTCCTGAACGCGCACCATCGGACATCCGTCGATCTTCTCGATGTCGGCCTCGTTCTCCGGCTGCGGCACCGCGAACATCCCGCTAAACATTTCGGAGCGGCGGGCGAGGATGCCCCTATGCACGCGGAAGGCGGTATCCTGGGCGACGATAACGATGTTGCCGTCTTCGAACCAAAAGTCTGGGTCGTGCACAACCTCTGCCCCCGAGGGAGCGTCGGGTTCGGTGCTGTATCTAGCCCTCTTGTTCGGGCGATGAGGTGATGGGGAGCGAGATCGGCGAGGCATATCGACAGAAGAGCAATACGGTCTCTGGAGGAGTGCTTGTGAGGTATGCGCAGGTGGGTGGAGGTAACTTGCAGGAGAGTGGCGGGGTTGGTGGGGTAAATATACAGTGCAAGTGTGGCCATTCCGCCACCGCCACTCGCGTGCACACAATCGGCCCTATAGGCGCCCATTTGGTGCCTTCAATCCTCCAGCATAGACCTGTCATCTATCTACTACTGAATGATCGGTGGCGTGCGTTCATAGAAAGTGTTCCGAGTTATAAAACGGGAGTATAAATGGAAAGAGTAGCAGTATCGTCAAGCTAGGAGGCCCCAAAAAACACTGACGGCAGATATGATTTTGAACTTTGCTCGTTTGCTCATGTAAGATCTCGTACTTGCGCTTCGCTGAGTGTGAACTGATAGATGGCGGTAAAACTAGTAAACGATAACATCAATGCTGGGAACAAACAGAGCGATGGGGGAGACATGGCGCAACAGGATTGGAGGATGCAGCAGCAGAACAAGCGAGCGGGACGGAACTCGACGGACACTGGCTGGCAAAGTAGAAAAAAGCTCGTATGAACCGTCGACTGCTGTTAGATGCTGAGTCAGGACTCACGTGTACAAGTACGCAGCATGTCAGGTATATTGTTTGTGGCGATAGCGAAGAATGAAGCGCGTCATTACATCGCTGTGTTCTGTAGATGTCAGCCTTCAAGACACCCTGCAACTCTATGGGGTCAAAGACGCACACAAGTAATTTGTGAGCAGAGCCGAAATTTAGAGTGAGATTCAGTCTATACGAACGAGCCGCCATGTGATGTGAATTGAGTTATCTAGATCGCGTAGCGGACCACATACTTTCACTACGAAGCAACGTCCGAGGTAGGCGGCCATGTTGGGACCTGGAGGCCCATGATCGTAGGGAGATCATTCCACAGCTCCTGGCTCAACTCCCGCTCGTCTGACGACACATAGTCAAGGCAGACGTTACAGGCTTTCACATCATCCTCCGCCTCGCTGAGGACCTCCATGAGAAACGCGCGCCTCGTGACCTCGCTCTCGCATTCAAGGTCCTTGAGGTAGCGCACCGTCGCCGTCCACGCCCTACGGATGCGCCCGGCGCACTCTCTGTGCATGCCACCCGAGAAGCTGCCGCCTTCTGCGGGCTCAAAGTCCAGCATACGATGGAGGAACTCCGCGCTGCGTCCCTCGAGCGTCCCGCGCGCGACGAGGCACCGCTCCAAGTCGTCTACGGCAAGCGTCTCGCGCGTCCCGTCCGCCCGCGCCGCCCCGTGCAGGAGGACGTGTATGTCGAGCGTCGCGCACATGTGCAGCGCAACGGGCAACATGCCGTCGTACCCACACCGACGGAGAAGGTTCGCCGCCTCGATCGGTTCTCCGGGGGCCATGTCCACTTGGGAGGCGGCCGTTCGCGCCTGGTGCGTATCAGGCCAGAACTCGAGCGACGGCGACTCGTATGTTTTCCAAGCGGCGAAGTTGTCGGGGAAGGCGGGCTTGAGCCGCCGCAGCGCTGCTTCCTGGATGTGGTTGACTTCGTACTTGTGGCTCAGGCGAAGGAGGGCAGCGAGCAAGCTGAACTTCACGGGTCCGTTGTCCATCACGTAGGCGCTGAGAAAAATCTGGTCAGTTCTGTTCTGTGCCACCCTCGAACGCTGGGTACGCTGCTCAAGAAACGGCACTTGCACTCACGCCATCCCGTCATACAGGGCATGCAAGAAGTGCTTGAAGTCGTGCAGCGAGTCTGGACGCGCACCACCGGGCACCCGCCAAGCTGCTCGACGTCGGCCTCATTTTCCGGCTGCGGCACCGCGAAAAGCCCGCTGAACACCTCGGAGCGGCGCCCGAGCACGCCCCTGTGCACACGAAACGCAGTGTTCTGGGCGATGACGACGATGTTGCCGTCTTCAAGCCAAAATTCCGGGTCGCGCTCGACGTCTGCGAGACTCGGACCTGGAGAGTCCGGTCCGGCGCTGTGTCTGGCACGTTTGTGGGGGCGAGCAGGCGACGCAGAACTGGACGGGCCAGACATAGTGACGAGAGCAGCGCGTCGCTCGAGGGCGTGTTTGAGGGGAGACTACGCGGAAAGCGCGACGCAGAGGCGCGATCCTGATGAGACGACTTGTTGTCGAGGTTGGTGGGCGTATACTTGCAACGATGTGAACGTACCACCTCCACCGCACCCAGAATGCGCGATCCGCCATAGGCGCCCACTAACGCCCACCGGTACCCTCCCGCACCACTGCGCACTCACTGAGGTCTCATATTTGCGCTTCGCTGACGCTGAGAGTGAAACAATAGATAGATGGTAAGGGCCAGTACAGAACGACAGTGATGGACCTGAAACAAACAGACGGACGGGGAAGAGGCATGGCATAACAGGACGATGCAGCAGAACAAGCGGATTGAGCGGAAACTCCGGAACGGACACACTAGTTTATAGAGTAAAACTAATAAGGTAGGTTGGGAACGGGTAAAACGTTCGTGGCGGGGGCACCGACAGCGAGCCGACATGCGAACGGGGGGAGGTGGCGCATGCATGGATGAACGAAGGAAGGGATGATGCGGCAGTAGGGCAGCGTGTATGGGGGCGCGAACTGTCCATCGGCGGGCAGATTACATATGTACATATTAACCTACAGGGGACGTCAGACAGAGAACTACAACAGAAATCAGATGTAGACTTACAAGGTGGACATACTTTTGCACTAGTGCACAACAGTACTGTGATGAAAGCTTAACAGAAGGAGCGCGTCCTCCATCTTCACGCCGGTCTCCATGGGAGGCATCGGCGAGGGCATCATCCGCTCGCGCTCGTACTGCGCGTACTCGAACGGATACCGCTCGAGCGACGCCTTCGTCTCCCGCGCGTGCGGTAATGGGAGCGCGAGGCTCGACGTAGATGCAACAGTCGACGGGGGCGGAGATGACTCCGGAGACGGCGTGACCGCCTCCTGAAGGGTATCTTCGTCGCTGCCCATGTCGGAGTGGGAGCGCGAAAGGGCACTGCGCGCGTACGGGCCGCGGTGGTGCGTGTGGTGGAAGTGGTGTTTGTCGTCCGTCTCGATCTTGACGTACTCGACGCTCGAGGACGATCCCACGCCGGGCGTCGCCGTGCGGGACATGCTCGACCTATCGTCGTCCATGTCCATGCTGTCGCCGTCGTCGTCCTCTTCCGCACTCGCGCTGCCGTTCTGGGGCGCACGCTTCCGGTCTGACTGCCTGAGGTTGCGGAACCAGTTCGTGACCTTGTTCACGTCCATACCTATCTCGGCCGCGAGTAAGTGGCGATCCTCGATAGTGGGCGTGCGTGTGCGGTTGAACAGCTTCTTGAGCGCCTCGAGCTGGTAAGGCTCCGGGCGCGTGCGGCGAGGGCGCCGGTGGGTGCCATCGAATGAACGATCGGCTGGGGTGTGGTAGGGCGAAGCGCGTGGGGACGCTGGGCGACTGCTGGGGGCGGCGCTTGGTGAGCGGCGTGCACGCGGTGGGTGGAGAAGCGCCGATAATGAGGGGTGCGACGTCGCGGGCGGGACCGCGAGGGACGGGTGCGCGGCGCTGGAGCTCGGTGGAAGGAGCGTCGGGGTGAAGGCACGCGAGGGCGGGAGGTCGCGGTCGGCGGCTTTGGCGGCAGCAGCCTCCTCGCGCTTTTTCGCGATGCTGCGTTGGTTCTGGAACCAGTTTGTGACACTTTGATAGCGCCTATCACGCGGGGTGAGGTGATGGGAATTTGACGGGATTAGAAGGCAATTAAGGGCACGGAAGGAGAACAAGGACAATCAGCGTCCGGGTTTCTATTCGCGGCGTCGTCTGACAACCGGGTGACAGCCGTGGTTGGACTCACATTCCGATCTTGTTCCCCAGCGCCTCCCGCTCCTCCTTCGTCGGGTGCGCTTTCTGTTCGTACAACTTTTTCAGCTCCTCCGTCTGTGCGGCGCTAGGGCGGGAGCGGGCTTTGCGCGGCATTGATCCCTCGCCTTCGAACAAATGTGTGTGCTGGGGATTGCCGGCGTAGAAAAGCGTATGCTGCGGTGGTGGCGAGCGCGAGCCGAGCTGGTGCGATAATGGGTGGTAGTGTTCGTCGTCCGAGTAATCGTCGTAGTCGACGAGCTGATGTTGCGCAAGCGGTGCGGGGGGTGCAGAAACGGAGGCTATCAAGGCAGATATAGGCGGGAGTTCGCATTGAGTGAGGGGAGCTTTGTGCCGCTTCTTTGACGAGGCGCGTTTATTTTGGAACCAAGAGTTGACCGTCTTTGTCTCCCTGCACGGTCGGCCACAGCCGCGGTGAGCTGTGGCTCGCAAAGCAGGCGGCAGGCAAGCGGGGGGACGTACATTCCGAGCCGGTGTGCTAACGCAGTCCTGTCCTCCAACGGCGGGTGCTCGTTCTTCTCATAGAGCGCGTTGAGGGCAGCGAGCTGGGAGGCCGAATGGCGGTGACGGGGCTTCTTCGCCTGGTCGGACCTGTCCTTGGCTGACGGGAGCTTGGAGGAGGCCGCAGAGGGCTGGTCCCAATTTGCGAGGGACGGGTGCAGGGCGGACATGGGGAGGAGGGGGCGGGGCGGCGAAGATGGCGGGGGGAGGGAAGGAGCGTATAGGGGGACCGGAGGGGCTAATGGAAAATCAAGGAGAGCTTATAGAAGGGAGGAGAGGAGCATTCGAGCGACATGTCTCACGGGCTCATGGACGCACACTGAAATCCGTCATCACAGCTGCAAATGGCCGACATCGGCCGGCTGCAATGATCTCCCCCGCCAGAGCGCTGCACCCATCTTTTTGCCTCTCTCCCATTAGTCCGGACCTTGCACACATCGATCGTCCCTTATGGCAGCAGACAATGGCACGCAAAGGACGCTGCTATACAGCTACAGCCCACCGGGGCCAGTAGGGCAGTCTCAGGCGGCTGGGAAGCGGCGGTCGTTTGAAATGGAAGGTGAGTAATTGTGACAGTTGATATGGGACGGTTAGGAAAGAGAGACAGAGCTGTGCCTGTGAGTTCATCCCTGTGCGCTTGATGACTACCAACTCGGTATAATCGGCCGTTTATGGGCGCCTATTTATAGCAGTTTTGCGTCCTGCCAGGGCCCCGGCCGCCAAACTTTCCGCACCCCTCGGAAGCTGTCGCCCTCCAACCCCTCCGTCTGCATTCCTATACAGCTGTGCTCCTAAACCGCGCCCCGACCCGACCCGACCCGCCGCGGTGCGAGACGGGGTGCTCGAGGGATGCGAGCTCCGGGATGCCTGGGAGTGATGCCGGCAGCGGAAGTGCTTGGATGCTTGAGAACACACCGCGTTGCACGGCGCCCATCATTGGCTGAAAGAGCTTGTTCGGTGGCAGCTGCTATGGATCTCGATATCCGGATGTCTGTGCACGTGTTTCCACGCAGCGCAGGCATGACGCCGGCGCGGCGTCATCCCGAGTCGAGAACGCCCTCTGCGCCCCACAACGCCTGATTATGCATGCTCCTTTGCCTCCGACGCAGCCTGCCCGGTACTATCTTCGTACGCTTCTCTTCTCCCAGGTATCCCATCGCAGGCCCTCGAGACTCCGAGGAACATCCCATGTTCGCCGTCAGTCTCCCATCTCTTCCGATGTCACCGTGGGTTCGCAAACGCAGTAAATGCAGTGCCCATGTCGCACCGCACGCCACGCCACTGGCAGACTGCTATATGGGTGTCGTATTATACTTACACATACACTACTAGATCAGCCCACTCTGATAGATACAACCCACCCCTGTGCGTCTCCAATTAATGCGACCGCATCTGCATTAGCTCTCGCCCCCCTCGTCCTCGCCGATGTTCTTTATCCATGCGCCGATAGCGCCCCTGGATAGCGCCACGCGCAATAAGCATCGTATGATCAGCCAACCGCGCCACGCCAATCGCGAGAGAAGGCACACGTACAGAAATCCTTCGTGCCGCAGAAACAGCGCGCGCTTTGTGCCCTTGCTCCAGAACCGGATGGCGTACGAGAGCGTGCTGATCGTCGCCGCGTGACCTGCGTCGCAAAGTCAGCCCGCCGTCAGAAAGGTGGTGCGTTCTGTGCGGCCACACAAGCTCGCGCTCGGACGTGCGCGCGGCCGTGCAGGACGTCTGTGACGCCGTGCATGACGTACCTCGAATAAAGTACCCCCCAAAGTATATCCGGTCTAGATTGTACTTTTCCGCGTTCATGTACCTGCGTGATCGCGCGTAAGCGTACTTGTCTCACCGGTGCAGCCAAGAAAGCTAAGAGCGCGACACGTAAACGGCGCAATGAGACAGGAGGCGGCACGTACGCTATTTGTCCAATATTGTTCGATATTGCATAGAGTAGACTCTTGCTGATGTCTTCCGGGGTGAACGTGCCCCGCTTGCCGCCCTGCTTCTTGAACACCTTTCCGAACGTACTCGCGATCATGGTTGACTTCAGTCCGAGCTTGCTGTAGTCCGAGCCGTAGATGTCGCCCACGAGCATGTCCACCGTCTCGTTGTCGCCCTTCTCCGACAACGCAAGCATCTCTATCAGGGCTGTCAGTGACGCCCACACGATACGCGCGGGAATGCAAATCTCACCGTCGAACGTTGTCGCGGGCGTGAGCAAACTGAGCAGCCCCCAGAGCGTGCCGCCGCCCAGACTCGTCCCACTCACCCGCTCAAACGACCCGTCCTCGTCCACCTTCACGATCGACACGCCCGAGCCGATGTTCACGAGCAGGCACGGAAGCTGCGGCACCGGGTGCTGCACGAACGTGACCGCGTACTTGGGCGGATCCGGGCTCGGGCGCTCGAGCTGCGCCTGGCTCGGGTGCGAGACGGAGTGGATGAGCTCGTCCGAGAAGTAGTACACCTCGTCCGGGATGAGCGTGATGAACTTCAGGCCCTCGATGAGGCACGCCATCTCGTCCTCGCGGTGCACCGCGACCTGCAGCGCCTCCCCGAGCAGCTCGTAGAAACGGTGCGCGCCGCCGCCCGTCGCGATCACCTTCACCCCACGCCGCATTTCGCCCAGAGGCACGCCATTCACGGCCGCGGAGCGCTCGATGAGCGTGCGGATGAACTCGACGCATTCGTCGATGTACTCCGTCTCGAACCGCTCGAAGTTGAGCGAGCCCCCCGGGAAGTGCTGCACGGACGCGCGCCGCAGCAGTGAGTCGTGCAGCAGGCTGTGGTTGCTGATGGACTCGGGCGAGAGCGACGCGGTCGCGGTGCCGTTCAGCGTCGACGACGCGGACGCCGTGGTGTTCTCCGCGGCGAAGGACCCGAGGGCGGCGTCGTGCCGCGGTACGTCAAGATAGTTTGTATGACCATTGCATTGTTCGAGAACCGCGGGCGTGAGCGCGCCTTTGGGGTAGCCGTTGAGCTTCCCGGACAGGGGTGGTGAGGACAAGGGGCTGTCCTTGCCGGGCGACGAGGATGGCGGTGTCGAGATGTCGCTTGGGCTCGATCCACGCGTCGCGATCTGGGAGGGCGAAGATGGCGGGTTCGTGGATCGCGTGAAGTATATGACCTTGGCCAGGGATCCCCCGATCTAATGCGCCGCGCGGGCGTGAGCAGATCGCGCACACGACGATGGACGGCGCACTTACATCCACCGCTATGTGCGAGACGGGCTCGATGTAGTTTGGGAAGTAGATTCCGCGGCTGTCGCGCGTCTGATCGCGCGATAGAGGGGGTGCGTCGCGGAGAGCGATTGTGTGGACAAAGGTGTACAGCGCGGATCGCGAGAATCTGAGAAGTGCGGTCTGACGCTATGCGGGGTGCAGCTGACGTACCTCTGGCGACTCCTCGTCCAGGATCATGGCCCCTCTCGTGTCGACCTGGATGGTCTTCGCGGTGGGCAACGAGGGTCCTGCTGCTGCCATGTCTGCGGGCACTCCTGAGTGTTGGCGGCGACTACTTGAGGGCATTTGTGGTATGTTCGGGATCCGAGTACAGCGAAGACCAGATATCCCAGGGCGAGGAGGTATGTGGCAAATAGGGTCCGTTTAGCAGAGAATCCCGGTGGATGTTTAGCAAAGGATCCGGATATCCGGAAGATGGAAGTCCGAGGAGAGGGTGTCAGACGACAAAGCACAGCTGCTGACCGCAGACTGTCCGAGGAAGTGTTACGAGATACGAGCGGCAGGGAGCGGGGATAGGATGTGCAGTCGGAGAAGATGGTACGACACCGGTTATGCGCTCGCGGTCGACTCTCAAGTGGTTGGGGCAGCCTGAGCTCAGCTTACCCCGCATCTGCCAGGGCCACATTTCGGTGGGCCGTCTCCGATCGCCCGCGCCCGACTCGCCTCCGCTCCTCCTCACACCCACACCCACCGGCTCCCCACTCCCCGCCCGGCCAATCCCTTCCCGCACATTCCGACACGGACGTGGGCATCTCCTCTCGCAAGTCCCCTTCCGTATGCAGGTGACCATGCTCAAAGCTGCCGGTCGTCCCAGTGGCAGCCACAGGCGGTCCGTCCTGTGCGCAAGTCCCTTTCTCCATACAACGTTGTGGGATTTTTCGTTGGTGCTAGTGATTACCCATGCGATGTTTTTCTGAGATATATCCCTGTGTGGTGCGATGTATAGTGATCATGGTGGCTGCGACGATCCATCCCGCGAGTTATTAGCCACAGTTTACTCTGGCGCCCATGCGCGCTCTTGCCAAGTTACTCCTATCTCAACCTCTTCTCCAACATGAGCACCTACGCTGGAACTCGATCATGAAGCTTTTTCATAGGGACGCTGAGCAGGTTTATATCACAGACGTGGCCGAAACATTGCCTATATCACTTCCTTCTGGGCGGCTCCGAAAGCGTGCCAAAGCCGAATGCGACGGCAACGACACGGTGCTTCTGGACCTTCCCCTACTCGAGATAGACCGTCCACTCTGGCTCGCAGACGGTAACGTCGTGATCATCGCACAGTCTCAGACGGCCTTCCGTGTTCACAAGAGCGTGCTCCTGCGCCACTCCGAAGCATTCAAGACCCTCCTTGCGGTGGCGGAGCCTACGTTCGGGGAGGCCTCGAAGGTGGAGGGCTGTCCTGTCGTGCATACTAAAGACACCGCATACGACTTCAAGCACCTCTTGCATGCTCTGTACGATGGGCCCGAGTGAGTGCTGCTTTCACGGTTTTCTCTACCCATGTCCCGATCCCCCCTTCTCCTGGCACCTGTCTCAGGCTCGACGAGCCAGCCGCATTCAGCACTCTTGCTCGCACGTCTCGGCCACAAGTACGCCCTCAGCCGCATCTACACAGCAGCCATCAAGCGGCTCGAGTCCGTCTTCACGGACGACTTCCAAGCGTGGCGCGCACACGAAGGCCGGACCACCCCACTCGTCAAATTCATCCGCAACGACGCGATGAGCCCGTCAACCTCTTCCGCACATGCAATCAAGCACGCTTGCTCCCCGCCGCGCTGTACATGCGCTGCTCGCTGAGTGTGCACACGCTCCTGCACGCGGCGCGGCGCGCAGACGGGACCGCCGAGAAGCTCGCGCTCGATGACCTCGAGCGCTGCCTCGTCGCGCAGCAGAAGACTGAGGTCCGGAGTACCGCGTTCAATCAAAGGATGCTCGACTTCAGTGACCCCGCGCGGCCAGGGTGCGTCGCTCGCGACCCGCCGACGAGCAGTGCGCGTTTGCCACAGCTGTTAAGGAGTTTGGGGGATGCGGTGGGTGCGCTCGGCGGCGACGCGGGCGCGTCTACGAGGCAGCAGTGTCTCCGTGTCTTCGTCGAGACGCATCGCAGCCCAGAGATGCGCGAGACGCTGGGGCTCTGTTGTGTCTGCGCGGATTACGTGTTATCGAGCGACCTGCGATTTTTCGAGGAGCTGTGTCACAATCTTCCAAACATCCTCGATGTGCAAATACCGGGGTGGCCTGCGGACAGCCCATAAAGGTGTGCAAACGGTAGCCTGAAAAAGGGAGCACTTCACTTCTGGGTCGGTAGTACATATCATACATGCAAGCGTACGAGCAGAGACTCCATTTGCGTATATCTTCTGAAGCGAGGGCAACAACTGCGTCGAAATCTGAAGCTAGACGCCAGGAATCAAGCAGGCCTGTGAACTGCCTGCGAACATGATGTGTGAAGTTTGAAGGTCCGTTACAGCTTTGACTCAGTCTTGTCGAGAACCCCCACCCACTGTCCCTCAGGCTACCAATGTCGTGCTTACTCCCGCTCGAAGTTGTCCATTGGATCATGGATCTACTGCTCGAAGAAGCCTACTTGGACATGTGGCGATTTGACGTCAACGCATGTGCTTTGGTTTGCCGCGCCTGGGTCCCATACTGCCAGTCACTCCTCTTCCGCAAACTAGTGATATGTGCCTTGACTACCGCGGAAATCTATAGTCGTCGTCGACGTCTACAAAATGCGCCCCACTTGCGGAGCTACGTCCGTGAATTCGAGATTCGAGAACCACGATGGCTGCAGGCACCGACTTATCCCCTCTTCTTCTCTATCCTAGCTCGGTGCTTTCCGTCCTTGCGTAGGATCTGGGTGTTATGGGGACGCCCTCCCTTTTACTGCCACAGAGTGTTCTGTGGTCCTACATTCAAAGCCCCCAGCATCACTGCACTCCAGATCGACGACATCCTCCTTCTGGATCCTTCCCATCTTTACGACATACTCACACAATTCCCGAACCTCCAGACATTGAACCTTGACAGTATCGCCTGGTTGATGTCAAGGCTTCCGGGTCGTCCGGATGCGTCACGTGTTGTACTTATCGCTTACTATACCACTTACATTCGTTACTTACTCATTACTTACTCACATACGTTCGTTTACTTACTTTCAAAGCGCACGAGTCCTCGGACCGATAGGTCCGCTTATCCGCGAATCGCGGCCGGCGCCTCATCGATAGTGGCGTCCGCCCTCGCTCTCATATACCTCGCCGACCGCGCGCAGGCACCTCATCGTTCTTTCCCCGAACGCTGAGGTGAGCTCCCTGCGCGCATTCCCACTCCTTGTCGTTTAGCTGACTCTCGTCTGTAGCTCACTCGTTTCTCGTTCAGGTAGCTACTGACATAATACCATCGTTCTTTCCCCGAACGCTGAGCTCACTCGTTTCTCGTTCAGACTTCGTCCGCGCTCGGCTCTAACCTCGCAGGTTATGAGCCCTGCTTCGATGTCGCTCACCAACACCACCGCCAACGCCTCGAACCTCTTCACCGTCCCCAAGCTCGCTCAAGATGGCTCAAACTGGATCACCTACAAAGAGCGCATGCACACGGTTCTCGGCGCCCGCGGTTTGATGCGACATCTAGTGGGTACGGCACGTCGTCCTCCCTCTCCCCCTCCCTGGCCCCGTCCGAAGCCCGAGCCCGCGCAGAGTGCCGAGCGAACGCCCGGTCCTACGACCGAGAGCGAAGCTCCGAGTACCGCACGAGGCGAAGCTGCGAAGCCTGAGCCCGGCTCCAAGCCGGACCCGCTCGCAAGCCTGTCGGACGACGACTACTTCGCCAAGGTTGAGGCTGCGGAGACGAAGATCGACGACTACGAACAGAAGGAGTTCACGACCCGTCAGCAAATCTACGGGACAATCACCGACTCTCTCCTCCTCAAGGTCAAGGACCTCCTCTCCGCATCAGCCGTCTGGAGTGCCGTCATGAAGGAGCACGAGGGCAAGTCGGAGATGTACGCAAGCAGTGTACGTACACGCTTGCTCAATACGAGGTGCTCCGAGGGCGGCGACGTGCGCGAGCACTTCGACACGCTTGTCCGTCTTCGGGAGGAGCTCGCAGGCATGGGCTCACCCCTCCCCAACGCCGAGTTCTCGGCGGCGATCTTCCAGTCGCTGCCAGAATCGTACGGCACCCTCCTGACGACGCTCTCCACCGCCGCCCGCATGACCGGCAACCTCCTCTCCCCCGGCGACATCATCTTCGCAGTCAGCGAAGAGTTCGACCGACGCAAGCTCAACACGCCTGGGACGTCCAGTGAGTCCGCGCTCGCAGCGCAGTCAAGCACGCAGCTTGAGTGCTACAACTGCAAGCGCAAAGGCCACGTCAAGGCCGACTGCTGGCGCAAGGGCGGAGGGAAGGAAGGCCAGGGGCCGAAGCAGCAGACAGCAAAGAGAGGACGGGGAAGGGGTAGAGGTGGCGGAGGCGGCCGTTCTGCGAACGTCGCCAAAGCGAACGTCGATGACGAGGAATGTGCGTTCACCACCCTCGCGCTCGGCAGCGCCGCGCGTTTCGAGTTCAACCCCCACAGCCGAGACCGCATCGAAGTCTACGACAGCGGCGCGACCCGCCACATCTCCCCATACCGCGACACGTTCATCTCATTCACCGAACTCGACCCGCCGCTCCCAATCAACACCGCCGACGGCCACTCGTTCTCGGCTGTCGGCGAAGGCAGTGTACGTGTGGAGGTCCCGAACGGCGACAGTCAGACTGCCGTCACGCTCCAGCGCGTCCTGTACGCGCCGGAAATCGCGTTCGCGCTTGTCTCCATTCGACGCGCGGACGAGGCGGGATACTCTGCGGTGTTCGAGAAGGGCGAGTGCCGCCTCTACCGGCGCTCAAACCAGGCGACCATTGGTCGCATCCCCCTCAAAGACGGCCTGTATCAGGTCCGTCGCCAGGACGTAGCAGCTGCGACGGGCTTTGGGAAAGGCCCGGATCTCAAGCTGACAAACCACGAGCTTCACCGGCGCATGGGGCACATCTCCCCGCTTGTCTCTCGCAGCGCGGTGAAGCAGGGTCGCATCTGCGGCATCAAGCTGACGGACGACTCGACGGATGAGGTCTGCGAGGCCTGCATCCAAGCGAAGATCACGCGCAAGCCCGTGCCGGATGAGCGGGAGAGTGAACTCGCGGAGAACTATGGTGAGCGTGTCCACGCTGACACCTGGTCCGCCGACGTCACTTCTCTTGGAGGCAACAAGTACGCGACGATGTGGACAGACGACGCGAAACGCTGGACGCGCACAGTCCCCCAGAAGGCACCTCCTGTGGTAACTCTGATGCACCACACGCCGTACGCGCCCAGGCACCCCTTATGCACCAACGGCCGTAGGTTAGCGGCCAATCTGACATAAGCGTCGGAGATTGTATTTTGCCTCCAAATGCAGTAACCAGCCCCGGGAAAGGCAGTAGGGCCTGTTATCTCAGTAGATAACAGGCGCTTTCTTATCTATTCGGCCAAATTAGGCAGGCACTAACTAATCTGATCTACAGGGCGCTTTTTCCGATCACATCTCGCCCAAATCAGGTAGGTGGGCTCGATCCTGGGGTGGACCACCATGCAGGGGTCCCCCCAGGTTGCCTAGCTCACTCAATTCTCATCCGATTGACCTCATTGTTTTCGCAGTATATTCGCATTTCATAGGCGTTCAAAACGCGCCGCTTCCGACATCACACAGTAAGCTATCAGATGCGGTATCAAGGATGCACTCAATCTGCTACAGGAAACACAGCTTTCTTCGTTGCACATCCGTTTTTCACCGGATTTGCACGCAAATATGTGCGTTATAAAGGTATGCATTAGAGCTTTCAGACGCGTCCGTTTGCGCATGACTTGGCGTATATTTGGCGGCGCAGCAGCGTCTGCACTCTGGGCAGGGGTGCAAGCTGCAGCTCCACCAACTCTCCGCCGAATCATCTCGTTTTTGCTGTAACAGATGCTAATACATATGCCTAGTACAGGAGTATCACTCGCACTGGACCGCGCGCGCAAAAAACCGCGCAATGCGGCTGTTTCTGCCCAGGTATCCCCATAGACCTCTCAAGACGATTGCATCTCGGAGAATGCCCGGATTACGGTGCACAGTGCTTCGTTCGAAAGCTGCTGAGCGCACCTTTCTAACGGTGTATCGCACGTGGAGATCCGACCGCCGAGGCCACCGGGGCAACGTGGATCTCCTCCTGGCCCCTTGTCCCCTCTATACTCTGATCCTTCTTCATCCCCTTGCTCCGAGCACCAAGTAGCGTTTTCATAGTAATTAAGCTATGTTCTGAAGCCCATACCGGGCCTGTGAACGCTCAAATTAGCTGTCTGTGTAGGGCAGCACACAATATATGCAAAATTCGCACCACTGCCAAACAATTGCGTATATCTCCATGGGAAATTGACGTATCACCTCGCGGTCTTTTGCTTTTGGTAGGTATAACATACATGCAGTACTGTGCCAAATTACAAATGGTTCGTGCACGAAATGGTGCCTCAGGACGGTATGCATCATCGCCAATCATGAGGCCCATATCCTCGGCAGTTCTCGTCCAAATCATATATGAATCGCGTAATCCGGTAGCGAATACATAGAACTGCGTGCGTACAAAATTTCAATGGGATTGAGGGAAATATGAGCGAGCTACTGGCAAGACAATGGCCCAGCACTCCGACCACCCAGACTGTCTTAAGACGGTCTGGGCGGCTGTGCTGGGAACTCTCTGTGCTCGCAACCAGTGCTCCTGCTAGATAGCCCTGCAGCACTCCTTAATACATACCTCTGGCACATCCTCACCGAAAATTACGATTTTTGGCTCGTTTTGAAGCTGCTTTCAGTGGGCTTCCAGCCTTGTAGACATCACATTAGACCTATCTAGCAAATGAGTGCATATGAGCGATCTTTCCTGAGACTGATAAGCCTGCAGCATGCTTACCTGAGCGCCGATAAGGCTGAAAATTTGATATCGTGTACTGAGGGTACCTATATGCTACCCTGTAAGAGCGATTGGGATTTGGATACGATCCCGGCCACCGGTAGCATGTTCTACTCACAGGCCCAAGAAATCAACAAGATCTTTTTTATGCAACTTTCCGTGATCCCATATCTACGTAGGCTCATACAATACATTTTTCATACATCCCTGAGTGCAAAAGAAGGGTTTCTACAGGATTGGAGGGCATACATGAGAGGAGAGTGAGTATGTGAGGCAGGAGGAGACCTACCTTGCCCCGGAACGACCAGCGGTCGGATCGCGATGTGTAATACCGCGTCGGAAAGTTGCATTCAATAGCTTTCCAAAGATGTACTTTGCGCGGCGATCTGTCAAGCGGTTGGGACGCGATCGTCCTGGGAAAGGGGATGTGGCTGAGCAGGAAATGCTCCTTCGGGCGGTCCTGCGTGCGCGCGGTGCTATGCGAATGAAACGCCCTTATTTTACAGGTATGTCAGCGTCCATTGCAAAAAGAACGAAGTAATTCGGTGGAGATCTGGTGAAGCTGCATTATGCAGCTCTCCTCTCACTGCATAAGCTGCAGCGCGTCCAGACCTCCACCGAATCACGCGCGAGAGATCTCGTCCGAAAGCTATTGTACATACCTTCAAAACGTATATACTCGCGTGTTGATGCGATACGAAACGGGAGCGCGATGTGGAGAACACCGTTCCCTGTAGTAGAAATCAGTAAGCCCCATGGGAAGAGCAAATATCGACCGATTTACAACGTAAGGGGCGCGTTCCGTTCGCCCTGGCAATGCGCACATAATGCAGAAACAACGAGGTCAATCGGGTGAAAAGTGAGTGAGCTAGAGGAGCCGGGGGTACCCCTGCATGGTGGTCCACTCCAGGATCAGGGCCACCTACCTGATTTGGGCGAGGTGTAATCGAAAAAAGCGCCCTGTAGATTAGATCAGTAAGTGCCTGCCTAATGTGGCCAAAGAGATAAGAAAGTGCCTGTTATCTATTGAGATAACAGGCCCTGCAGCCTTTCCCGGGGCCTCTTACTGCATTTGGAGGGCAAATACAAACTCCGATGCTTATGTCAGGTTGGCCGCTAACCTACGGCCGTTGGTGCATAAGGGGTGCCTGGGCGCGTACGGCGTGTGGTGCATCAGAGTTACGACAGCGGCTGCAGAAGGAGAAGAGCCAAGCTCTCCCCGCATACAAGGCCCTCGAGGCCGAGATCGAGACGCAAGAGGGCCGCCGCATCAAGGAACTCCAGACTGATGGCGGCGGAGAGTTCTGGGGCATCGACTTCGACAACTATGTCAAGTCTCGAGGCACCTTCCACCGCACCTCCGTCCACGACACGCCAGAAGAGAATGGCGTCGCAGAACGCGTCAACCGCACGCTTGCAGAGCACTCCCGCGCCATGCTCATCGACTCGGGCCTCCCTCGCAACCTCTGGCCCTACTCGATGGTTCACGCAACTTGGCTCAAGAACCGCACGCCGACGCGCGCCCTCAAGGGCCTCACGCCTTTCGAGGCACGCTACGGCAAGGCTCCCGACCTTCGAGACCTCCATCGCTTCGGTGCGAAGGTCTGGGTACGCAAGGAGCGGTCCGGCAAGACCGAGAGCAAGGCACGTGAAGGACGCTTCGTCGGGTACAGCCAGAAGAGCAAGGGCTACCAGGTCTACTGGCCCGACAAGCGGTCCGTAACCATCGAGCGGAACGTCCGTTTCGTCGAGGACGAGCCGGACGCAGTCGAGCAGGACGACGCGCCGCTCGAGGGGGCGAGGCAGGACAAGGGCGAGCAGCCCGCGTCGCCTTCTCTCCCTACCACGCAGACCTCCGACGCCGCTGATGCACCAATGCCCGAAGCAACGCCGCCTCCTGCCCAGCTGACGTCCTCAAGCCCCGCGCCGCGGACCACTGTCGAGGACGCGCCAGATGAGGACGACGACGAAGAAGAGGCCGCACCGCCTGAGCCGCAGCTCGGCCGCGGACAGCGTGTGCGCAAGCCGTCCGCCTACGTCCGTCGCCTCAACCAAGGCGAAGGCACCGTCGATGGCCGCCACTCGAGACATCCAAGAGGCGTCCAGGCGAGCGAGCTCATGGGAGCTGCGACGGTGACTGCGCTCGCAACGCTGGTAGCTACAGAGGAGAGCTACGGCTTAGCAGCGCTGTGGGACGACGAAGAAAGCGAAAGCGACGAGCAGGAGCCCGCACGCCCTGCGCTCGAGTACGGCTTTGCGGCGATGGACGCCGCACTGGTGATTCACGAAGGACAGGAGCCCCGCACTCTCGCCGAGGCGCAGGCTTCGCCGGACTGGCCGCACTGGGAGAACGCGATTGCCAAGGAGATTGACAACCTCCGCGAGCACGACACCTACGACCTGGTCGAGCCGCCTCACAACACAAACATTGTTGGCAGCCGTTTCGTGTTCCGCATCAAGCGCGACGCGGAGGGCTCGATCACTCAGTACAAGGCCCGTCTCGTCGCACAAGGCTTCACGCAGATGCCCGGCGTCGACTTTAACGAAACCTTCGCACCCGTCGCCAAGCTCGCCTCAATTCGCACCATCCTCGCGCTCACTGCTCGCTACGACTGGGAGCTCGAACAGATGGACGTGAAGTCCGCGTACCTCAACGGCAAGCTCGACGAGGAGATCTTCATGCGACAGCCACCAGGATCTGCTGCAAGCGGACAGGAGCACCTCGTCTGCCGGCTGAAGAAGACGCTCTACGGCCTGAAGCAAGCCGGTCGTGGTTGGTACAAGACACTCTCGGAAGCGATGCGCGCGATGCATTTCACTCGCTGCGACGCTGACCACGCCGTCTGGTACAAACGCGACGGCGCCTCTGCGCTCATTGTCGCCTCCTCTGTCGATGACCTCACAATCGCAGGCACGAAGGACCTCGCATTCGGCTTCAAGGCTGACATCAGCGCCCGCTTCGAAATGAGCGACCTAGGCGCCATGCGCTGGATCCTCGGCATCGAAGTACGGCGCGACCGCAGTGGCAGGACGATCGCGATTTCACAGCGGTCGTACCTCGACGCCATTGTTGCACGCTTCAACCTCGAGAACGCGAACACTGCGTCGACGCCCCTGCAGCCCGGGGGCGGACTCGGCCACCACCAGTCACCTGCAACCCCGCGCCAGTACGAAGACATGCGCGACGTGCCCTATCGCGAGGCTGTCGGGTCACTCATGTACGCCGCCATGGGCAGCCGCCCGGACATCACGTTCGCGGTGACTGCCTTGTCGCAGTTCATGCAAAACCCCGGCCGCCCGCACTGGGAAGCCGTCAAGCGTGTCCTTCGATACCTGAAGGGAACCCGCGAGCATTGGCTCGTCTACGGTGGCGTGCGCGAGGGCCTCCGAGGCTTTTCGGACACCGACTGGGGCTTGTCGACTGACCACCGCCACTCCATCAGCGGGTACGTCTACACGATCGACGGCGGCGCCGTCTCATGGTCCTCAAAGAAGCAAAACGTCGTCGCCTTGTCCAGCACCGAGGCCGAGTATATTGCTCTCACGCACGCGTCGAAGGAGGCGCTCTGGCTGCGCTATCTTCTCGCCGACATGCTCGACCCCGACGTTGCGAAGCACCCGCTCACTCTCTACGGCGACAACCGCTCCGCCATCGCACTCGCCAAGGACAACGTGTTCCACCCGCGCACCAAGCACATCGACATCCGCTTCCACTTCATTCGCGAAGCGGTAGACGACGGCAAGATCGCGCTCGAGCACCGTCGCACCGAGGACATGCCCGCGGACCTCTTCACGAAGGCTCTGCCCCGGCCGCGGATTGAACACCTCTCCGCGCTCTTCGGCCTGCGTACGCTTTGAGGGGGCGTGTTGTACTTATCGCTTACTATACCACTTACATTCGTTACTTACTCATTACTTACTCACTTACATTCGTTACTTACTCATTACTTACTCACATACGTTCGTTTACTTACTTTCAAAGCGCACGAGTCCTCGGACCGATAGGTCCGCTTATCCGCGAATCGCGGCCGGCGCCTCATCGATAGTGGCGTCCGCCCTCGCTCTCATATACCTCGCCGACCGCGCGCAGGCACCTCATCGTTCTTTCCCCGAACGCTGAGGTGAGCTCCCTGCGCGCATTCCCACTCCTTGTCGTTTAGCTGACTCTCGTCTGTAGCTCACTCGTTTCTCGTTCAGGTAGCTACTGACATAATACCATCGTTCTTTCCCCGAACGCTGAGCTCACTCGTTTCTCGTTCAGACTTCGTCCGCGCTCGGCTCTAACCTCGCATCACGCACCTCCCGAATGGTATTACCTAGGAAGTCTGTGCTAGGCAAGCTGCCGGCCATCGCCTGGCTTTCTGTAGGGATCAGGACATCAATTACTTCGAAGAAGATGGGGGTATGTCGTTTCGGTCGTGATGATGTCTTCGCCAAGGCAAGCTAACGCTAGATCTTGCTGTTCTAGGAGCCCGAATACGCGCGTGTACAGTCGATGGAGCTGAGAACTTTGTTGAATGTCGCACAGCACACTCTACGCTATCTCGGTATCAACATTGTGGCATATCATTATCTAGCATACCCGCATATCCGTAAGTGGCCACTATGTGCTGCGCGAGCCTGCGAGGGTCACTCATGATGGGGTGTCTAGCGCCAAGCATGCTAGTTCCGGCTCTTTGTGACTTTCCATGTCTCGACACATTGGACATCCATCTGCGAGGACCTCGGAAGGCCTTGGAGCCGGAAGATTACGCATTCCATATCGCAAGAATTCCACACGTAGTGAAGACTTTCTCCGCAAAGTCATTGCGCACCATCGAGCTACGCTTCAGTCCAGGCGAGATGCAACGGCTTCAGGACCAGTTCATGGACGACCTTCGAGTGATCAATAAGGAGCTGGACGAGATAGTGGAGTCTTTGCAATTCCCCCTACTCCAGAGGATCCGATTCGATGTGAATTCCCTCGTACCCGAGCAAGCGGGGTGGAACGAGCGCTTTGCAGACATGTTTCCGTGGTTGATGGCACAGGGGATCCTGGAGGTAGTGGGTATTGTGAAGGATCAGTCCGTCTCAACGCTTGCGCACTAGTACCACAGCTGACGTTCACACTTCTCTAGGTATGTTTCTGGGTCGTTTGGTGCAGAGTTACATTAGAGAGGCCACTACTATCACCGCAAACATTCTCGCTCGTCTATGCTTTCAACCTAGACTCACCATCCTGTGTTGTTGCATCAACTGTTGAAACATGTTGTGGGATGGAAACGTCCCACCAGATGTAGTGAGTGAGGTTTACATTGGTGTCTAAGTTTCATCTCACTTATGCTCCCTCCGCCCAGTACATTCTACTACGGGTTGATCGTTACTTGCCGACACTTTCAGCTGGAGATTGCCACAATCACCTTGAGCGACAATACGACCTGAGATGATAATACCGCCTATTATCTCACAAGCTCAGTAGTGAGTTGACACGCCATCTTCATTCATTGACCGTTTTCTTATTCTACCTCTTCCCAGTATACATGCGTTACAATGCCATCCCCTCAATAAGTAGTCCCCAGTGAAGCAAATAAACGCAAGGCACCTATAGCGCGAAGTATATATATCGGGGTTGGTACCTCTAGTACTCATCTCACCACACATAAAGCTCTCTCGTACATGTTAACGATCTCCGAACTGTTGCATCTCTCTCTGGTGATTGGTGTCGCCAAAGAATCCCCCGCACCGGGCCCCCGGATACGCGCAACCTGCAGGTCAATCAGAACGCTCGACATGGGTTGTGAAACCTCCATGTCTACCGAGAGAGGCTGTCCTAATGGTGTGCTTCAATCTTCCCTGTCTCGCTTTGAGAGCGTCACTAAATCGCCGACGCTCCGCAGGATCTTGCCCATGCGCTGTCGTAATAGATGTGGACTTTCGCTCCTCGAGGCACTCTCGGAAGGAAGAAGACGCGCTCTGGTCGACGGTCGTTCCTGTATCTGAGGCCGGGAAATCCCTGCGAGCAGCCTCGATGTGCTATCAGAACCTCTCAGTCACAATATGCAAGAGTTGCTCTCTGGCCGACTTTGTCAAGTACAGCTTCAGTGATTTGCACACAGTCGGCATATCTTTGTCTCTGGTATGGGAATCGGTTGAAATCCCGTCTTGTCGGGTATTCACAAACATTGTGAGCCCTTGGGGGAAAGATTCGGTGGTCCGCTGCGTGGAACTCAACTGTGTCCGCTGGGCTCATCCGACAACTATTGCGAATTTCATCGACGAACCTGCATCATCCACCCCAAACCTAATAGAGATCAGAGTCTTTAATGATGACCGAATGGTGAGTCGGGATCTACAAGTCCCTGTTTCTGCAGATCCTCACGTTAGCAATATACAGCAATGTGAGCGCGGTGCACCCGCCATATACTGGCTGGTGCATGATGCACAGAAGATGTCGCGGAGGCCCGGGACGAGGGACGACAGCAGACCGACCTGCTTACGGAGGTGGTGCTGGCCCACGCCGAGTCCGTGCGGGGACGACGATGGGAGGAGGTGAGAGAGGAGAGGGAGGGGCTTACAGGACAGAGGCACCCTTCAGCGAACCCCGACAGAGGTCTGAGGTTGCAACAGGGGCGTGCCAGGGAACTTGCCTGAAAGAGGCCAAGGAGGAGGCCGGCGACGAAGGCCAAAGCTGTCCCCAATGACTTAAGTATATTGACTTGACCATCTAGTACAAGAGGTGCTTACCTGTCCCCAATGACTTAAGAGGTCGAGATGGGGAACAGGTGCAGGATCTACTCTACCTATATACTGGAGCAGGTGCGCACAGACCAGGTACCTATTTGTACGTGTTTGGTACCTAAGGTGAGTATGAAGCATGTGACCAACGATCAGGTGACCTGTAGCTAGACTAATACCTATGACGTCCTTCAGGGTGTTATGGTAATCATAATGACTGTGGTGACGTAGGGAATATGATGGGAGTCCGGTGATACCGGAAGGTAGGGCGCCCGTAAGGGCGCTAGGGAGGGGCGGACCGGTGAGGTTGATGATGGAAAAGAGACGCTGTGTGAGGCGCTCTGAGGGGAGGGAGGCGGATGCTGAGGTGCTGCGAGGGTGCTGTGGCGTCTGGGCCGAGTTCTGGTGGGCGTAGGCAGAGCCTAGGAGGGGAGGCGCTGGCGACTCCACGACAGAAGACGATAGCAAGTATATCTTTTGATCTCATAACTATCAGCGGGCTGTATTATACAACCCGCAGAGCAGTGGATCAGAAACGGACGTGTACCCTTTGCATACTGCGCGAGTTCTCCTCGAATTCAAAGAGGACTAGGGCCCGTTCGACGAACGGCGTACGCAGCGTGACGAGGTAGCAGTGTGGTAGGAGGGTGGGGAGCCCGGAGGAGGCAACTTTGGCGTTCGCGATTCTACGCCACCATGGACGAGGTGTTTGACTATGACGTCACAATCTGTGCGCGGAGCGCTTCTCGAGAACCCTTGGCACAGTGGTAGCGCGTGAGATTCCAGCAGGGATATCCTCAAGGTCGTCCGTTCGATCCGGGCAGGGTTCACTTTTTTTTCTCCCAGGAGGCGTCCCCGCTCTCCCCCGGGCCATCCCTCAGGCCTAAATGCTTCGGTTGACGGTGCTTGCTTCTGCTAGTCCTCGCTTGGTGAAGTGCACAAGACATGTCCTGTAAAGGTAGAGAGGAGCACGAGGCTCTTGTCCTGCCAGTGGTAGTTACGTAGTTGCAGAGGTAAGGTAAGGCTACGGGATTCTGAGTCGTTTGAAGGGGCTGTCGTCTCTGTTAGTATATCGGTTAGTACACGCGCTTGTCACTGGTGTCATTAGATGACCGCGCGAAAGCGGGGTTCGACTCCCCGACAGAGAGCGAGACGTTTTGTCGCGGTAGCCATTCAACTTCAAGAATCCTGCACAATACGTGTGATACGGGCCTGGCAACACCTAATCATGTTACTCCGGGTTACTCGGTACACCGGCAGCGTATTGATACACAATACGCCTAGGACATTCGTATTCATAGGTACAAGATCGTGTTTTGCACAGTCATACGGTATAGAGCAGCTTGAATCAACGGCATAAGACAGCATTGGTGGGAGGTGGGTTGCCGTAACAACATACGCGATACGTACACATACAAAGGGCCTTCCAGAAGAGCCCGTGTGGGGGCGTGTGGCCGTAGAACCAGCTATAATACGCTATAATACAGCAAGCAGCAATAGACTCGACGTTTCATGGTCATGAAACGATAGCGCCGGCAGGCGGCGGCGGTTGCTGAGGAGCGGTTCAATAGATACGTTGTAAATATCGAGCGAAACGCGCTCTAGGTTGAGCGTCAGCATACCCATTCGTAGCGAATAAGCCATCAAACAGCCCTCACCATAGCGGCACGTCACGCCCATAGGGTGAGTTTCGTGAAGTCGACACCGCCCCGTTCATTGGGGTGGGCCACAAAGAGCGCGCCCAAACGCGTGGCTATACACATTCACGTGTGAGCAAAACCCGTCATGAGGAAAAGAAACGGACGCACCGTCCTGCACGCCCGACTCCTTGCACGGCACCGTCGCGAGGCCCGCCGCACGCAAGGCAGTCATGACCTGCCCATACGTCCCGCGGAACAGCGAGCCCGGTACACCGTCGCGCTCGACGTTCTCCGAGCGGATACTGCTGATCGACATGCGCCCACGCCCCGCCGCGTCCATCGGGTCCCCGTGCTCCGCGCCCGGGGAGCTGTCCATGCCCGCCGCGAGCACGGCCTTCGCGATGCGGTACTTGAGCCGTGCGAGGCGGCTCTCGGAGAGCCTGCACGGGGGCTGCGCGAGCTGCGACGCGAAGCGAATGTACAACCCGTGGTCCTCGGGGCACTCCGCCTCCGCGCCGGGCCCGGCGAGGGTCTCGGAGGACGCAGTCGCGGCGAGCGTCCAGTCCGAGGCAAGGGTGCTCCGGCTAGGCGTGGGCCGGAGGTTCAGGGAGGGACGCGACTCCGAGGCGTCTCTCCGTAATGTGAGGGTACGCATCGACGACCGGGAGCTGGACCGGGAGCGCGAGCGGAAGGCGACGTTCGCGAACTCGACGAGGTAGGGGATGCCGAGGGCGTTGAAGCGGATTTCGGGGGCCATGGTTGGCGTTGGGGTGGGTATGCGACCAATACCAGATTGGGTCGGGGTGGTGCCTGTGGTGATGGCGCGATAATGAATCGTCAAAGGCCCGCGAAGATACCGGTGGGTCGTATATGTAGACGAAGAGCAGGTGCCTTGTGGCGGACACGTTCATGCATCTGCGCCTCGGATTCTAGTGGAGGAGACCTGCGCACTCAAATGGGGTTCCCATGAGATGTTGCGTCCAGATTCTGTGCGCGCCACGGGGCATGCTAAGGTGGTGCTGCACCTGAGAGCGGATGCTGAGCCGACGAGAGTGGCAGAAGCAGGCGCACTTCATGTGTCGCCCACATTGCTTCTGTGGCCATACAAACTTGCGAAGAAGTACGAGAGCAGGGCCGACAACCGTTCGAAGTCCTGATAGGTGGAGCGAGAATCCCAATTCGCCGTCTACGAACGCGCCGCGCAGTGCTGCGGGAAGCGAGTCTGATAGCAGTTGGGGTCAGCTGGCTCAACGAAGGGCCAATCTTTTCATGTTTCGGGCGACAGAAGAGGCTACGTCAGCTTTACTAAAACACGCGGGGTCAGCGAAATGAACCGCAAGGCCATCCAGACCCTCGAAGGAACGCGGAAACAATGTGGGAGAGTGCTGTACACACCACGGGCTGTGTGGCAGCATCGCCGGTGTCTATCATTTTTCGATAAAGCGGGAGGGAGGACGCAAATCATGAGCGTTGCGAAAGAAGATGGCTTGTGCGACCAAAGAGATGCTGTAGAGTACTGAGTCCCACAGCGTCCAAGGAGATGAGGGTACTGAAGAGAGGTGCGCGACGGAGCGCTCGTAGGGGACGGAAGACGAGCGCCAGCTGCGGCCCGTGGACCGATGCCGTCGATCGGTGGACCGTGGACGGCGCGAGCTTGTTCACCGACGGCCACCACATATTCATTCCACCTTCTATGACCGCTCTTCTCTGCCATTCATGCAATGGAAACAAAGGCCCAGCGGGTACTCAAGTTCGCCGATGTATGCGAGCGAGCTTTGCAGCAGAACGGCCAGACTCGCAGAGGACGCTAGGAGCGCGAAGGTGTCCATATCCTACATATATTCGTACAACGTGCAAGCCTCGCAGAAGCCTACATACGCCTGTCCTCGTGGTACATCGTCCTGTCCTGTCGGGTCCGCACCATCTCTGCGCCTGGGAACGGCCCTGGCCTCGGACGGTCGCCGCCTATGTCTCTCCTCTTCTCCCGCTGTCCTCTCTTCGACGCTGGCTCGGCGCTCCCAGGGAGATGATCTGCTCGATGAGCGATGGCCGCCTCTGCTTCCGGAGGGACGGTCGCGGGGTCTGTAGCGCCTTGCTCGAACATTGCTCCGGACGTGGCAAGGGCTTGTCGCTACTCACCTTGTTCTCCTCAGGCTCCGCTCGGCGTGGCGTCGCGACCACTAGAGGGACAGGGTACCCGGAACCGGGCGGACTTTGTGGGAAGGGCATGCTAACCCGCCGCGAGCGCGAGTCGTAGCGCGGCCGTTGTGTTTGCGACATGCTCGCAGGCGGTACGCCGTAGGGTGACACTACAGGTACCGTTACTGGTGATTTGTGGTAGCTTTCCTCAGATGAGGACGTCGTGCGGTACGAGGATGATGTTTGGATGGACGTCCTGGGCGAGGGAGGTCGTGGTTGCTGGTAGGCCTGGCTCGCCTGCGCCTGCACCCAGAGCGCGGTGCGCTCCGAAGAAGAGAGCTCGTGGGGGCTCGAGTCGCGGGGCATGGGGGCAGCGTGGCAGAGACGATCTCAGCGTGGTGTGTACGGGGTGCGGGAGGGCAGCAGCGGCGTCCGGACGGTGGTCTTATAGGGCGCGTCGATCTGGACGGATGCGGCAGCGTCCAAAGACTGGGAATGGGGTATCTTCGCAGGCGCCCCGGCAGCAGTCCATGTGCCCGAGATGCGCCTCAATTGTCTTGGAGCGAGTGGGAGCGGCTGTCGTACGCGAGAGCTCGCTCGGAACGGCCCCAGCTTCCTGCGCGCCCGCTGCTCCAGTCTAGAAGTGCCCTAACGCGCTCCGAGAGAGCCGTCTCTGTTCAGCCCGCCCATCCTCCTCCGGTCTCCGACACGCTGCGCTCATACCAGACCCTGGAAGATCGCCATTTCCGGGCGGCAGAAGCGATCACGAAGAGACAGTCGTCCTCGTGGCTGTGCCGGACGCCATCGTGCCACATCGGGCCTCTTGTCTGCTCCTGGCAACTGTAAGAATACCTCGAGCATATGCTTTTGTTATGAACGTATCAAATTTGACGCTATAGGAAGTGAAGTTATATCTGGAGACCACATAGAATGAAGCTCGCTACCTGTTCGTGCTATCAATGTCTAGAAATTCATGGAGGAGATCTAGGCTTCTGCCGGACGGAAATATGACTCGTTCCTGAAGCCGCCACAAAGATATCTGGATACCTGTGAGCTGCGCTCTGCCAACTGCGGGCACCTCCTGCAGTCGTCTCTGACGATCACCCCCAATCGATCCCCAACGAAACCAAGTCAAGGCCATGTCCACCGAAGGTGCCCAGCGGGCGACGACCCAGGTCGTCATCCTCGGCGCAGGCGTCATCGGCCTCACCGTCGCCCACGTCCTGTCCAAGGATGCGCGGTACAAGATTAAGATCGTGGCTCGGGACATGCCCGACGACCTGGACTCCCAGGCGTTCGCGTCCCCTTGGGCGGTAAGTGCGGGCTCCCGGCTCGGACGCGCTGCGCTCACACCGGCCCCTCCCCGCGCGCGCAGGGCGCGAACTGGTCCCCGATGGGCGAATACAACGCACGCATCTACAAGTGGGAGAAGACGACCTTGTGCGTGCCCCGCGCCGCGTGTTCGGCCGCGCACCTGCTATGAACGCTAATGAACGCCGGGTGCACTAGTGACAAACTTTGGGAGATGATTCCCGCCGGGCTGGCCATCGTGAGTCCGGGCAGCGGCCCCGCACATGCCTGGCGCAGAGTGTACAGAGAACTCACGGGCGCACGGCGTGTTAGGCATCTCCGTCGCGGGTCTTTTACGACGCAGGCGCGGACTTGGACGCGCTGTGGTACAAGACCCTCGTGCGAGACGTGAGTCTGTCTGCGGGACGACACTGCCTCTACTCTTCTGCTCACCTTCATACGCCTTTAGTTCCGGATCTTGCGCAAGGATGAACTCCCTGACGGCACGCACGCCGGCGTCGGCTTCCAAACTGTCTCCGTATGGCCGCAGGCATACCTCCCATGGCTCAAGTCAGAGCTTGAAGCGCGTGATGTCGAGTTCGTCCGAAAACGCGTCGCCACGCTCGGCGAAGCCGCCGCGCTCGCGGGCCCTAACGGCGTGCTTGTCAACGCGACTGGGCTGGGTGCGTATGGCCACCGCACTGCTTTGTCTGGCGCCCGAAACGGACTGCTGGTGACCACTTGCTGACGGGTGTGCTCCGGCAGGTGCGCGGTCCTTGATCGGCCTGGAGGATAAGGACGTGTACCCCATCCGCGGGCAGACGATCGTGATCTCCAACCCGAACGTGCGCGAGTTCATGTGCACCGAGCTCAGTGCGTCTTCCTTCACGCCTCCATGCTTTCCCTCAGCTCCCTCACAGCCCCCACAGCGAGCGCGGAGGATGGGAACGCGACGTATATCATCCCGCGCCCGGCCCCAGGCGGGTGGACGACGATCCTCGGGGGCAAGTACCAGAAGGACAACTGGGACACGTCCTTCAGTGCCGCCGACGCGCAGGGCATCCTCGACCGCTGCGCGGCGCTCGCGCCCGCAATCAAGGACCCCGAGACGCGCATCTTGCGGCACAACGTGGGCCTGCGCCCTGCGCGCCGCGGGGGCCCGCGCGTGGAGGCGGAGAAGCTCAACCTGCCGCTGAAGAACCAGTGGCTCGTGGAGGAGCTGCCGGAGGAGAAGGGCGCGGTCCTGCTGGTGCATGCGTACGGCTTTGGGTGAGCGAGCGGCGATAGTTTGGGAGCGTGTTTGTGAAACTTACCTTCGTGCAGTCCGGCCGGGTACCAGATGTCTTGGGGTGCTGCAGAGGAAGTTGGCCATCTGGTCGACTCGCATATCAACCCGAACAAGGCGTGAAGACGGATGTGTACATTATCAAGGAAGATCAAGGAAGTAGCGGAATGTGTACTTATACTGAATTACTGTGGAATGTAGTTCGGGATACAACTACACAGACAGCGAAGCGTGGTGAGAGTATGAACGGATGCATGCGATTGCGATAACATGACGGACGGGTAATAAACATACGGACGGCTAACAGTACATGCTGGGGTAAGATAATGGTCCATCAGCCACGAACGAGTCAAGGGCATTAACGCATCCCTGTAGGGTCAAAGACTGGTGGTCGTGATGAGACTGCAGACCGGGGTGGTTGGGAGGGAATAGACTTGATCTTGCCGAGCCATCCCCTCTTCGCAGCGACCACCTTCGTGGCCTCGGGCTGCGACGGCGCGCGGGGGCTGTTCGTGACGTCGGAAATGGTAGGTGGTATTGGTGCAGCAAGGCCAAACCCAGTGGTTGCTCTCCTTGAGGGCGATGCTGACCCAGCACGAGCCGCTTGTTGCCGAACTGGTGTGAAGCCTGTCCGCATACTCTGCAGGGCCTTGCGGAGACGCGGCGTAGTCGGCTGTGGTGGCAAGGGACCGGGGGCGCTGTCAGCGGTGAAAGGCTGGGGTGGCATCGACCCGCAATCGTCGAAGTCATCTGGTGCTCGCCTCTTGACACCCACAATGGACGACGAAGAGTCAGACTCAGGTATGGTTCGACTCTGGTTCGGGGCGGATGGTGCCCGCTGCCGATCTGGTGTACGCGCCTGGAAGACGGGCATAGGAGGGATACGCGATTCGGGGGTCTTCGGACGGGAGAGGGATGACGGGCCAGACATCATGCGGGCGCGCGACTCGGGGGTCTTTGGCCGGAAGGTGGGCATCGGGGGAGGTTGGGTATACTGAGCGTCTGGCGAACGCGCAGCAGGCGCCGTCGCCACTCGAGGGCGGGAGAAGGGGCGGGAAGATGATGACGAAGCCAAAGATGAGGAGATCATTGGGGCAGGCCCAAGCACGAGCGGAGGGGAGAAAGTGGAGGCCTTCTTCGGCGCAAGGGCAGACACGGCAGTAGGGGCGGGCGCAGGAGCCGGCGCCTCCGGCGCCTTCGCAGCAGCCTCCGTAGCAGTGGTCAGCTTCGTCTGCAGATTCTGCATCTTGCGTGTCAGAGAGTCGACCTTGCTAGTAAGCTTCTTCTTCTCCTTGATCATCCTTTAAAACAGCAGTTAGCAAACAGCACCGACTGTCCAGTAAGCCAGATGACTCACTCGATGAAGCGGTCGTCGTTCTCCTCAATCTCCAAGCACTTGGCGCGGAGAAGCTCCTCCATCTCCAAGTTCTTCTCCCTGAGCTCCGCAATCTCATCCTCAAGCCGCGGCTGAGCGCGCAGGGCGTTGAGCTCACGCCTGAGTGAGGCAACGGTCTGCTCGTGCTGAATCGTCTGCATCGCGAGGTTCGCCTCGGTAGTCTTCGCAAGCTTGTCAAGAGCTGTGCACTTCGTCCGAAGCTCTACAAGCTCTGCCTCAAGCGCAGACGCCCGGCGTTCACTATATCCAGGGTCAGCAAGCGTACGGCATATGGCAGGCTGGAAATCACGTACCCGTCTGCAGATTGACTCTCCAAGAAGCGTTGCAGGGACTTCGATCGCTGAACCTCCGCCTCCAGGGTGGTGATCTGGTACTGGAGGCTAAGCTTCTCCTCTTCTACCTCGGCAAGGGTCGACTCTGCATGTTCCAGCTGGGCGCGCACAGCGGGGATCTCCTTCTCCGCGTCCGCTAGGGCAGCCTCCGCCTCGCCACGTCGGCCTAGCGCCTCACGCAACTCGGTGGTGGTGGCCTCTTTCGTCTGTATGTGCGCGGCCTTCTCCTCGCCAAGCTCCACGCGGTACTCGTCGGCTTCCCTTGTGAGCACCATGATGCGACCCTCGAGTTCCTCGATGGTGCGCGACAGCTCGTCCACCTTCTCCCGCTGCTGGCTGGCTGAGTCGCTCTGCGAGTCCTTGATGATCTGCAGCTCCTCGGTGGCGTCTGTGAGGCGCTTCTCCAAGCCTTGTAGCTCTTCTGCGTGAGCTTCACGCAGCGAAGCAAGCTTCGCCTCGAGTGCCTCCGCTTGCTCGCGTGCCTCTGAGAGCTGATGTGTGTGCTCCTCGGCGTCCCGCGCAGCCTCCTCGTGAAGAGCCAGAAGCTCGTCCTGGCGAGCAGCGGCAGCCTTGAGCTCAGCTATCGCGGTCTCCAAGCGTTCTTGCAGGTCCTGCGTCTCTGCATCGTGAGCGGTCTTCAACTGCTCAAGTTCGACCTCTAGACGACTCGTCGCATTGATCGACTCGCCGGCTTCGGCCAAGCGTGCCTCGAGCTGCTGCTTCGTCTGCTCCAGTTCTTCCTCGGCGGCCTTGCGCGACGCATCGGCCTCGCCGCGCAGGCGTACGACCTCGTCGAGCTCCTCGGAGATGCTTTTGAGTTGGTCTTGTAGCGAGGCGACTTCATCTTCGTGCTGCTTCTTAGCCTGGACAAGGTCGTCCCGTAGACGCTCCTCGGCCTCCGAGCGCACTGCACTCGTCGAAAGGTGACTGGAAAGCTCGTCTTCGGCACGTTTGAGTTCCTCGTCGACCCGCTTCAGTTCGTTGACCGTTTCCTGGTGGCGGGACTCGAGTGTCGCAAGCGACGCCTTGGCTTCGTGCAGCTGGGTTTCGAGCTCTTCCTTCTCTTGCGAGAAGATGGCAGCTTCGAGAGACTGGCGGTCAGCGTGGCTGTTGCGGATGTGTGCGAGCTGATCCTGAAGTATAACCAGCTCCTTGACCTTCGCCTCGAAGTTGACCCGCGCTGTCGTGAGCTGTACCTCCACATCGGCCTTCGCGTCTGTAGCGGCTTGGACGGCGCTAGACACTTCAGCCAGCTGTGCCTGGGCAGCGGTGAGTTCAGAGGACATGCGCGAGGCTTCCTCGATGGCGTCATCACGTCCTCGCTTGAAGTCCTCCAGCGCATGAATGTTGTCGTCCAACGCCTGGCTCAAATGCTCTCGCTCGGCAGATACGGCAGCGACTTGAGCAGAAAGCATCTCCTTCTCCCTCTCTGCTGCTTGTATGCGGGCCTCCAGCTGAACGAGCGCCTCACAACGTGCTGCAGCGTCCAGCCGTGACCGAACGATGGCGTCCCTCTTCTCCGCCATGGCATCGAAAGCGACCTTCACCATGCCCTCGACCTCCGCCTCGCGTCCCTCCTCTGCCGCCTCCATGGCCTCCTCCATCTCGTCGCACTTCCGCAGCGCCTCGTCGCGCTCCTCCCGCGTCGTCTGACAGTCCTCCAGCATCGCGTCCTTCTCGCCCTGCACGACCTCCATCTCCGTCGTCATCTCCGCAATGCGCTCCTCGTTCAGCTTGAGGTTCATCTCCAGTCGCGCGATGTCGTGTTGGTGCATCCCGATCTGCGCGGTCCGCCGATCGACGCGACCTTCGAGCTCGCGGATGTGTTCGCGTAGCGCCGCCTGTGCACCTGCAGCGGGCTGACCCGAGGAGAATGCGTTGAGCTGCTGCCCGTGTCGCTCGTCGGCGTCCGCGAGCTCCTGTCGAGCGGTGTCGAGGTCCTGCTGGAGATGGGTCTTCTCAAGTGCGAGCGCGTCACGTGCGGCCTCTGCGTCGTTGAGGGCCTGGTGTGCAGCGACGAGCTGTCCTTCGACGTCGGAGAGGGCGGCACCGGTCTCGTTGTGGGACGTGCGCTCGCTGGCGAGCTCCATCTCGAGCCGCTCGATCGTCGACCGGAGGCCTGATACCTGCGATGCCGCAGCATGGAGCGAATCGGTTGCGGTAGATAGCTTCTCCTCAAGTTCGGACGTGACGAGTTCGCGCTCTTGAAGGTGGCGCTGCGCGTACTGTAGATGCTCACACGCGTCCGAGAGCTCCTGCGTGAGCTCTTGTATGCGCATGGTGTTGTCTTCATCCTGTTCTTGTGCATGCTGCACGACGACAGCCAGTGCGACGGTCGCCCGGGCAGACCGCTCGGCCTGGTCCTGGAACGCCTGAATGTGGCCTCGTAGCATGCCCAATTCAGCCGTATCCGCCGCGGGAGTGACGGGGGCAGAGGTCGCGACTGTGAGCTTGGCCTCCAGAGACTGTACCGCGAACCTATTCTCGGCGTTAAGGAACTCGAGGTCGCGCCGGAGACCATCACGTTCGCCGCGCAGACGTTCGATGGTGTTAAGGAGCTTCTCCATAGTAGCAATGGTGGCCTCATCCGCATTCCGCGCGGAGAATGTGGATTGGGACGGATCAGAGAGGTGAGCCTCGAGCTCGCTGAGATATATGCTGGTTAGAATCAAGCTAGAACAAGATAGGAAGAGCTCACCTTATCCTGCTGTCGGCGGCGCGGATGCGATCCGCCAATTGCTCACGTTCCTGCTCCAGCCGATCGCGTTCGTCCAATGCCTCCTCCTTCTCCTGAGCAAGCTCCGACAGCCTCTCCTCGGCTTCTGATGCCTTCTGGTTAGCATCTTCCAGCAGGCTGACCGTCCGGTTCAACTCGTCCTGCAGCATGGCCAGGTCACGCTTTCGACTCCCAGTGGATCGCGCAAGCTCGGTCTCCAGGGCAGCGATTCGTTTCTCCTCATCCTCCAGCCGCTCCAGAAGACTAGCCTCACGGGCAGCTACGTCCCCGCCGCCGCGGATGTCTCGCAGATGGCTGAGTTCCTCTTCTCGGTCATCCAGCTTGGATTGCAGCTGCTCAAGTTCACCCTTTAGCCTCCTCTCCGCCGCGGTCTTCTCATTCTGTAGCTGGACGAGTCTGTCTCTCGTCTGAACTAGCTGTTCGGATGTCTTCTGTAATTCTGTCGCCTGTTGTGTCGATGTCGCCCGAAGATCCGCGACTTCCTGCTCCAGGGCCGGGATCCGGAAGGACGAGTCGGAAGAAGATCGGCGGCGACTTCGCGCGCTTGCAGACTGGCTTTGACTTTGGCGTAGTGCAAGCTCTTCAGCGTGAGCCTTGCTGTGTATCTCCTTCTCGAGGGAGCGCAGGCGCGATTGGAGGGCTGCGTTCTCCTGTTCCAGTTTCGAGCGTCCCGCTGACGTCAAGTTGGCCTGGGAGGATATGAGCTCTACAGTAGACTGTAGCTCGAGGGCGGTGTGCTCAGAGTCTTTGAGCTTGCGATGGGCGGTAGTGAGTGCGACCTCTGCGTTCTGGCGAGTGAGGCGTTCGTTCGCCAGCTCTTCGTTGCGTCGCTTGAGATCTGCGTCGAGTTGTATCACGCGGTCGGCTTCTCGACGTAGCTGGTACGGCGGGATCCCATTATGCAACGTACTAGGTGTGGCTAAGGGGGGAACGTACCTTGTCGAGCATATCATTCAATGATACCTTTACATCGTTGAGCTCTGCCTCTCTCTTCAAATATTCGCTGTGTAGTGTTGCATGGGCGGCGTCTGTAAGGCCATGAGTGCAGCCCAGGATGTATGCGCGAGTATGATTGACCTTTAGCCCGGAGTTGATCCTTCAGAGAGTAGACCTCATCGGAGTCGTGGTTGTCGCCGATGCCCCAGGTGGACATCGTGTAAGTTGAGTAGTTGTCGTCAGAGTATGTTGCGTGGCCGTCGAGGAAGGGAGATTCGTAGGTCTGGGGGGTCGCGGCCAGACAGACGGTGAGAAGAGGGAAGAAGCGTGTCGAAGAGACGCCCGACAAACCACGCCAATCTCAACACAGACGCGATGCCCACGTGATCGCGCCTGCGTGAGAACGTCCTTCTCGGTTGGGCGGCAGTCGATTACGCCGACGCTTCTCCGGATCCGTTCTCCGTCTTGCCACTCATCCTCGCTCCTCACAACTTCCAAGGGCCGACTTCAGTCATTGATACGCCTTGAGCAGCGTTGTGGCGATTTCATATAATGCCCTCATCTAAACGTTTTTCTCGAATGCTTGAACTAACAGTCTCATGAAGACTAGTACTGCATGCCCTCCGACGCTTGACGTTGGATCCGTGCCAACTTCAAGTCGACGATGAGCCCAGGGCGAGTTCACGGTGCACTCACGCGGTGAGCGGATTCTCGTTCTCAAATCCCGAATACACAGCTTCTCTGCAAAGTTCCCGGCAAAGGTGTGTTTTCTCCGAGCTCCACAGTGCGAGCCTTCCTGAGCCTTCGCGGTAGCGGCTTGCCTATTCTTATCGACTCGCTCGTTCGCAATTGCCCGCGTGGCGTGGCGTGCCCATCGTCCTCGCTGGCATCATCCGGCAGAAGACCGTCTACGTTGGGTGTGATTGGTGCCCTCGTAGACGGACTATGGCGATTACGAAGTTGAGTACCCGTCGTTGTGGTCCAGCGACATCAATGTGGGGGCTTCCTGCTTCTTCGGACTCGCTCGTTCGGGGGTGGCTGTGAAAGTCTGTATCGGCCCCACAACTTTGCTATCTGCGACACAGTCCAGAACACTTGAGCTGTAGGCGGCTCATGCGTTGGGTGCATGATATTGCACCAAACGCTTCCAATAAGGTATCCCTCAGCCGGAGTTCTTCAACACCGCTCTACACTTCAGTGTTTTCTCTTTCCCGGTAAGTTATGTACGTCTGAGATCACCGCTACTTAACTGATCACCTATAAATGTCTAGCGATGGTGTTTTAGCGCACCGTACTACCGCTGCGTCGTGCGATTTTCACGGCTGCAGCTTAGTGTGCACCTCCCAGTGTCACCTACTCACCAAGGACTTATAGTCCGAGTCCTCCGTCTTGCAAATAAAGCCTATACGACGAACATCTGTCCTCTCCCGTGTCATCTCCCGGCGGAGTAACACCCAGTACCCATCACATGACTGTGGTCTGGAAGCCTTGCGATGCAAAAGATCCAAAAGAATTGTCCGAGGAGCTAGCCCAAGCTCCGTGCGTTGCATTGAATTGATGAGCCACCGTGACCGTCGTCGGTGTTCTTGCCCTACACGGTATTTGCTCGCGGGCCTCCGCCGACCGCCTGACCCATCCGTCTCTGCTCTGCATGCCTAGCCATCCCTACGCCCGGGTTTTACCCGGTACGCTTTCACAACCATCCATCAATGCCCGGAGTGCCCGTAAGGTAAAACCATGCCCTTCAAACCAATCACTCGTGTACGTGCATATACAACACTGAACCTTTCACAACTATACTCGGTGAGCAGATTGGACAAATATCACTATGTCCTGACGTTCCTGACCATACGCCCCGACTAAGTTGGCCATCGTGCCACCGATGCGCTACTGTCCTTCAGGCCGGGCCTCGGCATCTCCTCGCCCGCCAAGACATGTTCGCTCGCACTTTGACAAACAGTCTCGCCCGGAGCGCCAAAGAAGGCTTCTCGCATCACGAACCGTGATCATCCACAATGCCTCCACCGCTCACATGGGCTCCCAGCACCTTAATGCTTGAAAGCCCGCTTGTTAGCCTCTCTGTACTCGTCAAAATGCTGCCGCTGACATGCGTTCTCTCGGGATAGCCTATATGCGCCTGCTCAATCCCTTTCCTTCGGCCGCTCCTCGGTCTGTACCTCACTTACCACGCTGAAGTGCTGAGACCGGACATGGCCCTCGTGGGGCGTCGTCCGGGCCACTCATCGCGGGTGGACCGCCCGGAAACTCATCGGTCATTGGTACCGTCAGCGGGCTCCCTGGAACCGCATCATAGCTCCCTACGAGGTCAACAAACCCCAGCAACCTTTGCGAACGGGAAAACCAGATGGGTCCTCCTCCCCCACCTCCGCGTATTTTCCGCTGCAGGGGTGTATAAAGCCTCTCTCGAAGAGCGTTGATGAACCATCGAGCACCGCACCTCGCAGCACATCTCGACCCCGGCCTCGGAAATGTTCCCTGCAGTCGCTCTCCTCTCTCTCTCGTTCTTCGCCATCGCGTACGGCCAGCAGGTCGGCACGCTTACTGCGGAGAGCCATCCGAAGCTTTCGGTCCAGCAGTGCACCAGCAAGAACAACTGCCAGACCCAGCAGCGTTCGATCGTCCTCGACTCCAACTGGCGCTGGCTGCACTCGACTAGCGGGAGCAACAATTGCTACACCGGCAACACCTGGGACACATCGCTCTGCCCCGACCCCACCACTTGCGCGAAGAACTGCGCGCTCGATGGCGCCGACTACGCTGGTAAGCTGTTTTTGCACGATACCCGCGAATGCGCCCACCGACTGACACGGTGCAATTGATAGGCACCTACGGTATCACCACCAGCGGTAACGCGCTCAGCCTCAAGTTCGTGACGCACGGCCAGTACTCGACCAACATCGGCTCGCGCGTGTACCTCCTCGACGCGTCCGACGCAAAGTACCAGCAGTTCAACCTCAAGAACCAGGAGTTCACGTTCGACATCGACATGTCGAAGCTCCCGTGCGGCCTCAACGGCGCGCTCTACTTCGTCGAGATGGACGCCGACGGCGGTTCCTCCCGCTTCGCCGCCAACAAGGCGGGCGCGAAGTACGGAACCGGTTACTGCGACACCCAGTGCCCGCATGACATCAAGTTCATCAACGGCGAGGTGAGTCTGCACTCCTCCGCCTTGCTTGTGCTCTCGTTCTTACCCGTTTGTTCCAGGCCAACGTCCTCGGCTGGAAAGGCTCGGACAGCGACCCGAACGCCGGTAGCGGCCAGTACGGCTCGTGCTGCAACGAGATGGACATCTGGGAGGCGAACTCAATGGGCGCGGCAGTCACGCCCCACGTCTGCTCCGTCCAGGGCCAGACGCGCTGCTCGGGCAACGACTGCGGCGACGGCGACAACCGCTACGGCGGCATCTGCGACAAGGACGGCTGCGACTTCAACTCGTGGCGCATGGGCGACCAGACGTTCCTCGGCCCGGGCAAGACCGTCAACACGAACTCGAAGTTCACGGTCGTCACGCAGTTCCTCACCAGCAACAACCAGACGTCCGGCACGCTCTCCGAGATCCGCCGCCTGTACGTGCAGAACGGGAAGGTGATCGCGAACTCGAAGACGGCCGTCGCGGGCATGAGCGCGTACGACTCGATCACGGACGCGTTCTGCAACGCGCAGAAGACGGCATTCGGCGACACCAACTCGTTCGAGAAGCTCGGCGGCCTCCAGGCGATGGGCGCGTCGTTCGACAAGGGCATGACCCTCGTCATGTCCATCTGGGACGACCACGATGCGCGGATGCTCTGGCTCGACAGCGACTACCCCCTCAACAAGGACGCGTCCCAGCCCGGTATCTCCCGCGGCCCTTGCGCGCAGACCTCCGGCCAGCCCACGGACGTCGAGTCTCAGAGCCCCGACGCGACCGTCGTCTTCTCCAACATCAAGTACGGCCCGATCGGCTCGACCTACTAAGCCCCAACGACGGTACGTGCAGAGTAAATGCGAGTCTTACCTGTTGCTTACAGCCACCCTAGATGTTCCTCTCATAGTGGGTTTCACAAGTTTCCAAAAGGTGTTCCTTGGTATCATCAGTTTGCGTATCGTCTTGTGGCAGTGTCTGTATATACCACGGTGTATACGAGAATCAAACCAGCGCTTTCTCTTCCATTTGAGTGCACCTGCACACTCGGTTTGAACTTACCTCAGCCTGAGGTCCGAACGCCCGCGGCACGCGGGTACACACAGATAAGATCTCGCGCGCCCATGGGCTTCCACAGAACCTCATTTTCCTCCACAAATACTCTGTAATCATTAGGGTATAGTCATGGATACGACAACGCAAGCAGCAGCCGACACTAGACCTCCGTGAATAATGCAGCAAAGACCTATAGGATGGTCAGACGAGGGGCCATTGCAGAAAAAGCGGGGATCGCATACCTCGTCGACAACAGTATACACAAGGTGTTGATTCAACCGTCGATTCTGCATGACGGCGAATATCCGGCGAGCCCCACGACGCGCGTTAGAGCGACCGATCATGTTCGCAGCCAAATCTGAATGCGCGTCTCAGTCACCGAAGGCGTCGGGTTCTAACAGTGCACGCACCTGGCATCAAGGCCGAAAGCTTGCGGTTCGCCTCATCTCTTGTGTGCAACTTCTCCTCGACGGTACGTGGGATACTCGGCGGCTTAACATTCCCGCCAGGCCAGAGACCCTCCCGGAATATGTTGATGAATCCCATGAGGTGGGTTTCGTCCAAGAACGACTTGACTGTCTCCCGTAGCTTCCTAAATGACCCTTCAGCAAAGAGGCAGTGGAAAGTGCAGCCTTCTAAAACCTACCGCTCGATTGTGGTACCGAGCACTTGCTGCAGGATGATGACGATCGCCTGTCGCCTGAGCCAATTATTCTTCTTGTCGAGCTCGAACACAGCAAGTATGAAGTCGCAAATGGGAGACGAGAACGTCGATGAACTCGTCTCTCCATCGAGCGGCTTGAGGTCTCCCGACAGGTGCATGAGCGCGTCCTCCGATGTGGACTTGCCCGATGCCCTAAGCGCTTGTGCCACAAGGTCTTCGTCGTGGATGGCCGTTCCGGTGATACCCACGAACTCCGCAGCCTGAGTGGTGAGACGTTGGATGATGACGTCCAGCATAGATGGGCCAAAGAACATGTCGTCGATGCTCTCGGCGACGGATTGATACACGGACTTCACGAGGCCTTGTCCAGGGAAGGCAGAGACTGCGGGAACCTTGGACGCAGTGGGAGGTTCGGCCGCCATAAAGGGCGAGTCGCGAGACAGGAAGGCTCGGAGTTCATCGCTTTCGCAGACAGCGGGTATAGCAATCAAGCTCTGTCGGCCAAGTTCAGCATGTGGAGAGCATGCGATCCAGGGATACGCACCTGCAAATACTTCTCCAGGCCGATACGCCTGCTGTCAACGAAACTCCCAGAGAGCGACGTCACCAGCCGCTTGCCGGGGAAGTCCAAATTCCGCACCATGACGTATCTCTCCCGCAATTTGTTGTGCATGTTGAAGAACTCGTTATATCGCCTGGCGACAACCCAGCCCGACGCAAAGCTCCCGTCCTGTGCCAGCTGCTGCACCTCAATGAGGTAACGCACGACCTGCTTCCCGTCCTCCTCCCCAACGGTCGAGTTCACGATCGCGACGCGTGTGCGGTCTGACAACAGCCGGTTCGCGTTCTCCTGTTGCTCGTATTGGCTCTTCTGGAACATGAGCTCCCTAAGTTCCCGCGTGAGCGCGCTCTTCGACTTGCGTAGTAGACGAAGTTCCTGCGCGTCGCCACTCAGCTCCGCCTTCTTGATCAGCGTGTCGAGCATGGCGTCCTGCGTCTGCAGCTTGCCAATCTTGTTCGACAGCCGCTCGATCTCGTGCGAGAGTTGCAGGTCACCTGGGCCGGCGAGCTGGAACGAGTCGTGCTCCTTCTCGACATCCTCCTCATCCGCGAGGCGTGGATCCTCTTCCTCTGGGTCGTCGTCGAAGACCATGCGCCGCTTGTCCTCGCGGGCAAGCCGCACGCCGCTGGGTAGGACGACAGAATCCTGCATGGACAGGGTGTCGGACGAACTGCCCGCACGGGGCTCCTCGTGCTGCTCGTCGAGGGCGATGATATCGGTCAGCGCGGCTTGTATTGCTTCCATCCGTTGCGATTGCTCCTGCTGCTCCGCGTCCTCCGGATCGTCAAATAGAGGCGCGCGGGCCGCCGAGGCGGAAGGGTATTCATGAACTGGGGACATGAGAACTTGCAAGTTGGATACTGCTGGGCGTGATGCGGGCGGGATCGCGCCGGAAGGTAGATTCGGGGTCGGTGACTGGCGGTTAGTGCTGGGAGTGGGAGAAGACTCTGACCGGAGTAATGGCGGCTTCGTTGTGGTGAACGAGGGATGGGGTCCACCGCGGCCGGGTCTGGTAGCAGGCGCGGCCTCAGACGGATGCCGCGTAGACGTAGGCGATCTATGGCCTCCGCTGAACGACGGGTCCTCCGCAATTGCCTTTCCCCCATTTGCCTGAATATCAGCTATCGCACGGAACCAGAGCTCCGAGCGCTGGAACTCCTCGAAATCGTGTTCCATCTCTCGCTCGATCTGCCTCTGCGCGAGCATGACACTCCGACGAACGCGCCTCTCCGATGCGGGCGTAGACGTCTCCGCGCTCTGTCCGAATGAGCGGATGGTGGTGATATGTTTCTGCGAGACTGCGCTGAGAACAGGATCTGGAACAGGGCTGGAAAAGTACAGTTCGTTGATGAGGGAGATGTCGTCTTTGAGGGTAGCGGACTGGGCCGAGTCCAGCAGAGGCTCGTCTTCCTCGTCTGAGCTTCCAGAATCCACAGACTCCAATGGATTCTTGAAGCTTTCAACTGTCAACCAGAACTGTACGAGGAGGGAGCGTTGTCGGCGGTCCATGAACTCCATGAGGTAGGAAAGTGAGCTTGGGTTAGTCAGAACATCTCGGAGCGTCAGAGGCGTCGTAGTCGGGGCGTCTTGGAACATCGTCTGCCGCTGTGGACGATCTCAGCATGCATAGTAGTACACAAGAGGGACATTTGCATACTGAGTCCGCCTCACCGCCCAGCACTGTTATGCGCTTCTCGACCTTCCTCTTGGCGGTGTAAAGTCGATCGAGGAATGCGACGATGTCTTCCGTCTTCTCGCCATTGATCCAATCCGAGTTGGCATTGTTGGCTGGGATTAAGTGTCACTCATATGTTTGGTGTTACGGCCTTCTCGCTACTCACCGAGCAGAGTTCGCGTCCTTCTGATTTCTCCCATGATGTCGCTCCTGAGTCTCCGTGCGTCCAGTAACGATGACAGTCGGCTGATACTACGCAGGAAGGACTCGAACTGCTTCATGTCGGTCCGCATTGTGATTGTTGTTTCCGTAGTCGAGGGCGGCGCGTCCGGTAAGCCAGCATTTGGGCGTGGAATTTGGGCCTCTAGGATATGTCGGACCTTGGAGATCAGCCGTCTATACAGTCGCAAGGTTAAGCCGCTACGCAGAGCTAGAGCGCACGGGCGCGCAACCGGACGCACTGTTGACGGATAGCTGCACCTGCCTGAGTTGGGTCAGACCTTGCAGCATGATACGCCGCCACTACTCACGACTTGGTCAATCATGCGGTTCCAGAAGTCAGGGTCTGATAGCATATCCATGATAGGGTACATGACAGAGCAAGCGACTATTTCTCTGACGACTATCTTGACCGCGCGGCTGCCAGCCTCCTTCTCCGGCAAGATGTAAGGAAGAGCCTTGTCCACCAGGTCTCGCAGATGATTCTCCTCCGACTGCTTGGTGAATGTCGAGGAGAGGTTGTCCACTGCAGAGTGCAACTTTCCGCCGCCGCGTGCAGCGTAACGACTGGCAAGCAGAAGGTCAAGCTCTTCAGATTGGGTCAGCTTGCGCTCCAGGCCAGCGCCGCGGAGAGCAACCTCGGACTGGCGGTACTGTTCGATATGCGCCGTGACCTTGGGGAGAATACGCTTCACGACCAAGGCGGAAAGGTCGAGGGTTGTAGCCTTCTCCAGGAGGCGTTCCATGGACGCATGCAGGGTGGACGACACCGCGGTGGGGAAGGATGGCGAAGACGAGATGTCCTTGTACCATACAAGCACAAAGTCACGTACTATCAAGATGAGAATATCATTGATTGCAGCGGATACGACAGGCGCGTCGGCGCATAGAGGTGGAAGGGATTGCGGCGCCTTGTGGGACCATTGAGACCGGGTCAAGACAGCTTGCCAAGCTGCGGGGGTAGAGAAAGCCAGTGGCCGCGCGGCGGTGGTGAGCGCATTCGTAGGAGCAGGCCGTACAGAATCCAGCAGATATCCGAGCGCGACGTTAAGGACGAAGAATCCAACCACGACCAGAAGGAGGAACAAGGGCAGCAAGAGAGCCAAGGTGAACGGAGAGGACAGGATGCGTTTGATCACAGGGAGGCCAACGCCTACAGCCAGGAGGGCGAATATTGCATGCCTGCCGAGTGGCGGCATCACCGGGATGGCCTGTCGTCGACAGTCGTCGCTCAGAGCGTCGGGCGGATGGTGGTCGGCAACATCGAGTGCAGCCTCCGAGTCGCGCGACATAACGTGCTCAGGCAGGACCCCGGCAGTCCCAGACATCATTGCACTGTCCGAGGTCCCGGACCAGCTGTATTGGCCTCGGCGCCTGCAAACAGGGCTTCCTTGGAAGTACTGTGCTGCGTCGGTCCACTCGTACACTATTTAACGACGCGGAGTCTGGGATGAGTGTCACGGCGGGAGTGCTGTCGCATCTTGCTTCATACATCTGTGTACAGAGACTTTCTCACAATGCGCGGCAGTCCTGAGCGCGAACCATCGAAATGAGGGGAGCCGCAGGGACTTCATGCAAGGCTTGAGTGTACGGCACCGGTCGTGTTGCTCAACTGACTTTGCACAAAGATATTTGTCTTTCTTGAGCGGTGTCCAGTGTTGAACATACTTAGCTCTTCCCGAGGACGTCGGAGTTGTGCACAAGGTCGCGCGGGAAAGACGGACAGGCTGACCCATCGCGCGATCGCAATAACATAAGTACCTGCAGCTTTCGACGCTGGCCGCGGCGCTCGGATGACTCGCGCACCAACCTTGGCTTTCTCCATTGCACTCCCCTCTCCCCCAACTCCCGGTGGCCCAGCATGAGCACACCAGCAGCTCCTAGTCGGCCCTTGTCTACTGTAGAAGGCTTCCTATGCGGTGGATTGGCGGCGTGCATGGCTGTAAGTCCTCGCTTCCACGCTTCCAGCGCGGCGGGCCATGACGCGGGCTTTCCATGGTGTAGGTGACGGTGTCCAACCCCGCGGAGGTGGCCAAAACGCGCATGCAGCTTCAAGGAGAGCTTGCAAAACAAGGCGGGACGAAGGTGTACAAGAACGCGCTAGATGTGATCGCCAAGACGTGGAGAAACGAGGGCATTAGAGGCATCCAGAGAGGCTTGGGTCCTGCAGTGAGTGCTCAACGTTCAGTGGAGAGGACCGCGCTGGACACCGCGTGTGTTGGCAGTATATCTATCAAGTGAGTCAAACCGTGCCTTCTTTCGCGGAACGGGGGTCTGATGATTTCTAGATTCTCATGAATGGGTCTCGGCTGGGTACGTCATGACCCAAGCGTCTCGGAAATAATCCCCATGTTCAATGCAATCATAGGTTTCTACGAGCCCATACGGAGACAATGTAACAAGTTCATTGGCGCAAACCCTACGGACCAGATACCTCTTACTTCCGTCTTCTCTGGTGCTGCAAGCGGAATGATTGGAGGTTGTTCAACTCGTCCTCCGCAGTCCTGCACTGGTTACTGAATGGTGTCTCCAGCAAGCCTAGGGAACCCGTTCTTCCTCATTAAAGCGCGCATGCAGGTGGGGTTGACCATCATGCGCTCTATATAAACGTTATACTGACATACAACTTGTAGGCGTATTCACCTGTACTACCGGTCGGCGCCCAACACTATTACAAGAACTCGTTCGACGCGTTCAGAAATGTGTGGCATGCTGAGAGGTTTCGTGGCCTAGTAAGAGGCATAGACGCGGCAGCTCTGCGGACAGCAATGGGCTCTTCCGTACGTACTTGTGGAACAGGATTCACCATTGGACACGGCCTAATCACTGCCTCTCCCTCAGGTACAACTACCCACGTACAACTGGACGAAGAACCAGCTCGTCAGCCGCGGTATTCTGCGCTCAGACAGTATATGGACATTCCTGGTCAGCAGTTCCGTGTCTGGTCTTTGTGTGGTACGCTACTACTTTCATTCATGCGTCTTGCGATTACTTACCCGCAAACATCCGAAGCTCGCAATGATGCAACCGACGGATACCGTACTGACGCGCATGTACAACCAACCTACCGTACGCACACCTGAGGGGAGACACATTGGGACGCTTTACAAGAACCCCATTGATTGTCTTTGGAAGACGCTGAAGGCCGAGGGCCCCCTGGGCTGGTACAAGGGTAATGATTTTGCACTCACGTCCCTTACAACGAGCCTAACATAGGACCTTGTCAGGCTCGACGGCACACTTCCTTCGTATAGTTCCACATACGTAAGTCCTTCGACGATCTTCTGGCTGAATTGGGCTGACATAGACGGTTCATCCAGCATCGTCACGCTTACTGCGAACGACCTCATAGTTGGGCTTTACAAGCGTGTCCGGGATGGGCATGCATAATACTACTACTTTATAGCATACACATGCATATATCTTGACGGTCACTAATATTGCACACGTCGCGAGTGTCGGTTTCTGTGAACCAATGCAGTTCGCCGTAGTGGTTGGATGGAAAACCAGGGTATGGTGATCGTATGCGTCTTGAATCTGATCTGCATGGTAAGCAGTAAGCAATCCCTGAGACAGAGATTTCATTAACTTGCCATGGACATTCGTTGAGAGACGAAGGTAAGGTCAAGAAAGCAAAAAGTGAACCCTGCCCGGATCGAACGGACGACCTTGAGGATGTCCCTTGAGCAGATAACTCCGCTTGCTGGAATCTCACGCGCTACCACTGTGCCAAGGGTTCTTGTTGCTTGGATTGTGGCGGTGATTCATCATCAGGGCATGAGATGTGCATGAAGCTGCAGCACAAACACTCAGGAGTCGGCGGCAGCTCGATCGGAGGTGGGTCGACTCTTGCCAGAACCACTGGCAATTCCAAGGTCCACCGGCCGCCGAGGGTACGAGAACGCACTGAATCCCACTGACTTTGTTTGTGCACTCGTGCAGGCAGGATGCTCTCAGAGACCACAGTAGAAGGAGCCCGACGGTCTATCTCTCCCAGTCAAGAGCCGGAACCGCCGCCGGTCGACAACGAGTCTGCCCCACCACCTCTAGACCGAGTGGCACTGGGGACTTTGCTCGTCCAGCATTTCTCAAAGTAAGTCTTGTGACTATCTGTTACGCCGATGTTTCTAAATTTTCTTGAATCGTCCATAGTTCATGGGGCCAACGGACGGCCGAGTTCGCCATATACCTCCTTCTGGTCACATTGTTTCCAGACACACTCCTCCCTGCATCGATTTATGGATTTGCTACGACGGGATCCGCGATGTTGCTTTCAGGATGGGCCGGTAAACTCGTGGACGAACACCACAACCTCCGCATTGTCCGCACCAGCATCATCGCAGTCAAGTTCTCCGCTTGTATAATGTATGCCGGGACGCTCGTCCTCCTCTATCGTCCTCCTCCGGTCTCAAGCTCCAGTAACCTGTGGACCACACCTCTTGCCTCTGGAATGTTTGCTCTCGTTGTCTTGGGGGGCTGCGCTCACAATCTTGCCGGAGTCACGATTTCTGTCGCCGTAGAACGAGATTGGGTTACGACCATCGCGGCGAATTCCACGGATCACCTCACGGCACTGAACACATATATGCGGCGCATCGATCTTCTGTGCAAGCTCCTCGCGCCGTTGTTTGTCTCCCTACTCACAACCGCTGCATCGTACCGCTTTGCTGCAATCTTTCTTTGCGGAGTAGAGGCCGCTTGCCTGGTGTTTGAGCTGATATGTAAGTCTGTTTAGCGTTTAGAGCATGGGTGGCGTCACTTATAGAAACCAGGGACTGAGGTATCTTACCGCCGCTTTCCGGCTCTGCATGAAGCACAAGCCTCTAAAGAAGCTGCGCAACGCACCCATGCGCGCGACGAGCGACCACGAGAAACCCCAGCTCGCCCAGTACATGCCATGCTCTGGAACCAGCTCAAATCCAGGATGAAAGAAACATACCTCGACTGGCGCGAGTTCTCGCAGCATCCCGTATTTCTGTCGTCGCTTGCCATCTCCAGCCTCTACCTCACGGTGCTCAGTTTCGACGGGACAATGCTGAGCTACCTGAAGGCACACACATACAGCGACGCTTTTCTGGCAGGGATACGTGGAGTGAACGTTGTAGCTGGGCTACTGGGCACTGTGGCGATGCCTCTCATGGAAAGGAAGCTGGGTCTCATCAGGGCGGGAAACTGGAGTATTTGGTAAGACGACCGAGTTATGTCGAGTAGCGCTTGCTCACTGCCCGTCCTAGGTCGGAGGTGCTATGTCTTCTCCCGGTTCTCATCGCTTTCTATGTGGGTGAGCCGTCCGACGGTTCGCGAGGACCGGCCTGGAACGCCGTGCTACTGTTTGGAGGTGGACCAATCCCGTCGCTCCTACATGTTTCATAGTAACTCACGGAGAGCCGTCGCAGGGATGACGTTTTCTCGGATCGGCCTATGGGCGTTTGATTTATGCCAGCTGAAGGAGCTGCAGCTCGCACTGGCAACGCATCCGAGGCGAAACTCACTGTAAGTATACACATCCGGCGATATTCGAGGCATCTCACTCATTTATCAAAACAGGACTGCACTCCAGTACTCCTTGCAAAACGTTGCGGACATGCTCAAGGTACAGTTTCTGCTACTTACATAAGTCCGACAACGATTGGGTGCTGAATCGACCTTGCAGTATATCCTAACGATCGTCTTGAGCCGCCCGTCGCAGTTCAAGTACGCCGCCCTCGCGTCCTTCATTAGCGTGTGCGCAGGCGCCTTCACGTACCTCGTGTACGTTAAGCGGGAGCGTGGTCATCTCCTACACCACTCTCTCGAGGACATCATCCCTCTACTCAAAAGGAGGACGCAATAGATACCGGCCACGAAACCCACCTTGACCCGCTGACAGAAGGGAAGGTTTACAGATTGTGCTAGCACAACAACAGCGCCGGACCGGATATTCAAACCCGTAAGATGGGCCAACATGTCCCGCCATAATATTCCAAAAGAATGCGCTTTTTCGTCAAGGGTATGTACCAGAAATCCCACTCTACCCATGATCCACACAACCGTGGTCGCGATGTGGACTCATGAGTGAGACATACCAACACCTTTTTGGTCCGTCGATAACCGTTCCGACGACGCGGTGTCGTGGATATCCGGGGTGTAGTCAACCGTCTTGTCCACGGTGATGTGCACCTGAGACGGGAAAGCAGTATGGTCAGCGTCAGGCGACCGATGCAGCACTTGGCGTGCTCACTCTTGTGCCCGCCCCGAGGTCGAGCTGCTCGGCGTTCTGGGGGTGATCATACGTCAGCTTCCCCACACACGAACTCGAGAGGTGAAGGAAAACTTACCGAACGCGCACCTAGTCCGTGCTGAGTGCTAGGAAAGATCACCGGTAAGCGGTGTCCGCTCGTGGACTGAGACTGAGACTGTGCCAAGAGGCCCTTGCGTGCGTTCATGCTGCAAGTATCTCGTTGTAAGCGATAGGCAGACGTGTCCTCGTAGACCACGGATACTTACGAAGCAAGGAATGAGTTGGCGTATACTGCACGGAGAGCTTCAGTGAGCGAATTCAGTCTGATATGACACCACTCACGCTTGCTGATAGCGAAATGAAGACCCAAGTAGATGAGCTCGTCGGGTTTGACTAGCCACTGGACACGATTTACAGTGAGGCGAGACTAGAGTGGAGCGTAACACATGAACTTACGAAAATCAAGGAAATCAGCGTCGTCACGCTGCACAAACCGTTATCAGCTATAGTCATCGAGCGGTATATGGGTTTGAACGCACCAGGTGAGGAGTCCGTTTTCGATAGTGTATAACGTCACCGCGTTCAGAATGTGGTCGAATCTGGTGTATGCCAGGTATCGTAAATGGACAGAATATAACACGGATCTGCGGCGGATCCTAGTTCTTACCTGCCGGTGCCGCCCCGGTGTCTCCGCAGAAAGTAGCAGAGTCCGGCCGTGATCAGCACATCCACGACGGAGGAGAGCACGAGGCCGAGCGTGAAGACCGACTATACCCAGGTCAGGCTCCAAACAGAGATACGAGTAGGGCGCACTCACTCGGAAGCGAAGCCCAAATTCGGAGAAGCTTTTCAAACGGATCCTGGAACAAATACCTACGTCAGCGTCTACAAAACCCCGCACGCTCGACAGACTTGCAGCTCAACAGCGGTAACTAACCGGCAACATGTAAGTGATCGTCAATATGCAACTAATTGCATGAACGCTCACCGAACGCAGCGACTATGGTTGTTCGGACGTTTAGGAAAGCACCATTGTGAGTAACGGTAGCTAGTAGCCCTATCGCGCATTCACTTACCTACTCGTGCGACGGCAAGGATGGTCTGAAAGGACGTCACCGTGGATTAGCATGTGCTGTATAACGCGTGTTCAACAGACCTACTCACGATTGGCGCGGTAATCCAATAGTTGCCCTTGCTGACTGCAGACGAAGGTCAATAGCGCGCCCATATAGGACCAAATGTACTGACGTTTGAACAGGCGCATGGAGAAAAACCTAGAACGATCGACAATTAATCTGCAACCCAGCGTGATACGACAACGGTACTCACAAGTGCACACAGACGGTGATTACAGCCTATTCCGTATCAGCAGTCAGAAGAAGGTAGTGATGGGCGAGTACGCGATACTTACTGTCAAAGCTATCGAGACCTGGCGCATGTATCAGCACAAGGTTGCAGAAGGTGGCTGGCGTACGCACTCCAATTGTCCTGAGGGTCGGAGACTGTCAGCATGAGGAGGTGGACTTGCTGATTGAGTACTTACCAGAATACTTGATCTGTTACATCATCCTCACCGAAATGACTGACAAAGTACATGTAGTTCGCTGCGGCGATCATGATCGAATGCAGGAAGTCCAAGACACTGACGGGCCAAATATTATGGTAGCTGACGGATAGCGACCGAAAAGAACATCTTACAAGACCACAGCGACCTGCGTGAACAATCAATAACGTTGATCTTTTCTGGGTGAGCCGAATAACTCGTACCTTGACCTTCGTAGACGTTGAGTCCCGGCTGAACAGACGGAAATAAAGAATAGTCTGCATCCCAACAATTCCGGAGAGCCTAGAGCAAGGACGATAAAGTCAGTATGGACGGGACACGCATTCCGTGAGGGGCGTCCTATGAATCTTACCCCGCACAGACCAGTCCTCCGAAAAGAATGGCACCGAGGCTCGTCTTGAGACTAGACTCAGTTAACAGAAACATAGTTGACCGTCTTCACCCAGCGGGATGTCCAGCATGCAAATGCAACGATGAAGAGCCCGACGGGGGAGAGGAGAAAAGTGCGGGGACACTGCGCAAGGCGGTTTCAACTAATTTCAACGACGCGAGGCCAGAGGATCCGCGGCTGCCGATGCTGTTCAGGCCACCTCCGCATCTCTGGACGCAAAATGTTTAGCCGGGTTCCCAAGACGTTCCTTCCCCACATCTTGGATTTGAATGCCGGCGGGAAGGGAGGAGTCTGAGATGGGACGCCGGGAGGGCGAGAGCTGTGCACGAGTAGCCAATCAGGATACTCAATTCCGTTCGCAAATCCTTCGGAACTAGCACCGAGCCCACAAAACATAGCGACCGGATGACCGCGTGTCTCGTGGTGAACAAGCCATCGATCGAGAAGACGGCGACTCTCCGGTCGAACGGATGAAGCTAAAATGTGCATCACTGTCGGCCCTTCTCAGCTCCTGCACTATTACGCAACCTATTAGCTGAGAGCTCGGCCCCGCCTCGTCAAGCTGGGAGTACTCACCAATATTCATTCCATCTGCGAGTACACCAAACCGGCGAGCTATACACATTAGCCGACTGGGAACGCACCGCTAGTGTGATATATATCCATGGACTAGTGTCAAGTGCATTGGCACCAAGTATGTATATACCATCGACATATGTCCGATATATTACTGTCTTTGGAACTGATTATAGACACTTACTACGTCTGCGCCATAGCTAGATGGTGCCTGCACGAGTTGAATTATCCTGATCGTTTGCGTGAAACACGGTGTTTACACGTACGTAGAGCCCGAACCACTGCTCGAACTTGTGCTAGAGTCTGGGAGACATTTGATGACAATCCTTGAGATTTCGGGGTGTTGCTTGACGTCGCAAAATGCTCATGCTCCTGTCGTCAAGACCTAGCACTATCTGACGCATGTTATGCGAGCGTAATGTTTGTCTGGCGCAGGAGAGAGTGGTCGTCGCAGGAAGAGCTGTCCCCGACGGCAGCGGCGTCGTTCGGTCACCGAGCATATCTTAAACTGTTGATAGCTATGTATATACTATACCTAATGTGTGTTATGGCTCTATAGCTCAGTGGTAGAGCATACGATTGCAGATCGTAGGGTCCCGTGTTCGAACCACGGTGGGGCCTGCTTTTTGTTGCCGGTCACTGCAAAGTGCGCGTGACTTAGACTTGGACATGTAATCGGGAGGAACGGGCGCTTCCTGTTCTCCGCGTACTCTGCCTCTACCACCATGCGTCGCGCCGCCATTCGTACTCTCCGGCACACACCTGCTCGTCGACATATCTCGCATGCAGCCTCGGGGGTGAAAGCCCATGCTAGTGCCGCGGACCCGCCGGTACGAATCACGACGCTTCCCAATGGCCTCCGTGTAGCGACAGAGTCGACACCGGGTCACTTCTCTTCTGTCGGCCTTTACGTCGACGCGGGTTCGAGGTATGAGAGTCCATCAACATCTGGTGTCAGTCATTTCCTGGACAGGATGGCATTCAAGGTGTGTGGACATCATGCTACTTTCAGTGCTCGTAACACTGAGATATGTATCAGACAACTACATCTCGTTCAGAAGAACAAATGGCCGCTGACATCGACGCTCTCGGTGGTCAAATTCTTTGCTCGTCTGCTCGAGAGTCCATCATGTACCAGTCCTCCCACTTCCACCAGGGCACGCCTCTCGCGCTATCCCTCATTTCCGACACTGTACTTGAGCCCGCCTTCCTACCAGATGAACTTGAGGCGCAACGGGAGGCCGCTCGGTATGAGATTCGGGAAGTCAGCTCCAAGCCGGAGATGATACTCCCAGAAATCCTACATGACGTCGCGTACGATGGCAAGACACTTGGGAACCCCCTACTATGCCCGGAGGACCAAATAGACCGGATCGACAGGCCTGCTCTGAAAGGCTTCATGAAGGAGTGGTACACTCCGGATAGGATGGTCATTGCAGGGGCGGGGATGCAGCATGAGGAGCTTGTCGAACTGGCCGACAAACATTTCGCATCCCTCAAGGGTGCCAAGCCTACTCACTCGCGGTCGAGCACGGGCACACAACAAATACCCAAAAACCTGCTTCATTCATCACAGCAGTCATCTCCCTCATTACTCAAGTCCCTCAGTCGCTCCGCGTCTTCCTATCTCACGCCGGAGCCTGCCTCAGGACAGCCCCCATTGAACCAGGGGTCTACCTACACCGGCGGACACCGTTTCATCCACGACTCCGCGACAGAGTTCAACCACGTATATCTGGCGTTCGAGGGCGTTGGTATCCACGACGATGACGTCTACGCTGTTGCGACTATGCAAGTGCTTCTCGGCGGCGGAGGCAGCTTCTCGGCAGGTTAGTCTTTGATCACACGCTCTCATTACCCTAGACGCTTACCCATTTTTGCAGGCGGTCCCGGGAAGGGGATGTACTCGCGGTTATACACGCATATCCTCAATCATTTCCCCCAGATTGACCACTGCGCGTCTTTCCACCACATCTACACGGATTCGTCCCTGTTTGGCCTCTTCGCATCCTTCGTCCCATCGAGTGGCCGCCAGGCGAATGCGCCCGCCCACATCTTCCCACACCTAGTGCACCAGCTGAGCTTGCTGCTGTACTCGAACCTTCCCCAAGCGGAGCTAAGCCGCGCAAAGAACCAGCTCAAGTCGAGCCTCATGATGGCGCTCGAGAGCCGTGCCGTCGAGGTGGAGGATCTTGGGCGACAGGTTAGCGGTCTCATATTCTGCATGCTCTGCTGGACTCACGCTGTTTCTTAGGTTCTCGTTCATGGGCGCAAGGTCCCGGTCTCGGAGATGTGCGAGAAGATCGATGCTGTCGACGATGCCACACTTCGTCGGGTCGCCGCCCGTCTATACGGCCCTCGCACCTCCGCGCGTGCGAGCGTCGTTGTGATGGGTCGGGAAGACGTAGGAGACTACCGTGGGGTCCTGCGCAAGTATGGCCTCGCCGACGCGTGAGCACACCATACCGCTCTCGCCTTTCTGTTACAGCACACATACATTTTGTACTATGATCATTGCACCTTACATGCTACTCTAATGAATAACGCATTGCTCTCTAAAAGTCCGGGACATATCCGCTCTAAGTTGATGCTTAAGACTCCTCACATCTTGCCAAAATAAGCCGGATGGATGTTCTCGAATGCTCTCTTCGCCGACCTTGCCATCTTGCGCGTAAAGGTCGGCTTCTTGCGGGGCATCTTCAAGATGGCGTCCAGCTTGCTCTGACTGACGATGAGGCGTCGTGACGAGAGCGGCATGTCCCGGGGGCAACTGGTCACTGGCTCGAAAGGGATGCGCTGCAATATATACGGGATGAGTGTGAACATGTGCTCGAATAACTGTTCCACGCACCTCGCCAGCATAGTACCCGTATAATGGGTCCATGAGCCGGAACGTGATCCCTCTCTCCTTGCAGAACTGGTGCAGCATCTGGATGTCCTCCACCGACTCGTCATCGTCATCATATCGTCTATGGTATGTGACGACCTCCAGCAGGCCATCCGAGTTTTCGTAGTACGCCACCAAATCGGCCGTGACTGCTTCGCAGTCTACCGTTTCGCTGAGCGGGTGCAGCGCGAGGTGCCGAAGACCAGTCGGTAGTCGCCGGAACGTCGGGGTGGGGTACCGGGGCGCGGTCATCCAGATCTCTTCGATGTGGTTCAATATCGCCAGGTCGTCGCCAGCCAGCACGCGGGGCACCGCGAGAGAACGCAACCGGGAGAGACCTAATTCCGCGAGGATCGACGGGCTGAACGTCGGGCACTGCACGCGGAGCGCTTCCAGCGTGACCCGCGAGCCCGCACCGGGTCCGGACAACGCCCACTCGACGAAGCCCTGGGTCGCGCGACGGGGGTTAAAATATCGCAGCTCACGGAGGCGCCACGCGGGAGGTGGCGGGAGTGGGTCTGGAAGGGGGCCGGGGATACCGCTGCAGTCGACCTCGAGGTACTCGATGTTCGGGAAGAGCGCGAGGAGCTGGAAGAGCGCAGTGTAGTGGTACGCGCGCACGCGCAGGGCACGAACAGTGCTTGGGAGCTGCGCGAGGCGCGCGAGCGCATCCGGGCGGAAAGCGGCATGGTACATGCAGAGGTGCAGCTCGCGCAGGGCGGGGCAGAGCTGAACAACGCCCGCGTAGATCTCCTGGTGGTCGATGACCATCTGGATCGTGCGCACGGAGCGACAGAGCGCGGCGGTGTGCTCAGGGTTGTGCTGGGCGGAGGCGCGGATGGCCTTCTTGAACGCCTTGCAGTGCGTCGACCCGCGCAGCGCGACGTGCGCGAAGAGGAGCTGTTGGGCGTGTGGGCTCCATGACTTGCAGACCAGGCAGTATCGACGCAGCCATCGGTATCGCGGCAGTAGATCGTCGTATTGCGCCTCGCGAAGAACGAGTATCCAGATCTCGATGGGTAGCAGGGAGAGGGCGTTGGTTGTTGGTTCCAACGCCTTCGACCTAGCGGCCGCCTTGCCCCTGCAGTACCCTATTAATACTGGTGCAGGAATAGCGGCGAGAACGACTCACCTTCGCACGACCAACATGAGAGAGGGAAAAAGGGCGCAGGGCGTTGTTCGGGAGTCGGCAGCGGCGGGATATACACACCGGGGTATCGTCGGAGGATTTACAGGTCGCCCAAGCTTGACGTATGCGCCTACGGAGGACCGGGTTCCATCGCCGATTTCGCATGATAAAGCTAGCAGCTGACTTTGGCCTTCGTTCGAGGCCTCGTTCTACCGACGCCGGAACACAGGAGTGCACTCGGCCGCCGCCGTCGGCATCTACTTGCTATGCAGTTTCGCCTTAGACTTGTTTCCTGGACCATTCCGGCCTTAGGTCCTGTGTTATTGGTACGTCGGCGCCACCCCTTGCAATGCGAGCTTGCGTACTTGGCGGCCAAATGAGACATGGCAGCATCGAGGTTGTGGCTGAACATAGTCCAGGCACTGTATTGAAAACGGCGCTCTCTATGCATGCCTTACCGGACGTTACCGGACGGCTGACCCCTCAACTCAGAGATGCAGAGACACCGGTGTTCCTAGCCACTCGGTCGTTAGTTTCCGTTGTTTGGAAGGGGGTCAAGATACATTAGTAAGTTGGATACAACACGTAGGAATACAGCCTCGCATATCATGAAGAACAGACAGCATACATAGTTATCATCTAGCACTTCGCCGACTTGATATTCGTCCACCTTGAAGTGCGCTTCGCCACGAGATACACCTCCGCGCCCGGGGCGGGAGTCATCCACGCATTGCCTTGGTTCGGCATGAGATTGGTGACCTGGTGGTGAGTTGACAGGTCAAGAACGAGCCTTGTAGCCGGATAGTTAATCCTTACCAAGAACCTTTGGCCCTCCTTGATTTCTCCGGGACTCCCGTTCTCGGTGAACACCACCTTGAGCGGATCCCATACCGTGATCTGCACACTACGCATCGCTTCCTTCTTGTGCCACCGTGCGTCCTTCGCGACGACGACACGGAAGTCCCTCACATTCCTCGGCGGACATATATCCTATGACGATAGTGAGCCCTATAAACTCCTGACATTCGCCGTAAAGACAAAAACGCACCCGCATCTCTTTCTCCAGATCATCTTGAAGCCGCGCCATAGCCAAGTCGGCTTGCTGCTTGCAGTAGACGTGAAGCCAACCCGCCGTGAACGCGTCCATTCGGTCCCACGCTTGGGATGGTTTGAGGTATTGTTCCATCATTTTCTCGTAAAGGCCTTCGATGTAATCAGGCATCGGGTCTATGTAGCGCGTTAGCTAAAACTGAGCACGGGGCGATCGGGAAATGAGTCGTACCGCCTCGGCTGAAGCTGAGGTCGAAATGGGGACCGGCACGGGAGTACAGCCGCTCAGCGAGCTTCAGGAGGTGCTGTACATCGGCCTCCAGCCTTTCCCTGATCTTGGAGGATTCCATCTCCTGTTTCGCCTGCACAGAGAAGCATGAGATGATTCGCGGGAGCTCCTATAACACGGTAGACGCACCAGCCACTGATCGTGTGCCTTCATCTCCTCTTTCTCGTCTCGTGGCCCTATCTTCGATGTGGACCCGTCCTCATGCTTGATGAATTCCAGGAATGCGATGGGGTAGGTCTGCGAAGAATGTTAGAGATGATATTTAAAGCAGCACAAGGAGCAATTGAATGCGCACCTTCGTGATGATAAGATCCATAGCAGGAACATTTCCGCCATCCGGAGTCAACTTGTCCAGAGTCGCGATGAAAGGTTGCTTCACAAAGCCTAGCTTGGCGTGCCACGGCGCCAGGTTCGTACAGTTACCCGTCAGCTCGAGCATAGTGTTGTCATACGCATCCAAGATCTCGCAAGGCTCTTTACGCCCTCCGGACAGCTATAGTGGGGGTCTTCAGCGTGTTGTCCAGCGAGGCGCAAATGTTAGTTACACACCTTCGCCCCCGAGATGGCTAGCTTCGATCCAATGCAAATCCGTCCTCTGCGGATCGCTCGCGCCAGCGGTAAATCGACGTTCGCTCGCAATCGATACCAACCATCTGTGACTTCTAGTTCGGGATGTGGCTCGTAGGCTGTGCCGTTCTTGGCCCTCGGGGAGGTACCCAGGATGACGATGTTGGATACACAAAGGATCATAGGGCAAGCCGCAGGAGCGTCCTCAGTCGAGACCAAGCGGAGTGCTGGGCGGGACCCGCCGACAAGCTCGCGCTCATATCTGCGAGCCTCTCATCAGCACGCTGCGCGTAGACTTGAAAGGCGAGGACTGACCTGTACAAGAGTTGGCGGATCACTTCAGGCCAGCACCACCTCTTCGTCTTCACATTCTGTTCGCGTTCAGGCTCCAGACAGACCAGTCCCGCAAGTTTCCACAATATCAGCCCGTATTGGGTTGTGACCCACTCCTGGGTCACTAGATCGCAGCCGCGTTCCTTGAGGTGCACGAACGCAGCCTTGGGACCAAGCTGCTCGGATTCTGCCGGGTCTTCGATGCCGACTGTAGCCACTGCGGAATTGAACCTGTAGAATACAGCATTGCTGGGACGCATCTGCCGGAGTTCTTCGACGTTGCTGAAGGATAGCATTAGCATAGTCTAAGGAAAGGAAGCAAACGCTCATGCACTCACATCCCCATGTCTTCTAGGTCGTCTTCCGTGTACGACAAGGGTTGCAACCCAGATGAAGCAAGTGTTTGCCTCTCCGGTACCGGATCTAAATTGCAGCAGCCAGTCAACATCACAAATTTCCGACGAACTTGGATATTTACACTTACTGAGGTCGAAGAACTGACAATCCTTCCTTTCTTTGCCTTTGCTCGATGGCGCACCCACGACTTGGATTTGTACAGGAGCAGCACTGTTCGCCCGCGCTTGCTCCTCCTTCAGCTTTAGGTCCAACTGGCTCCTCCCCGGATCGCCCGGCGCGAGGCCAGGCTTGAAGGGCGATGCGAACTTGCCCTTTCCTGCGGTACTCGAAAACCCCAGCCGCCTCGGAGTCATCCCGAGCGCCTTCACCGGTGAGGCAAGCGAGGACGTGCTCGCTTTCATCGGCGAAGCGAACGGCATGGTCCCTGGTTTCGCAGGGGAAACGAATGGGGCCGCCTTCGCTTGTGTTGACGACCCCGCCGACGTATTCGCATCGGAGAAGGCTGCGGGGAGCTTGGAGCCTGACGCGACTCTGAACCCAGTAGACCGCTCCGGGTTTAGCGGAGAGCCCGTATAGAGCGAGGGCGCGGAGACAGAGCGCGGCTGCGCCTGATGTTTAGCCATCAGTGGGGACTTGAAGGGCGTGTTCTTGATGGTCATGCCCGCCACCACGGTAAAGTGCGGCGGATTCTTGGGCGCAGCGCCCGCAGGGGAGGGCGTGTCAGGAGGCTGCATGACAGAGAACCCGTTCTCCATCGGGCGAAGTACAGGGCGGAGCGGGGTCTCGAGGGATGGCGGACGAGAAGCGGGCGGGTGAGAGTTCGGGGGCGCGTTATTCTCTGTGTTCGCTGCACCTGAGGGTTGTTCTTCAAGGTCAATCTCCGCCTCCCATTGCTTCATCTTCTGTGCTGCGCGAGCAAGTGCCTCGGCGGATGGTGCGGCCCAATTGGTCTTACCCACGAGGATATGTGCGGCGGTACTGAAACTGACCATCGGTGCGGCCGCAGGGTCTACTAAGGCAGCAGAAGTGAAGCCGGAAGACACATTCGCTCTGGCTAGATCTGCTTCCGTGTCTTCGTTCTCGCTTGCCTGAGATGCTGGCTTCCATTTCGCCAGACCCGACGTGAAGCCACCAAACTGCGATATCTGGCTAGCGGGTGGCTCCACCGCATCCTCAGAGGTGTCCAAGATGGCCCGCGCCGTCTTGAACCCGACTGCATCCGGAGGGAGGGCAGACGCTTCGGAGTCGAACCACGAGTCGTAGTCCTGCTGTGGAGGTGGGGAGGGTGGCTGATCATCTGCGGCTTGGAGTGGGAGGGCGGATGCGAGACCAAATCCTGCAAATTTGGACGGGGCAGATGGTGTAGCAGTAGTTCGCTCATCGGGCTGATGAATAGGACGCGATTGTGGCCTTGCGGGAAGTTTGGCAGCGGAGGAGAATCCAGTGAACGGCCGGGGCGGCGCGGTACGGCCGTGGAGTGTGGCAGCAGAGGCAAAACCGGACCCGTTAATTGGTAGGGGAGGCTGGCCTGCAGCATTGATTGAAGAGCCAGACGCTACGCTTGCATCTGCCCCAGTGCCGGCGCTGAAGAAATCATCGTCCGCAGCACGTTCTTGCGAGCCTGAAGGATTGATGAGCGGCGAGGAGGACCAGTCTACGCATTTTTGTGAGAAAATGGCCCCACCCGTTGCATGTATGCGCGCACCTTGTCCGTTTCCGCTACCTTCGCCTCCCAGTCCGTCAATCCCGTCCATCAAATCATCACCTAAGCCACTGTCCTCGGAAGGGAGTCCGCGCGACTGCGAGGCTACGACTGACACGCTCTGTGAGAGATGCAACTCGAGCTCGTCAAACGCATGCACATCTTCCTGGCTGATCGGTCCAAAGTGGTCTTCGTACGTCGGCGAAGAAAGACGGCGCCGCTTTCGTGCGCTCCCGCTTGGAGACTCGGACGCTGTTTACGCGTCTTAGCTACAGCTTATATGCGCAACGTTCATATGACTTACAAGATCTACGCATACCAGTGATATCCGTATAGGAGACGGGAGTGGAGAGAGGTCGCGGTCGCGGCCGTTCAGGTGGGGAGATGGTGGTCAAGTGTGAAGAAGCGCGGAGGCCAGACAAGCCACAAACGCGCTAACGCGTTACGCGTGTTTAGTCACGTTACCGTCGCGTCAACAGGGACAGGCGCCTACCCCGCACTCCCTCTCCACCGTCATGGAGGATACTGGGTCTGTAACGGGCTCTGTCGACAGGTTCTCTCTCGCGGGCAAGCTCGATGGTTCATGCTGTATAGATATGCATTTAGTAGCGATAAAAATGAGGAGATGAACTAGTAGTAATGAACGAGGGTAGGGTGTATGAGAAATTTGTGCGGATACAAATTGTCCGACCATATATAAAGTAAGGGCGTAAGTTGTCGTGAGTGAGAAGCCTGTAGGATCCGTTTTAACTCTAATGTAGCTATACAAGCTGTCAGCGGTAACCATCCGAGCTGAGCAGTTTATTGCGTCTTCGTTTTCGACACTCGTGTGATGCGGGGGAGCCCTGCGCACTTGGTGATGGTCCAGTTGGCGTGGTCGTCCTTGATGCATAGTGTGCTGGGTAGAATGATAAGTCTCGCGCCTGCAGAACATCATAGTCTACTTACAGATCTGTGGCAGCGTGTCAGTATTCATGTACAAATGTAAGAGCTTAGACAACTCACATGAGTTCCCGACGAGCATGAGGTACGTTCCGGTAGCCTGATGATGCCTGGATCAGGTGGGATTGGCACATCCACGTTACTGTTTCACTTACCGTGAGGACGTGCCACCATGAGTGTCCTGATATATTTGGTCAGTCGTCAAGGCCGTTTGCAGCATGATGAAATGCTCACCTTCGAGGATGAACGCGACGGGCCAGCCAACTGAGGTCTTCCACCTGGTTACTGTCGAGCAAAAGATGTTGTCCAGGTTCCAGACGAAGAACCCGAGGGCAAAAGTCGCAGCGCCCGAGGCGAAAAGACGGGTAATGGCCGAGCGCGGGCCAGGCGGCAGTCTCTTCCCGATCTCGTCATTCCGCAGCAAATATGTGGTACGGAAGATGTTGGTGAACATGATGCTGGCGAACACCGCCTGGTGGTAGACGGGGTCGCGGGACAGGTAACTGGCATGCCGTTCAGCACGTGTCCAAGGAAACCGCCTGCGAGGACATACTATGACCAAGTGAACAGGATGTCAAACATGACGGAGCCCACAACTAATTGTTGCGCATTTGATCCCTTGAAGTTGAACCCCCGAGAAGTGTCGAAGAGCATTGAACAGCAGTAACTTGCAACGTAGATCATCGGAAGCTCGTCCATGAGCTGTGCTTCAAAGAGCAACGTTGCATGGAATATGAAGCTGCCGATGCCGACTAATGCGAAGCCCTACAGAGCGCACACGCAGTTAAGCTCGCGTTTAACTATAGTGGTGTCCGGATCGCCCGTACGCACCGTCCATCCTGCCAGATACCGTGATGGCAAACCCTGCGACAGTGACTGGTATCCGCCGAAAGCTGCAAGAGCGATCGTGAACAAGTTGGAGAATGTGTTTGCAGATTCGGCGATATAACGCGAGAACTGGTAGTTCGCCTGCCAAGGTGGGAGAGGAAGTGTGTGAGCGGGGCCGGCAAAGGGTGCGAGCCCGGGTAAACGGCGAAACGTGGACTGACCTCACACCAGTCAAGGGTGGCAGTGACGGGACCCCAGAAGGCTCGGCTGGAGAAGAAGGCTCCTGCAGTGGCGTTGGCGAAGGCCGACATGGGCAGTTGCTGGGCGGTGGTTACAGGAAGACTTGGGAGGGACAGGGAGGAGAGAAAGGAGAGTCCGGAGGGGAAAAGCGGGTTTGGGTCGGGATTCATTACGCAATAGACGATGTGCGCGCGCCGATGGTGAACCGGCCAGGATTTGTCGGCCGCGCCTGTTATCTACTTTCCGTGCAGCGCCCGGCCTCCTCCGCGCCGGATAAAATGCCCGCAATGCCAGGGCCATAGAGGGCGTCTTCGGATGTCGAGGCCGCCGTTGGCTGTCCATCCGCAGACGACGAAACAAAGCAACTGCGCTGGACGTCTTGCACCTGTCCTTAGCCGACGGAGGCAATTAGGCGCCTTAGATCAGGGCCGGCGCCTGTTCAATTTCACATGCAATGCGCGCCATTCAATTGGTTCCCCACCACAAGACGCCCAACATAGCCGTCTCTCTCCTCCAACGACGGACCTTGTGCGCACCTCTCTTGTAACCAACCTCATGCGCATCTCCGCTCTTCCTGGAGGGAACGCGAACCAACGGCCCAGTGCACCGTCTATTCCACTGCGATCTTTCTCCGTCTCTGGTCGGACTGTGGACAGTCGCAGTCGCGGGACCGGTGCTCCCCCTTGACGAGTGATGCGCTCACCCAGCGCAACAGATTGGCACGTACACTGCCTCCATCTTAGCTAGACTCTGCGCCAGAGCAGCAATTCCCCAGATCGACGCCGGTCGACCTCGGTCGACTCTACCATCTAGGGTCTAGCGCTATATAAACGTTCACGCTGGCTGTGTTTGTGTTCGACACGCGCGCGTCCACTGCGGTCCTGCGCAGGATGTCCACGGTCGCTCGATTATCATATGGTCCTCAAGGCCTCGAACTTCGTGGACATGTGCGATCTACGGCCTTCTGTCTGTTGTGCGGCTAATGGCCATTGGATTTGGGCCTATCCGGTGCCAGGTAGCAGACGGTATGTCGACCACCTCTAGCACCATCCGCTGATGCTCGGGACACCACGAAGACGCTCCGGCTGTCATCTGCGGCGAGCTAGCCCGGGTTTTTGCCTGACAGTGTGGTGAAAGTCTCTGCCATTCAATGGATCTCTAACACCATGGACCCGACCTGAGGATATGTGCTCTGGTTCTAAGTCGAAAGCGGCTTAGAGCTTCCAAGGAGACCCGATGAAAGGACTACGTAAGTACGTGCGCACAGTCTGTCGGGCCTCTGTTATCATAGTTGACGGACATTTCAGGGCACTACGTTCGTTGCTATGTTGTCCTCCTTGGCATATTTGCAACAGGTGGCACTACGGGGGCGTCGTCTGCCGGTGCTGGCGCGCTGTACGGGATGAAACTCTCGATGAGCGGAGTATCGTAACTCCGGCGCCGCATACAAACCACAGCGACAAGGACCTCTACATGTCAGGCATTGCCCTTTCCACGACGCCGACCACTGCTATGAGTGCATCTACAAATTAAAAGCAGAAGTTGATCGTCATCTTCGCGCTTCTAGATTCGTCCAGACATTTGCAGTAGTTCTCATCATCGCTACTTCGGCGCATAGATAGCGCTCGACTTAGTCCTTCACGTAGGGCAGCGCGACAGCGGGAGCTGCATGGCTAGTCTTACGCTGCTCAGCTGTCGAGTATGAGTAACTCTCTCGGAGTGGATGTTCGGCCAACTGTAAAGGTGAGCTCGAACTCATATGCGCATACCGGCTCTCTGACTGACTCATTGCATCGGCCCCCGTGTCCCACGTTGGTTATATGCTCGGTTCTAGATCACGGGCCGATGTCTTCAAGCTGTCATCTTCCAGTCAAAGCAGTGGTCTGCTCTAGGTATCGACACCTCCATCGCCATGTCCGCCCACAAGGACATCCGTGGCTCCTGTCGGATGTCCGGGACTCTGGCCCCCGTGATTCCGGAGCTCTGGTGCATTCAGCACTGCTTACAGGTGAAGCACGTCTTCTTGAATGCCCGCCGTCGCCTCACCGTAGCACCATGAAGGTATAGCAGTCCCGTTGCCTCCTCGAGATGATCCCCACAATGTCTATACCTCAGAGGCGATGCTAAGGTACGACGCGTAACCGCAGGGCTTTCAAGGTCCAGTTCTTGTAAAAGTATCGCGTTGCATGATGACTTCATGCGGCCGCCGAAGTCCCCGCAGCGCCCTCGAGTTCCATGCGACGATATTGGAGCCCGTCTTCTCAAAGAAACGCAAGGTACTAATCAAGACCTCTGGGCAGCGGCGCCGGACAACCGGTGCGCACGACACGACCGCTTAGTCTCTGGAACTGACAGCATGCGTCCGTCCATGACATCTTCGCATGGAAGGACGCACTTCATCTTTCGCCCGTGTTGTACGAAGGGCAATGCAATGGACGTTCTTGACCGTGGCCCCCACATGCAGGTGGAACTCGAGACACTTGGGCTTCACGAGCCTGAAGGAGAAACACCCTGCTCACGAATACGATATGCAGATCGGCAATGAAGTTACGTCTGGAGTTGGGCGCGCGTATCATGTGGATCCCTGCCGGCGTCATATTCACGGCGGCGAAGTCCTCGTTCCGCCTGCAACGTCCTGCGATGTGCGGAGACTACGGCTTCGGCAGTTCTAAGAAACATCAGAATGCCGTAATAGGATTGGACGGTTTTATTCGCGCTCTCTGTTAGCTTTAATATTGGTGCAGTGCGCAAGAGCTGACGGTGGAAGGTATGTCTTTGTATGTCAGTGGATATAGTGGGGCAATACCACTGACGTCGCAGTACAACAGTTCGTTTCATGTGGTACTGCGCACGCCGTGGTAGCGCGCCGCGTATTCCAGAGTTCCCCCGATGGCCGTTTTAAGAACGAGAAGTCGCTTCTCACACGTCGTCGGCAGTCGTGATTCGCCCACCCGGAACCACGGCCCCCACATCGAAGGCCCGATGAACAATCTCCTTTACGCGTGTGCGCGCCGTGGCCCCATTTCGTTCTCAGCGACACTGCTATTCATTGAGAGATATGTCGCAGACGTTTCCTTCTGTAGCGGGCGGGGAAGCTGCGCACGATCTATAAAGACTCCCTGGCTCATGTCGTCTTTCTCACAGTCAGTTCCTCCACAGCCATGATCGACTCAGCCCTCGTCCCTGATTTCTGGACTGGCGTCGCGATCTTTGTCGTCCTCTACCTCGTGAAATGGCGTCTTGACCCAGTATGCACGCCTTTACTTCACGCGAATAGCATGCGAAGCTGATGCAGACCCGGACTCCAGCTGTATCACATCCCGACGGTGGGAGGCTCGTCCCTTCCGCTCCTTTCATACATCGGGGCGCGCAAATTTGTGGATCAAGCCAAGGATGTCGTTTCGCAAGGCTACCAGAAGGTGTGTCATGCCTACCCTCACCTAGCACTATTGAGGCTTAATGGTGCCATTGTCTCCCTCGATAGCATTACGGCAAACCCTTCAAAGTCCCCATGATGGACAGGTGGATGGTGTTTATCTCTGGCCCGGAGGTGTTGGACGATATCAGACGCAGGCCAGACGAAGAAGTGTCGTTTTCGGAGAGCGTCGAAGACGTAAGAATTTGAATGCCCTCACCGCCCTAGCTTGAATCTTACGCGAATCTAACGGGAAACAGGATATGCAACTCATGCACATCATCGATCGCAACGCGATTGAGAACCCGTACCATGTCGCTATGATCAGGGACAAGCTCACGCGAGCCCTCCCGGCCGTCTTGCCGGACGTCGTTGACGAACTGCGCCTGGCAGTGCCAGAGCATATCCCGGCCGTCTCAGGAGGTACGTTTGATATAACTTCTTGCAAGACCAGCCTTATTAACACCCAAGATGGCGCGAAGAGTGGACGGAGGTCAACGTGCTGGGCGCTTTCCAGCAGATCATAGCTCGTGCAAGCAGCCGCGTTTTCGTCGGTCAACCGCTTTGTGCGTATTCATCATTGATAATACATTGAGCACTGGTTGATGGTACTTTCCCTATAGGTCGCAATGAGGAATATCTTGCTCTCTCGATCCAATTCGCTATAGACATCATGAAAGATCGAGACCGAATCAGCTGGTTCCCGCAATTCCTGAAGTCGTGAGCGTGTTTGATATGACTGTCTGTCTGTTTCGTTTGTTTATCCGTCAACGACAGATACGTCAGCATGAGCTACAGTTTGGCCAGGCGTTCGCTGAGCAGGAACAGGGAGTTATTGCAGCCGGTCATCGATGAACGCAAGGAGATGATGGAGAAATGGGGGGACGACTGGACTGACAAGCCGGTTCGTCACTTTCTCAACATCCCATATCATTAACTATATGCCAGAATTTCTCAGAACGACCTGTTGCAATGGTTCATGGAAGCCCAGCAGACGGATGACCAGTTCAGGACGATCGCCGACAGGGTCATGATCACAAATTTCGCTGCAATACACACTTCTTCATTGGTTCGTCACTTAACCTACCTGTCTGTGATATATCTGTCACTGACGCTTGATCAGAGTGGCAGTCTCACTCTTCTATGGCTCGCGGACCACCCGAAGTATATTGAGCCGATCCGCGAAGAAATCGAGGAAGTTATTGGCGAGCAAGGCTGGACGAAGGCGGCCATGGGTAAGATGTGGAAGCTCGACAGCCTACTTAAGGAGTTCCAACGCCACCAGGGCCTCGGTCTGGGTGCGCGCATCCTTCTCCTGCTTGCAATTATATCACTCATGCAGGCGCTGGATCAGCTTCACTCACGCGGAAAGTGATGAAGGATATAACGCTGCGCGATGGCACCGTTGTGCCGCGCGGCACGACGATCATTGCGACGACCTACGACATCCACCACAACAGCGCCAAGTACGAGAACCCAGACGTCTTCGACCCGTTCCGCTTCTCGCGCGTGCGCGCGGACTCGGAGGAGGAGCGCGTCAAGAACCAGCTCGTCAACACGTCTGTTGACTACATGCCCTTCGGCCACGGAAAGCACGCGTGGTACGTCGTTGGACAGCAGACATGTGCTACTGCGTCAGACTAACATACTGATCGCTCTGGTGCAATTTTGAAGCCCTGGACGCTTCTTTGCGGCAAACGAGCTGAAGGCGCTGCTCGGGTACATCATCCTCAATTACGACTTCAAGATAGGCGGCGACGGCCACGCCGGGCCTCCGTCCTACAGTGGCCTAATTGTCATTCCTGCTACGAACGCAACGGTGAAGTTCAGGAAGCGCGAGTCGAAGGTATAGCCTGGCTTCGGGGTAGTGTGAGGTACGATGTAGCATCCCGTACACAAGTTTCCGGCCATGCCTTTTGCATACCGACATCGGACAAATTCATCGTTAGACTCTCCACAACCAATCCCCATTCTCGGATTCGAAAGCATTGATACGAAGCGGACGTTTCCGGAAGGCACTTCGGCGTAAATCCCGTGCCTGGCATCGCTGCATCTCAGCGCTCAGCACTAGCACTAGCAGCAGGCGTCTTCTATCAAGTAAGTACTTGAGCTTGAGGCTCTCTGTCGCCGTGACAGAACCAAAATACCGCCGACATCCTGAGCGCTGACGCGCGACAGGTGCTAGGTAACATTATGGCAAAAACGGTAACTTTGAAGCGCGATCGGACTCCGCCAGCCCGTCCGTCCTCGGCTTCTTCACCGTTCAGCTCCAAGTTCAAGCAGCGATTAAATATCTAGCTACAGCTCGAGCTCGACGCTGCTATGTCGAAGCACATGCTTGTATCAAACGAAATATACAGTAGTATCCCGTTAGGAAGGTAAGTGCAGATTCTACCGGTGCGCCAGACTTGAACTTTGTTGAATCCCAGTGTTGCAGGCTGTATAGCTTGCTTATAGACAAGATGGACGAGGGAAGATAGCTCTAAGGTGCATGCATCAAAATCGTCCTCGAGTCTGGGCCGGCCAGGTTGATTCACCGGAGAATACTGGTACTTATTACTTCCGATCTACAAGATCTATGCGCGCATCAAGCTGTGCACACATGCATCGGCGCCGGCCTGTACAGGGATTCTGCGAGCTCGTACGATTTGACTGTCCCTTCGAAGCCGTCCAGGTGGCCTGCCAGCACGCGGGACATTCCATTGCGGACGTTCGGCTGCCCACACACCATCAGCGGCTCGATACCAACGGGTGAGAGCCTCGCCCGGTGCTCCTTGAAAGAAGTCACAAGAGCGCGGGCGTGGGACCGCTGTGCCTAGCCGAAATGCAGCCCTCTCGGAATAACGGGCCCCTGCAGGCAGCCTTGGTGAGTAATTACCGTTACGCGGCCTTCCCGAGAACCCTTGAATCATTCGCATGCAGCCCTTTCGGAGACTGGACATAAGCGTGGCCGTTGTCGGGAAGATGCAACACATGGCCGTATATAAGCCGAGTGCAGGCTGTCGTTGTCAGGATCTCCCTCCCCTTCGACACGACCAAGCGCCGTTATTATCATCTCCCAGACCTGAGTTGTAGACCATGGCGGACATCTCTCCCTTCTGGGCCGCTGTCGCCGTGGTAGGCGTCGTATACCTCATAAAGTGGCGGTCGAACCCGGTGAGCATCCAATCATAGCCTCTCCGGAGAGATGTCTGACTTCTCTGGTCCTGAATGCCCAGCTCAACTCTATTCCCACTGTTGGCGGATCCTCCCTCCCGTTCCTGTCCTTCTTCAGTGCAATCAACTTCACGCTGAACAGCAAAAGGATGATCATGGAAGGGTACAAGAAGGTAAGGCATCTGTATCATTCCAGTACGCCATACCACAGCTCTCATGTGCCCCCAGTACTATGGCTCCGTCTTCAAAGTCCCCTTGCTCGACCAGTGGATTGTGGTGGTTTCTGGACCGAAGATGGTAGACGAACTCCGTCGGCGGCCGGATGACGAGCTCTCGTTCTCGGAGAGCGTCGCAGACGTGCGTGGTCACTTTCGTTTTCAAGTCTAACATGAACTTAGGCATTGTGACGCTCCCAGTCCATGCAAATCAGGTACACTCTGGGCGCTGACACCGAAGACGACCCCTACCACGTCGATATCATCAAGGAGAAGCTGACGCGCAGCGTCCCGGCGATTCTGCCGGAGGTGATTGACGAACTCACCCTGGCGGTCCCACAACACATCCCAGCCAAGACCGATGGTGTGTCGAAACTTTGTTCACATCCGTCAGGTTCTTGGATCTCATAGGACTATGCCGCTTGCAGAATGGCTCGAGGTCCCTGTAATGACTGCCATGCAACAGATTATCGCACGCGCGAGCAACCGTGTCTTCGTCGGGCTCCCCGTCTGTAAGTCACAGCGTATGAGTGTGTACTGGAGTGGGATCTGACTCACATTTGTTAGGTCGCGACCAGGAGTACCTCGACCTTTCGATTTCGTTCACTATCGATATCGTTAAAGACAAGACTATCGTTAAGTTCTTCCCCGAATTCATGCGATCGTAAGTGTCCGTCTTTCCCGAGAGTGTTTCGGTCACTCATTGCCACTGACCGCATCCAGATTCATCGGAAGGATCTCGAGCAACGTACAGAGCACGCTATACAAGGCCATTCCGCACCTGAAGGTCGCTATTGATGCGCGCCGCGAGATGATGGAGAAATACGGAGATGACTGGACGGACAAGCCGGTACGTTGCTGGCCCGGTCGAGCTGCGCCAGTTGAGGACCCTCCATCTCACCGGGCACTTCGTTTGGCAGAACGACCTACTGCAATGGATCATGGACATAGCGCGGGAAAGGGATTTCTCCGACGAGGCCATTGCGCGCAGGATCATGCTCGTCTGCTTCGCTGCCATCCACACATCCTCTAACGTGAGTAGCTGTTGTTGGTGACGCCGTCTGCTAATAGCCAGTAGCTGAACATACCTTCCAGACCGTGACCCACGCCATCTATCATCTCGCGGAGCATCCAGAGTGTCTTCAACCTCTGCGCGAGGAGATGGAGCCCATTTTGAAGGAAGAGGGCTGGACGAAGAATGCGATGGGCAAGATGTGGAAGCTCGATAGCTTCCTCCGGGAGTCCCAACGGTACAACGGCATTGGACTTAGTACGTACCGCTGCCTCCTACCTTGCGTGCGATCTTGTTGATCGTATTTCTCCACAGCATCGCTGGGTAGAAAGGCGATGAAGGACGTGACGCTGCACGATGGCACCTTCATACCGCGCGGGTCGTTTGTTGTCGCCGCGGCCGACGCCACGCACCACGACGACTCGGTTTACGCGACCCCGGACGTCTTCGACCCCTTCCGCTTCTCGGACATGCGTGAACAGGATGGCGAAGGTACCAAGCACCAGTTCGTGAACACCTCCGTGGATTACATCGCCTTCGGGCACGGCAAGCACGCTTGGTGAGCACCCAGCCGTCTGTTCGCTCCGCGATGTGCGAGCTGACTGACGTGTTGGTAGCCCTGGACGGTTTTTCGCGGCCAACGAGCTGAAGTCGTTGCTTGCCTTCATCATTCTGAACTACGACCTCAAGCTCGGAGGTGACGGGGAGAGGCCTCGCAACATCTACTGGGGCCTGAACGTCATTCCGGCGCCGAAAGGGAAGGTCTTGTTCAGGAAGCGCGAGGCGTCGGTGTAGTGAGGTCGATGCGGTTATCCGTTGTGTACATCATGTATCTATTACAAGCATAAGTCGGGCTATCGACTACACGTCCCGATCGCTACGCACTACAGACGTTATGCGTAAAGTTGTCGGGTGACCTATGATGTCCGCATTTCAACGTCTTCTGCAACAACTGGTGTCGACTCCACATCGGGTGTGGCAACAGTGACCGACTCCTCTTTCGCCTCACTAGTGACAACAGATGGCGCTTCGCTGCTCTGCTTCACCTTCTTTCTATGCCGATGCACCATGACGGAGGATGCCGTTGGGTCGTCATAACTGCGCAAGGTCAGCCACTGAGACGCATGGTGTAGTTGTGAACATACATTTTGATCACATGGAAGAGGAATCCTCCAGATCCCGAAGCATTCATAGTGGGGTGCGTTCTCCCTGGGAGGACCTGAACATACGCTGAGCGGGATTGCATATAAACGTAAGGAAATATACTAACCTGGTATTGTCTCAACCATGTCTCCGTGACGGTAGGACCTAGATAGCCTTGCTGGTCTCGTAATTGATTATAGAGGTCTGATACGACTTGCGGGTGTGGACTGTGGACCACTATAGACGCCGAACCCGCGAGGTACGGGTATAGTTTTTCAATGATGGAGTGCGGGTCATATTGGCTAGCTATGATCAAGCTGCGACGCTGTCAGAAGGCGGCGTCAAGATGGATTGAAGTGACATACCCTTCAAACTCCCCGTTGAAAAGCTCTTCTCGGGTCTGCAACAGGGCGTCCGATGCAATTTTACGCTTGTTGAGGCGTGTACGCTGACCATCAGACTTGAACTTTCCGGCTGGAGGCTCACTAGACGCAATGACTATGCAAACGTGAGTAAGGCGACCTGTACGGATGATGCAGCTACCGTACTTGGCGTGTAATCCTCATCTGCTGCTGCCCAGTTGAGCGACACCATGATTGGCGCCACTGCCTCCTTCCGGAAGTTCATCTGTACCATGACAGGATATGCCGGGGGGGAGTCGATGTCGCATATGGTCACAAGACGACCTTGACCTGAACATGAGGATAAGTACTCAGAGGTTCCGGGAAACCGACGATACTCCTTACCACCCATGCGGTCCAATATGGCAGAGACTACGACCCCAGAAGCATCGTCGACTGCGATGTACCTTCCGCCTGGTCTGATATTCGCCAGGTTCACTATTTGAGCCAGTGAATCTGGACGAATGTCTCGCAGCCGATTCTGATCTTTGTTGAACCAATACTGGCACACGTTGAATAGTGTCGGTTCGATCACGGTGAAATGTTTTGAGTACCTAGTGGAGGTTAGTGGCTAGACGCGTTTGAAATGGAATTGGGTGGCACGCACTTCATCTCTTTCCGCTTTTTGTATTTCTCCTTGCTGTACTCAGTCTTGAGAGCGAAGTTGGTATGTTGCTCAATCTGTTTTTGGATGATTTCCTATGGTGGAAGGCGTCAAGAGATGTTACGACTTGCCTAGGACACTCCTCACCGATGCATGCAGACCAGACTTCTTCAACGTCTCAATCTCGGCCGGTCTGAGAGGTTGGACCGCTTGTTCATCGTTGATAAGCTCATTTGTCGCTTCCGTTTCCTCTGCAAGAGACGGTCAGGACATAGCAAGACAACGCAATTAGGGTTCGTACCTACTTCCTGCATCGGGCGGGGAGGCAGCACCTTCAACTTTTTGTCCACGATCTCATATGACAGCCCGAACGGCTGTCCCACAAGTTCATTTCCGTAGAAAGACCCGAACTTCCCGAGGTGGACTGTCCTGTACACCAAAGGTCAGACGAGCAGACCTAAGGAACCACGAGTGGGAGTTCCGCACGCGTCCTTCTCGAGCTTGATCGAGCGAAAGTCTCCGCTAGGAATCTTGATGAGCAGCGTATGGCCGGCCTTGATGATGTCCTCGCGAGTGATAGAGGGCGCGTGCTGCGCGCGAGAGGGGCCTTCGCCAACGTCCATGGTGGCGAGGAATGAGGAGAGAACGCGCAAAAACAGATCGAGATCTGCGGGGGAAACGACGCGGCCAAACACGTGCACACATGCCGAGGCCGACCGCGCTCCTGCTCCCGCCATGAGCATCGTCGAGCTCACCACCGACACTGTCCCCAACGTTCTCGATGCCGTTCTCAAGAAAACGCAGGACAACTCGTGGACCACTTTTGCGCCAGATGAACTCTCTGTGCTTCTGTCTGCGTTTTCACCGTCTCAGCCCGTAGCGGTCCACTCAAAGGCATACATCGTCCTCTCTGCTTACTGTCAACGACGTCGCGCCGAGGCTTCTACCCCGCAGGAAGGAGCCCAGTCGATTTACAAGACCTTCGAGACACCGGTCACATCCCGCATTGCAGACACGGAGGAGCGCGAAGTTGTCGCGGGACTCACGTTTCTCGCTGCTCTCTTCGACGTCGATCACCTCTCTGCGTCCAATATCTTTCAGCGCGATGGGGTTCTCGAGTCAATCATGGATACCCTCGATCTCTTCCAAGCTTCGCATGATGTAGATCTCGCGGTCGCACACCTGCTTGGCCGCGCTGCCGGACACAAGGCGTGCCGAGCACTCCTGGGCGCGGACCACCAGAAGTGGCTCGAGTGGAAGTCGCGTCAGACGGAAGATTCGGAACTACGTGCAGCAGCCGCGGTCGCGATGGTCAAGCTCGCGCGGGGCTCTAGCGTGGACTCCGCGGAATCTGGAGGCTCGACGGAGCAGCCAATGGAGGACGCGGAATTGGCGGCGCTGATGAAGGGTCTCGTTGTGGACAGTCCCCGTACGTCCTCTGTGGCTGACGCGGTCGAAGGCCTTGCGTATATGAGCACCACTCCGTCCGTCAAGGAAATGCTTTCGAAAGACACCACCTTCTTGACGAAGCTCTTTGCACTCGTTCCGCGTCGGAAAGGTGCTCCCGCGCCGTCTATGGAGGATTTGGCAGGTTCTCCATTATATGGTACTGTCGTCGTCATCGCGAATCTATGCGCGTACCGTCCCCGTCTGTCCGCTGAGGAGGCTCAGATTGCCAAGCTCAGGCGCATGGCGAAGACACCCAAAACTGCGGGTCAGAGTGCACCGAAGGACTCGTTGGATGACCCTATGGATGACGATGAACGGGTCCGAGAGCGGGGGCGTAGGATCCTCGAGGCAGGAGTTATGGAGGCTCTGACGTCTGCTGTGCGCGCCACTGACAGCCGCGCCGTGCGATCGGTCGTTGGCAAGGCTATCCTCAGCCTGGTGGAGGAGAAGGAGAATCGCGGAAAGGTGTTACAAGCTGGCGGCGCGAAGGCCCTCGTCACGATCATCCAAGGCATCCTCACACCTCTCAAGTCCTCCGGCACGACCAAAACGCTCCAGCTCGAAGCTGCAGATTTCGAGCCCATGCAGGCGTTGGCGAAACTCGCTATCACGGCCTCGCCCGTCCAAGTCTTCGGTCCGAACGAAGGCGCGATCTACGATGCAATTCGTCCCTTCTCCCTCATGCTCACACACCCGAACGCAAGTCTGCTACAGCGCTTCGAAGCCATGATGGCTCTCACGAACCTCTCTTCCCAAAGCCCCGAAACTGCTTCTCGCATCGCGCGCGCGGACGACTTGATGAATAAAGTCGAACTGCTCATGCTGGAGGATCACACCCTGATCCGGCGCGCAGCGACTGAGCTCGTGTGCAATCTGGTTGCGGGGTGCGAGGAGGTCTTCGACAAATGGGGAGGGGACAAGAAATCTGGGTCGAAGTCGAAGCTGCAGGTGCTCGTGGCGCTATGCGACGTCGACGATATTCCGACACGCCAGGCGGCATCGGGCGCGCTCGCGACCCTCACCGCCTCTCCAGACGCTTGCGGATCGCTCGTAGAGCTACAAGCAGAGCGGCACCGCGTGCTGCCTATCCTAGGTCAGCTCATCGACCCTGCTGTCGTGGCACGACCTCCTGGAGATGTCGAGGATGAAGGCGAGGACGATGAACTTCAGACGGACCCTGGCTTGGTCCACCGCGGCATCGTCTGCGTGCGGAACCTGCTCTACGGCATCGAGAATCAGGCAGCGCAAATGGAGATTGCATCTGAGGCGAACCGGGTCGGTCTCGTGCGCGCGCTGGTGTTGGCAGTGAAGGGCTGCGCACAAAACCCAAGCTCGCCCATTCTGCGCCCTGCGGCGGAAGCATTGAAGTGGTTGTTGGAACACGGCGTGGAAGTTACGGTGTAAGAAAGGCGGGACATGGAAGTCTGTAGTGCTGTACCAATAGAAAACATGCAGTTTGGAACTAAGTATACGATGAGTACTTACCTCCTTCTGCTGCGGCGAAGTCATCAAGTGCACCTTGGCCGCTTGTGTCATACAGAGCTGTACCTGCAAGCGCCCGGACACTGGTGCGCGCCGGCGCGTGTGGTCCGCTCGTCATTCCATACACCGATCTGCTCGCCTCCGCCTCTCTGCCTTCCCAACCTCTGACTATTCTACCTCCATACTGGAAGCTCTGCTCTACTGATCTTGGCCGGAAGACTGCCCCTGCAGGCGAAGCACACCGCGATCGCGCCGTTACCAGTCCTCGTCCGCGTTGCACAAGCGTCTGTAATCACCCACCAAATCTATTGCACCTCTAGGCTCTCCTCTGTATCATGGTTAGTATGCTGAACAAGAGCTTCGTGTTGCTGTATCTTGAACCATGGCTTGTCCAGGCGCCCTCCAAGAAGGCGGGCAAGAAGGGCGGGGCCGCAGCGACGTCCAAGAAGGCGGGCGGCGCAGCAGGCAAGGTCGCTAAGGTGAGCACTCCGTCCTCTGCATATAGTCATCAGGGCGTTCACTAACATAGATATAGGCAGATTGGAAGGAGGGCTTCAAGAAGAAGCAAGTCGGCGTGTCCGACATGACGCTCCTGACCACTATCACCAACGAGGCCGTAAACGATAACCTCGAGAAACGGTGGAAGAACGGCGAGATTTACACCTATATCGGCTCGGTGTTGATCTCCGTCAACCCATTCCGAGGTGCGCTATGGCGATTCCGACAACCTCGAATGCGGGTTTGATCGCGCATCTTGTAGATCTGGGCATCTACACCGACGAGGTGCTTCAGAGGTACAAGGGCAAGAACAGGCTCGAAGTACCCCCGCACGTCTTCGCCATTGCCGAGTCTGCGTACTACAACATGAACGCCTACCACGAAAACCAGTGCGTTATTATCTCCGGCGAGTCCGGTGCAGGCAAGACGGAGGCAGCGAAGCGCATTATGCAGTATATTGCTGCGGTATCCGGAGGCCAGGACAGCAGCATCCAGGAGATCAAAGACATGGTACTCGCCACCAATCCTCTGCTCGAGAGTTTCGGGTGCGCGAAGACGTTGCGTAACAACAACTCCAGTCGGCATGTGCGTAAGATTAGGTGCGCTTCGAGGGCTGCTTCGCTCACGTCTCTCTAGGGAAAGTACCTTGAGATCATGTTCAATGACCACGGAGAGCCGGTCGGCGCACAAATTACGAACTACCTGCTGGAGAAGGGTCGCGTGGTAGGTCAAGTGGAGAACGAGCGTAACTTCCACATCTTCTATCAGTTCACGAAAGCGGCGTCCGATGCACAACGAGGTAGGTTCTGTGCGGATGTTTTGCGAGTTTTATATCAACAACAGATGTATAGAGGCCTTCGGTCTGCAGACCCCAGAAGCCTACGCCTACACCAGTATCAGCAATTGTTTGGACGTACCCGGAATTGACGATGCACAAGACTTCGCCGAAACTATCGTGAGGACCCCATGTCCCCTACTTCGCTTCTGACTTGAGCTAACTTGCTACAGAAAGCGATGCAAGTCATCGGCTTGAGTGACTACGAGCAGAATGAGATCTTCCGTAACCTTGCCACAATTCTCTGGCTCGGCAACGTACAATATGCGGAGAAGGACGACGGAAACTCGGATATCTCAGACACAAGTGTCACTGACTTTGTCGCATACCTCATGGAGGTAGACGGGGCTCAGGTCCAGAAGGTGTTCACGTCGAGGACTATGGAGACCCAGCGCGGTGGCAGACGAGGCTCGGTCTACGATGTCCCGCTCAACCCGGCGCAGGCGAGCTCTAGTCGCGATGCTCTAGCGAAGGCGATCTACAACAACCTGTTCGAGTGGATCGTGTCGAAGATCAACGTGTCTATGAAAGCCCGGAGTGCAACCGCGCAACTCATTGGCATTCTTGACATCTTCGGATTCGAGATTTTCGAGGTTCGTGGCCCCGTTTCGAAGCTGTGAGTTTATGCTCACGCTCGTTCACCCGGCAGGACAACTCCTTTGAACAACTGTGCATCAACTACGTTAACGAGAAGCTGCAGCAGATTTTTATCGAGCTCACGCTCAAGACGGAGCAGGAGGAGTACGTGCGCGAGCAGATCAAGTGGACGCCGATCAAGTACTTCAACAACAAGATCGTGTGCGACCTCATCGAGGAGAAGCGGCCCCCTGGTATCTTTGCTGCGCTCAACGACGCGTGCGCGACCGCCCATGCCGACCCCACCGCCGCAGACAACAGCTTCGTACAGCGTATGTCAGCGCTATCGACGAACCCTCACTTCGATGCTCGCGGCGCGCAGTTCCTCGTGAAGCACTATGCCGGCGACGTGATGTACAACGTTCAAGGCATGACGGACAAGAACAAGGACTTGCTCGTAAAGGACCTGCTGGACCTCATCGGCGGAAGCAGCAATGAGTTCCTGCAGGGCCTCTTCCCGGACAGACCCGACCCGAACAGCAAGAAGCGTCCCCCTACTGCCAGTGACAGGATTAAGGTCAGTTATTTCACCCCTTTTGTATCCCGCGGAGGGAGGTGCGAGTGATATACTTCAGTCGTCCGCGGGCGCCCTCGTCGAGAACCTCATGCGTGCCCAACCGTCCTACATCCGGACCATCAAGCCGAATCAGAACCGCAGCGGCAGCGAGTACGACACCAAGGCCGTACTGCACCAGGTCAAGTATCTCGGTCTCCAGGAGAACATCCGTGTCCGGCGCGCTGGGTTCGCATACAGGAACACTTTCGAGAAGATGGTGGAGCGTTTCTACCTGTTGTCGCCGGCGACTTCATATGCGGGAGAGTACATCTGGCAAGGCGACTCCAAGTCTGGCTGTGAGCGCATCCTCACCGACACTGGTATTGCCCGTGAAGAGTGGCAGATGGGTACCACGAAGGCGTTCATCAAGAACCCCGAGACGGTTAGTCGACTTTCAATCCAGAGCGAGAGCTACAGTTGACAGGCCACTTAGCTCTTCGCGCTGGAGACGATGCGTGATCGCTACTGGCACAACATGGCCGGCCGGATACAACGTGCGTTCCGCAACTACATGCGCTACAAGCATGAGTGCGCCCGCCGAATCCAGCGCTTCTGGAAGAACAACAAAGAGGGCATCGAGTATGCGAAGATCCGCGACTACGGCCACCAGGTCCTGGCGGGTAGGAAGGAGCGGAGGCGCTTCAGTCTGCTTGGCTACCGCCGGTTCATGGGCGACTACCTCGACGTTAACGGGAAGAGCGCATTGGGCGAGGAACTGGCTGAGGCTTGCGGAATCGGCAGTACGTGTTTCCTCAACCTGCATACAGGCGTCGTCCTAACGTGTATGTTGCAGGGGACAAGGTTACGTTCAGCTCGAGAGGGCAGCTTCTTGTTTCGAAGTTCGGCCGCTCCAGTAAACCCAGCCCACGGTTCTTGATTCTGGTGCGTCTGCCTGACGTTCTCTGTAGGTAACTCCTAACCCTTGTAAACCAGACTGACAAGGCGCTCTACATCGCTGTTACGAGCGCAAAGGAAGGGCAAACCGTCACGAGTTTGGAGAGGAAGATTGCTCTCATCAGTATCAAGAGTATCTCCATGACCCATCTGAGGGATGATTGGCTAGTGGGTGGCCACCCGGCATGTCTATTTACCCTTCTCTGAATATTCTGTAGGTATTCAACCTCGGGCCCACGGAAGAAGGCGATCCGATCATTAGCTGTATCTTCAAGACCGAACTGACGACCCACATTCTGCGCCTCACGCAGGGCAGCGTCAATGTTCTCATTGGCCCGACGTAGGTCAACTCGTCTTATATGCTCGTTTGAAGCTAATGCTCGTCTGTCAACAGCATTACATATACCAAGAAGAAGGAGAAGAAGGCCGAGATCAAGACCCTCAAGGACGAGACCGTTCCGCGGGGCGACCTGTACAAGAGCCACACTATCCATGTGCCCTCCGGCGAGCCTCCCTCTAGCCTGTCGAAGCCCCCGCCCCGGCGTAAAGAGGGAGTTGTACGGCCGATCACTCAAGGGAAGCTTCTCAAGAAAGGCGGACCATCAGACGTGAGTACTCCGCTTCATGTGAGAGTATCCGGTCACTCATTCGTATAACAGAGGCCAAAGCCGTCGGCAGCTTCCAGACCCAAGCCAGCTGCGCAGCCCCTCCCAGGCAGATCTACCCCTGCTGCTGCTGCTAAACCGCCAGTGGCTGCATCCACCCCAGCCGCGTCCTCAGCCCCACGCGCGCCGCCTCCACCGCCTGGTAGGGCCGCTGCGCCTCCCCCTCCCCCTCCGCCAGAGCCCGACGTCGAGCAGTACAAGGCGAAGTACGCATTCCAGGGTCAGGAGGGCGAGATGTCGCTTCAGAAGGATGACATCGTGGAGCTCGTAGAGAAGGACAACAACGGATGGTGGCTGGTCAAGAAGGACGGCGTCGAAGCGTGGGCGCCGAACAACTACCTCGAGCTCGTCCCGCCCAAGCCCAAAGCCGCAGCACCTCCGCCCCCGCCACCCCCTCCTCCCGCAGGCAAGCGCCCGATCCCGGCCGCCCCAGGGGCGCCCGCCGCGCCCAAGGTCGGGGGCAACGGCGCGCTCAAGTCCCACCTAGCCGATGCCTCCGCGAAGCCCGTCGCCGTGTTCCCTGGTATGGCCGCTGGGAACGGCTCAGCGGCGCCCTGGAAGCGGAACGCGTCGACGGCCGAGTCCTCCTCGGAAAGCACCCCTGCGTCGTCGCGACCTGGCAGCTCCGTCGCGCACAAGCCGCCACCGATCGCGGCGAAGCCTAAGCCGGGGCCGCCCCCACTCGCGAGCAAACCGGGCGCACCGAAGCCTGGAGCGAAACCGCCTATCCCGACTGCTGCACGGCCTGCGGCGGGCGCGCCGAAGCCGAAGGCGGGTGTGGCGAAGCCGGCTGCTGTTGGTGGCCAACTGGATTTGGCTGCAGCAGTGAGTATCCGGCGTGGATATCTGATGGGGTGAACGGTGAACTGACTACCATTATGTGCAGCTTGCGAGACGCGCTCAGAAGATCGCTGAAGACGAATGAACGAACGAATGAGACAGCTCACCGGCGTGCGGGCGCACACAAGCTGCCTGCTGCGTCAGAGCAACGGACTCGTTGGAATGAAGGAACGGATCATGCATGGCATTCAGGGTGTACATATGTATAAGGCAGGCCTAGCTAGTTCCTATGCGATGTGTGTGCTCGAGAATTAGATGCGACATGTAGACATGGCATTACTACTAGGCAGTCGTGCGCGCATGGGGATATGGCGTGAGCGCGGGTATGCGATCCGATTTGTATCAGCGTCAGGATGTGGTGGTGGTATAAACAGGCGAGGCCGGGAGGCGGGGATGTTCTACAGCGGGAGCGAGCGGTCATGCAGTGGTCGTGAAGATAGCGAGTGAGCGATAGACGATGCAGGGATCCGGACAAGCACTACGGGTTCAACGTTCAGGGCGAAGCAGAGGGTGTGATCGTGATGGGAGGAATGGGTTCGATGTCGGGCTCGAGTAGGGACGCTTCTACCTCGTCCTCGCTCTCGAGTTCGCCGTCACTGCCTGGCACCGCGACCCGCGACGGTGTGAGCGGTCTCGAGCCGACGAAGCTCGTATCGTCCACATCCAAGTTGGAGCGCGTCTCCGCGTCATCACCGCGCCAGTGCCGAACCTCTTCCTCGGTGAGCACCTTGGCGACGCCGCTACGAGGCGCCTCTATGAAATCCTCCGGTGTTGACTCGAGAGCACGCTGGCACGAGGATAAGAGGCCCTCGAGGATCAACTTCACCCGACGGTATGGTTCGTCGTCCTTGCCCTCGATGATATCCGCATCGTCCTCCCCTTCTTCCTCTTCCTCTTCCTCGTCCGGTTGTTCATCGTCGTGGGTCAAGGAAGACTTCACCGCGCGGTACGCGGGCGGCGGGAGTATGAGCCGCGACTCGCGCAGCTTGCGCCGAAGCTCCCGGATTTCCCTGGCCTGCTTGTGCTTCGTGGCCTCTAAGCTGGTATTGATCGCAAGTAGAGAACGGTTCGTGATCTCGAGGTCTGCGATCTGTCAATTTGGGAAGCCAATGAGCATTTTCGGTTGACTATATGCGGTCATAGCAACATCCACGCACCTTGCGATTGGACTTCGCCTGCGCCTTCAGCTTACGCTCGGCGTCGTCCTCGCCCGCGTCCACATGTTCTGGCTCCTCGTCGGAGTCATCGCCGGATTCTGCTTCGCTCGCGGACGCAGCGTCTCTTGGAACAGGGTCGCCGCGGAAGCCGAGTCCATCAAGGCTGGCCCGAGGCTGGGACGATCTGCTCCCCTGCCGCCCGTGGCTCTGGCCATTGACGTGCGAGTGCAATGTCGGTGCTGTGCTCCGACTGCCGCCCGACTCTTGGGTTTCGTACGACGCCGACGAACGTGACGCTGACGATCGCGAGGAAAAAGATACCGTAGATGTCGGCGGAGAGTGCAGAGGAAGAGGGATGGTGGTAGGATCAACCTTGGCCACCTTAGTTGCCGCGGAGTGCCCAGCGCCATAACGAACGGCGAGATCATCGTTGGGCACGAATGCTTGATACGACTTGGGTGGTTGGTACGAATGCGGCCTCGTCGTTGCGAAACGCGCCTGACCGGACTGAATACCAGATGGAGAAGACGCAGTGGACGACGGGCTGTGGTTTGCGCTGCTTGGCATCAGCGGCGGTGAGAGGCTGAGGTTGGATATCGACGGGACGC